GGTCGCTCGCATCGCTGTTGCATGGCCTTCAAATCAAGGGCTGGGCCGTTCTGGGAAATCATATATCCCTTGGGTGGCTGGCTTGTACGATGTTGCTTAATCTCATCGCCGCAGCTGTCTATGCCTCGAGGGTATGTCGCCTACGATTCCTTACCTGTGACCAAAAATTAACATCCTAGTTGCAGATCCCCGAGAGATGGTTTCCATATAGGTTCGACCTTATCGGAGCCAGCCATCAGATTTTCCATGTCTTAGTTTTAATAGCCACGTTCACACACCTAGCAGGCCTTCTTACAACTTCCCAATATACTATCAGGTAATCGCCTCATAACCTAGCACAACATCGCAGCTATATCAAGTGCTACTCCCACCCGGTCGACTCGCATATGTACCACAGATAGTTGGCGCAATTATGTATGGGATACTATTATGAAACATCTTGAGAATAATAGAGTAGCTGCACACAACACATCGTGATACCCGAGCTTAAACCTACTGCACACCACACAGTGGTAACTTCTTGCGTATCTCTACTATCGCGAAAGAACCGACTTATGAAATAACGCCAAACTGACTAATTCACCCCTCAACGCAGCATCGTCTGTGAACGGTAATAGATAAAACAGAACTGTTACTTCCTTCTCTTTTTCCATCGCTCCTCTGACTGATTGCCTGCCGTCTGGGTACGCTTGGAACTTCCACCCCTTGCCGCATACTTCTCACTCCATGTGGTTAGTGCATCCTGAGCGAATATTGTGTCCTCATGCTCCGCACCCAACAGCTGCTGGCGGACTGCCAGGCACTTCCGCATCAGATCCAAAGCTTCGGTATAATCACCCGATTTCTGCCTCAAAAAGGCCAAATCGTCCATACTCTGTGCCGTGAGGAGATGACTCTCTCCAAACATTTCCTTGGACCTCCTCATTACGGCCCTTTGTTGATTTTCTGCCTTTTCAAACTCCTCCAGCCCGTCATATGCACAAGCCAGATTCAATTTGGCTTGAAGGAGCCTAGATTGATTGTTGCCGGGATTTGTTTCGTGGTACTTTACTACATTGATGTAGATTTTTTCCGCATCGGCCCATCTTTTCCAGTGTAGGTATGTTGTTCCAATTTCTGCCATACAGTCGACGGTAAGACTGTGCCCGCGGCCGAATGTCTTCTCGTACCTAGCGAGCGCTTTCTTGAGAAGCGCTACTGCTGCACTGAGCTTCTTTTTCCCTTGCTTTCGATATGTTGTGGCCAGCTCGATTTGAAAGATCAGCATGTCAGGATGATTACGAGGGATCCTGAATTGCACTGATCTTTTTATGGCATTTTTAAACACCTCCACAGCATCCGGTAGTTTGCCGCACTCCCGAAGTAGCATACCCTTATTCGAATAAGAGCCGACCACGTCAGTAGGGTGGGCTCCTTCGGGCCCTTCGCACTCTTCCCGGACGTGGACGATATGTTGTATCAGCTCTAGGCCGGCCTCTGGTTCTCCCAAGCACGAATGCATGAACGCCCGGTCTTCACCAATGGTTAGGGCCAGGGGATGTTTCGAAATGGAGTGCTCCTTGCACATGGTCCACAGATCAGAGAATATCGTTTCCGCTTCCTCGTCGAGGCCTTGGTCACGCAGGATTCTGCCAACATACTGTTTGCTCTCCAAACACAGTTCGTGTATCGGTGGGTACACCTGTAGCGCGGCGTTGTGTGACTTTGTTGCCAGTGGAAGGGCCTCATCGAGCCAGACTTGTTCCCTGGCATATCGACTGCAACGACAAAGCACTAATGCCCACCCTGTGAGTAACGTATTATCCGTCGGGCGGTGTTCGGCCATGATTTTGACAAGAGGGTATAGGTGATGGCACGTATCCCAGTGCTCGTAGTACGCTTCTGGGAACATGTCACTCATCCAAGATATGAATCGCCGAATGAAGTTCCCAGAGCCTCCATCAGTCTCCAGCAAGTATCGTACAGCCAGTTGCACGGTTTTCGGCACCGTGGGAACGTCTGGCTTGCCTGCGGCAACAAGAGCTGAACGACAGAGATGTTTCTCCGCAGAAGATGGTATTTGCTTAACGTGCTCCTTAACGTGCTCCCGGTGGGCTAGGATGAAGTCTGAGGCGCTGCGGTCCCGTTGTGTATTACAGCTTTGCCATTCAAAGAGAGCAAGTCTCGATGCCTTGTTTTGTTCCAGTTCGTGTAGGTATGTACGGACGGATAGCCCGCGCAGGGTCAATCAACCGGCGAAGTGTCTCCGAGCTCGCACAGTAGCCTCTGCGCCATATCGCGGGCTGCCTTCCCTTACCGTATGATACACCAGGAAAAAATCATAGGAATGACTCAGTTGCTGTTCTAAACGTCCTCTAATTCCCAATATTCCTCTCCATCTAGTTTACTTCTATGTTTCTTAAAGCCACCCACTTCTACAGGATGGCGTTCCCAACGAGGACTATAGTAGCGACCTGCTTCGTCCAGTCCCTTTGGCGCTTCGATTTCCGTAGTATAGAAAGAATTAATCTGGCAAATGACTTCGTAGACCGTTGCGTTAGGAGGAAGCTCAATGACAGCTTTACCCCCATTGTCGAGATCATCTACATGTAATTTTGCTCCATTCTCGAACAAAACAGCATCAGGGTTCACTAGAGAGTTCCTACCATTACTGTCAATATACGCGTTCCACGCCCAACTCCCATTGCTCCAGGTCCACTCCATGCTGCGCAGCTTAGAGGGTTTGTAGGTTACGCGGGTATCGATGTTGTTGAAGAAGTTATACACGTAGTCGTAACCGAGCCTAGAGGGTTTGTAGGTTACGCGGGTATCGATGTTGTTGGAGAATTTGTTCACGTAGTCGTAACCGAGCTTTTCAATAGGAACGAGTTGATCTATAGGCTTCTTCCACATTTGACAACGAACAAACAGCAAGGGACTCCTTGAAGACTTGAAGTCTTGTTGGCTTATATAGGCGATAAGGCAGACCAAAAACTGCTGATATATCCACCCATCCCGTTGAAAGTCACTAATGAGTTCATCCTGCAGTCCTTTAGCTTTCCAACTCTCGGTTGCTTTCGCCAAGGACCACCCCGGTTCCCAAAACCATTCACTGTCGACCTGACTTATCCTTTGTGAATCTTTGGTCGTTTCGGGATTTTTAAGTGTTGTGACCTCAGTGGTGAGAATTTGTATTCCTGCATCTCGATATTTTTGTTGCTGATTCTCTATCCGTTCAAGTTCTTCCTCGAAGTCTCTTTCCACTTTACTGAATCTGTTTTGCACAATCGCATCATAATAGCGCTGGAATCTGGACGCTTCGGGTTGACGCCCTGCCCACTCTTTCTGCCGCTGCAGCCAATTCCATGGCGTATCGCGTTTTTCTGCATAATCAGGACATCGGGACTGGATGACCCATCTGTCTATTGCCATGGAGATTGTATACCATGTTACCTTACGTCACTAGCAGCGTCGCGCATTGTGCAAGTAGGCGTGCTTTGACATCCTTTGCTATTCCTAGCATTCTCTAGCTTGTCAAGTTTGGCAGTAAATCTCCCCTTCGTAGCCTTCTTTTCTCTCTCGCTATTCGCAGTGGTCGTAGCTCTTTCAATCTTGGTACTACGTCTGGACCTCGCAACTGGCTCTCCCTCTACAGCATTCATCACTTTCGTAGCGCCGCCCTGGAATTGAGTCCGAGTCCCTTTCTGGGAACGTGTTTGACTTCTAGTTGATACCATTGTTCTGATGTGTCAAGTGTGTGCTCTGGATGGATTTTAAATATTGCACGACGATGAAGGATGAATGATTGATGTAATCAGTCTTGAGACTGTTTGTCAGGATTGAACATCAATATTGAATCGTCAACGCATCCTATACTACCCGATTCAAGAGATGCGTTGTCGGCCTGGCAATGCGAACTCAATAAACAGGTAAGCGAATGCAAGGCCTGTATATTCGACCGTTGTGACTCCAACTGTTCTCCGATGGAGGTAGCTTGCGGTCTTGCCCAATGGTTAATTGGAGTACGTCTTGCAGTCATTCTCAGACATCTGATTAATCGTTCCGGTTGCGTAATGGCTATTAACCTAGGGCCGTTCTTTGCCTTCGGCGAAAAGGCGTGAAACGGTTCGGTATACTGAATTCTATGGCTCTCACTGATCGTTCTGCCTGCACTTTGGCGCGCCTCTCGGCGCTCAGAAGCCAGCGTAGGACACCTGCAAGTTCGTGCCTTAGGTGGTAGACTCAGACTTCCAAGAGCGGCAGGATTGCGCTGCCATGAATGAAGCATTTTACTTTGCATACAAAAGGCTAGACAACTATCGGGACCTCATAGTTACCGGCTTTGAGTTCCATCGAAAGCGACTCTCGCTACAGATGAGTAATGAGGGTGGAAGAGCAAGGGACCGGAATCACTTTTGTAGAAGGTATTCTTTACCGATTCTCACAGGTAGTTCCGAAAGTGATAGAATTCTGGGCACCTATCTTGTGCTGCTGTAATCGCTCTGACACCGGGGCGCTGTATCTCGAAAACCCCGACATCGGAAACGGCCAAGAAGTATAAGCTCCGGCTCCTGTGCAGTAGTTTTATATGCTGTCCGAAGTGTAATTGTAAGCGTAGCGACCATAAAGCCAAGGGACTCCTTTCCCTTAGCTGTCACTCTTACACATTCAGTCGGCCGGGTTCTGCCTGGCTAATATGAAAATAACCTCTCTTATCGTCGAAGAATGGTTGTCTATGGTAGAAGGATCATTTCTCTTCTGTCAATTTTATTCGCTTCGGCCTGCCTCCTGCATGATGTGCTCTTTTCCTCTGCGCCCGCTGGCGACCTGCTTCCAATAGCTCACGGTACCACCCAGGCAAAACGTTCCGAGCCCAAGTCGTGTCTTCTTTTCTCGAGCCTGGTTGCATGGAGCGGACTGTGACAGAGCCTTGTAGGAGGATGATGGCGCTAGTCTTATGGCCCATGCAATTCTCTGTGATGGCCAAATCCTCCATACTATCCCCGATGAGATCACTGATTTTAAAGTTCTGCTTGGACGTTTCCATCACAGAGACCTGTAATCTTCTTGCATCTTCCCACATGTCCTGTAAATAGTATGCACTGGCGAGGTTTAACTTACTCCTGAGGGTGTCAGCGTGTGATTTGCCGAGTCTGGACTGGCGAAGCTGAGCTACTTCGACGCCCAGCTCTTCCGCCTTTGCGCACTCCTTCAAGTGTAAGTATGTTGTTACCAGGTTTGCCTTACAATTAAGGGTGAGAGAATGATTTCTGCCGAGTGTTATAGTGCATACTGAAAGCAGTTTTGAAAACTCCCCTTCTGCTGCCTGGAATTTTCCTTGGTCTCGATACACAGTGGCCAGCTCGCACTTGATTGCTAGGATGTCTGGATGGTTTTGGTCGAGAGAACTCTCTCTAGCTTGTTGCAGAATGCTCAGGTACAGCTGCTCAGCGCCCTCTAGATCGTTGCGTAATCGGAGGAGTGTGGCCTGATTCGCATCACAGCCAATGATGTCCGCGGGATGGGCATTTGCAGGCCCACCGTATTTGTTCCGATCCGCCCGGACCTGGTCGATCCGCATTACTGCCTCGTCCAGTCTCCCAAGAGACTCCAAGTTCATCGCGTGGTCCTCGCGAATGCTCAGCAACATAGGATCATCGGGGCCGAGATGCGCACTGCATGTTTTCAGTACTTCAGAGAATGTATCATCAGCCGCCTCGTAATGGCCCAGGTTGCGTAGGGCTCTGCCGAGATAGTGTTTGCTCTCCAAAACTAGGTAGTCTTCCGGTTTGTGCATCTTCATCGCTTTAAGAGACTGGTTGGCGAACTCCATAGCTTGGTCGGGATAGCCCATTTCTAGCTGGTACAGGCTGGCGTAACATAGCACCTGTGCCTGCTTTCTAAGCAGTTCAGCATCCGTCAGGCGATGTCGGGCCACCTCTTGAACATGTGGGTTAAGGCGTCTGCACGTGTCTCGGTTCTCATAGCGCCCCACTGGGAAATTCCGACTCATCCAGCATATGAACTGCGATAGGAAGTACTCAAAATGTCTGTTGTTCCTCAGCCAGTCTCTTACTGCCAGCTGCACGAGTTGGTGCATTGAGAACACCCCGGGATCCCCCTCAGCGATGAAGCCCGCGTCAAGCAGATCCTGCACGGCCCCCTCGGGGGCGTCGGTGGAGCGTTGATTGTCTCCATCTCCCAGTGGCGATGGCTCGATCGTTTGGAGGTGGCTCTGGTGGCCCTGGGAAGACTCGGGCACCGCGCTCTCGTCGGCTCCGCCCCTTTGAGACTCAGCAAGCAATTTTGGAATGTGATCGCGATCGAAGAACGACATGAAACAGAGCAGAGAAGCTGCTGGCGTTGTGGCCTTGCGGCTCGGCTCGAGGAACTCGACGACGGGTCTCCAACAGGCCTTGATATAGTCGGAGGCACTACAGTCTCGTCGGAACTGATAACTTCCTTCTTGGAAAAAAGCTCCTAGAGACGTTTTTTTGCGTTTCAGCTCTTGCTCGTACGCGTTGACTGAGATGGGTTGGGGGCGTCGGCGTATGTACGCTGCCGCCTGCAGGATTGCGAGTGGATTGTACTCCAGTGTTTTGACCAACTCCATATAATCCTGCTTGCTCTGCTGATTTTGGTCGCCGAGTTTTTTCAGCAGCAGTTTCGCAGCCGCGCCTGCCCTCATTGCCCTCACGGGCACAATGTCGCTGGATCTGATGCCTAGAGCCATTGCAGTATCCTTATCTCTTGTCGTGACCAAGATTGAACCGTGGGACACATTTGAGAGGAGGTGCACAAAATCCCTCCGCTGAGCGCCGCTGTCATCGCCTGGTGTATTGGGATCGCCGTCGCTACAACTGAGAACGTCGGCGCTGGACACACCATCTAGAACCAAGAACCAGGGACCACTCGACGGGTCGAGAAGCCATTGTGCGACGCGTTCCAGGTCAGTTGTGCCATGATCTGTAATGTGAAGCAACTCAGCGATGGACCTGACGTCTCCCAGGAAACGTTCACGCGTCTCCGCGCCTATCCAAAACACCAAAGGTAGTCTGAACACCTCATTCGCTTGGCAACAGTGCTCAATAGCCAGTTGCGACTTCCCCACGCCGGCAGGTCCCACAAGCGCAACACGGTAGCCAGACTTGGATTTGGCGCGTTTCAGTATTGGAACTACTGCTGATCCTCCCCGCGGAGGGATGAAGTCGGAGTCGGGTTTGAAGGGAGGCAGCGGACGGTCAACGATGAGCTCGTTGCGGTCGGCAATCAGCGGACCATCGAGACGCGGTCTACGCCAGAAGAGAAAGGCCATAGTAAAGTACGTCAGCTCCTTGAGTGCTATGTATTATCGCACAGACCACCCCGATATCTGGTTGTGGGTGGAAGCAGGGACAAAGTCATTCTACGAGAGACCTCTAGACTAGATGTTTTTATAGGTTTGATGATACCTTTCCAGCTCGGAGATGGTATAGCTTCATCTCACACTGAACAAAAACAATGGTGTGATGGCTAGAAATCAAAGGAGCTCTTCGGATTTGTGTACTTATGAGAATGATATTTGTCGTACCTTGTGGAGGAGAACAAACAACCAGGTCAGCTCGCGTGGAATGCACCACTGCAGTATGTAGCATCAACAAACTTGCAGCTCCGGCTCTCTTTGAGATGGTTCGTATACTTGATTGGCTTGACCCTGATTAGTGATAGCCCCTGTTTCGTGACTAAGCCTACGGCTTTCAGCACACTGAAAACGCTGGCGGTTGCTGACCGCACCCGCTGAAAAGATGGAATGGCCGATGCGGACAGCCCCACCATAACACCATGATGCATCCGAGTCCGTTAAACGGCAAAATGGTACAAGCTGGCTGTAACCTGTCGATAATGCTGAAAGGGGACGACCGGCTAGCTCAGGAGATGTTCGTGAATGAATTAGCCTTCCTTCACATCCGAATTTCGTAGAAATCTCTCGTGGTCACTCCAGATTGAGGGCCAGTTCCGGGGTCCAGATCGGTCAGTGCATCTTAATAAAGCCCCACTCGATCTCTGGTTAGACGGCCTGGCTTGGGCACCACTTACGTAGCAGACGGAAGAACAGAGAATATCGGGGATGGCAAATCAGTATGAATGACAATCTCATGGTGCATTCGGCGACGCCATGATACTACTCACTTGCTCTAATCAGACTGGCTCTACTCCGGACTGGCGTTGTCAAATGTTACAGCGCGCACATAGGGTTCTAGGCAGTTACATCCACCACGGCGCCTTCTGCACCATCCTTCAATATGAGCACTTCTGCCATTACCAATAGCTTTTGCTGCCACCCCCGGCAAGCGGTGGTTCACATTATCTAGCCCGAAAGTCGGGAGTAGATTAAGCAGGAGCTTAGTTGTAGCCCTGCCGTATGAGTCCATCTTTAGCTCCACGTGTCCAAAGTACTGCAAGTGTTGCGCTTCCAAATCCGTTATTAGTGTCTGTCCGTGAGGGTGGGACTCATGTGTGCGTGCCTCTTCGCCAGGGGCGTGCCACAGTCTATGTTGTCCTGCCTAGCAGCTATCCGGCCGTCTTCCCGATCAAGGCCAGATGTGTCTAAGCGGGATAGATCATCACGTTTTGAACAAGGGACGAAAGTGTTGCGGCGCGGCAGCTCGGATAGGATCTGACGATACTAGCCAATGGCCTCGGCGCTGAAGCGGTCCTGCAACATTGTGTCGCAGACCATAGACTAGTTTTGTCGTTTCTCCAACACTTTGTCGGCGCCAAGTGAGCTCCAGAGTCTCATGGTTGTAGATGAGGAGGACAAAATCAAGGTTGCTGTCGCTACGCTGACCAATGCCTGACATCTCACGTCATAGGTAAGGTGACTACTACGTGAATATTATTCATTTGTGGCTTGCTTGAACTTATCTTTGCACAATGACTGAGATAAACGCCGCCCTTCGCTTAAGAGTAGCCGTTTTAGTAATGATGAGAGTATATAAAGGCATCCTCAGTTCCAAAAATGGTCACTAAATAATGGTATTTACTAGGAGCAAAAGCCGAATATCTAGTATTCTAGAAACAAGAGGTCAAGATAACACTTATGAAGAGGCCACTCCGGAGGAATACTTTGACGCGGAAGATTACAGATCAGAAACGCCAGATTGTACAACGAAACCTTTAGACACCAACGACCATATTACGCCCTTTCTAAGAGCACTCCTTCAAGAAGACTGGTCCAACGTTTATGGAGTAGCGCAGTATGCAGAAGACGTGCCTCAAGCTCTACAAAGAGCGAATGAGTTTGAGGAAGGCGATCTTTTACAGGAGCTCGAAGCCTTTGTTAAGGACTGGACTTCAAAGGGAGTTCTACAGCCTATAGTTCAAATAGAAAGGCGCGATCTGCGGGCGTTTTTCACTCTCATTACCAACTGCGTTGCGAGACGGGACCCGAAGCTAAGTATTGACGACCTACGGGTTTACTTTACCTGGGCATCCATTACGAATCTTTGGGCTCGTCGTTCTTTCCCGGGCAACGGGGGGAAAATAAAGCCCGACAAGGACTTCCATTTCAATCTGGCTATGCATTCGATTGAATTGGGAAATATTAACATGGTTGATCAACTACATGATAGTAGGAAGGTCTGGATTTTCATAATGCAGATGCTTACAAAAGACTGGCCTGATTTTCCATTACTTAGCCCCTTTTTTACAGCTGCCAGAAATCGCGCACACCAGGTCCATGTTCGAAGCGATAACTATGTTAATAAGAGGCTCAGGAACATCCTTAAGAATTGGGATGGGGTGATCAAACAATTAGAATCTTTGTCAAAGTGGCAAGGTCAACCACATCTACAGCTTGCCGTTGTCATCGCAAAATTCATCTCTGAAGACGCTCGAGTGGGAGACAAGTGGGTCCATTTAGCGATGGCACTGGCGCTGAAAGACGTCATCGAACAGTCAATCAACCTCGGCGAATGGATCACATTCCTTCAGGGAAACTTAACACAACCATCGAACAGGGCCCAGGCGCTTGTAGATCTTGGATGGTCTTGGCCTTTATGGCGCTCGCCATATGAGGCAACAGCCAATGATAGATCAAGCGGTGGGAAGCCTGTTCCTTTTCATATGGACGATATCCTCTTTGAGAATGCAGCTACACTATGGCTACCAAACAGCAATCGTAGCTTCTATAGAGGCATCAAAATTCCGGCAATGTCCAGTGTATATACGGTATTAACGATGATCACCTCTTTCTACGAGAGACGAGCAATGCTAGAAGAGGAAGATGAGAAAGCTGGAGAGATAATTGACGAAGACGAAACATATAATTATACGGATCGTTTCCTTGAATACTTTGAAGGGATTTCAGAAAATGAAGATGGGAAAATTGACGGATGGAAAGTTAACCTTGGAAGCTGACAGTATGTATTTCCCATCTCGTAGATCATAACTAAATCAGTTTCCTTCCCGTCAGACTTTTAGAAGAATCTGTCATGGTAGCTTGGTTCCTGATTGATGGCCGGTCCCAGAGTTTTGATCGATCAGTGCACCCCGCCCCCAGATGAATGTTGCCCCTCGACCTACATCACTGGCTTGGACGCGGGTAAAGTGCTAGGCGAAGAACAGAGAGGATCGAGGATATTACATTGGCATGAATGCCCGAGTGCACTTGAGGAAGCTAAAGTACTACCCAGTTACTCTATCCAGACTCGAGTCTACTCTGGGCCCTGCCGCTCGTGGTTTTGTTTCAGGGCCAGCATTATAAAACTACACGACCCTCGCTCCCAGTATCCGGATATTTCATGCTAATATCCATATCTGCATCGTGAGTCACCTGCGTGCCGAGCCAAAATATAGGTACCTTACCTTCGACATAAACTCTAGGCATGGCTTCCCTTCCTTGGTTAATCGAGGACGTGATATGAACAGGATTTCCCCCCCGAAGGACATCACAATTGTAGAATACATTTTACGTATCAACTTGATCTCTTGACTAAAAGGCATCTAGGACAGAGGGCAGCCACCAACTAATTGGGAACAGGTGATAGACTGAGCGCTTCTGCTTGGACTCCTCTCTCGCACCAACGGCGCTACGCTAACTGCCACATCCAGGCCCAGGCCCGTGACCAGTGAGAGGAGACCCGATGGACCGTTGAACCTCGAAGAGCAGTGAGGGAGCTCTCCACATCCGAGGCAGAGCCTCCGGACATGAAAGTCTCCATACTAAGGATAAATTGTGTTAGCCGATATCTGAGTTATTGGAATATCATCATACAAAACGCCGGAGAAGTTGGCGCGGGAGGCTCGCGCGTTGCTTACTGTTATGATGGAGATGGGTTAGCCGATTCAGAAAACCATGTTTCGATTATCATAGGGGGGACTTTTGCTTACCACTTGGGCATACTGCTCGTTAGTTAGCTCGGTAAGGTCGAAATCCGTACCATCCTCGTAAACAATGAGGTCAGGCTTTTGGCACGGCTCGCCATTCTCCGCGAGATTCTCTTGTATGTTGGACCTTGCGCTGGCGAAGTAATACCTGCCCGCTCGGTATTGGGGCGTGGGAAAACACAAATCGGGACTGCCCCCGCTCTGCCCAGACCCGGCCACTGTGCCATTGCACCCCTCCTGCCAGTACCCAAGCCCAAGGATGTTCCAGTCGGAAGGTATTGCATTCCAGCTGATGGCCGAGTTCGTGTCTTGACGGCCGACAGAGCAGCATCTATCCGGGTTGATGTTGGTGCACTGCCAGTAGTGACCACTGCAGCCGCGTTGTGCGTACCAGCGGAAGTCGATGGCCGTGGAGGTGGCTACGAGGCTTGCGAGGATGGGGAACTTTACGAACAGCATTTTGGCTGGAGGGTTTTATGAGATTCTTTCTCACCAAGAAACTGACTGGTGGCTTATGAGGATGGAAGGAGCAGACACTGACGTCCATAAATGCAAGTAGGACTGACTTTTGTATGCAGGTGAGGTATGCCAACTCGAAACCTAAGCAAGTGCACCGAGTGATGTTTACCATTGGCAAATAAAGCCGCCCCAGCTTTAAAATAATGACGATTCTTTTCACGCTATGCATTGTCATTAGACGCAAAACAATATGTCGGGATGTACTCCATGCGACGGAAATGGCCGGCACGACAGTGACCAGTCTAGTACTGTAGCATGCATAGTGGGGTGATCATTGCAAAGGGTCGAGATGTTTCTGCGCAGAGTGGGGCTAGCATGGGTGTAGTCAGGTTTTCGGGGCTTGCAGTAGACACACGTAAAAACACGCAAACAAGCACGCACAAAACCAAGCAAACCCAACCCTAAGGCGATGATAAGTAAAAGCCGGGGTACACTTTGCTAGTGCAGCCATTTGTAAACCTCGAAGAGGGTCAAGAGTCCGTTCCATTTGATTACTGTAGAATCATTCAACCAGCTATACGCTCGCCGAATGATGTGCCGCGCTTTGATCATCGCTTCAACTTGGTGCTGGTGCTGTTGCGATACAGCCTGCATTTGGTTTTCTCAGGGTGGAGGTATGTTGTGAAGCCATAGGGCAAGGAAGCCTGCAAACAAGCACTCCGTTATGCTAAGAGCTTGGCAAGGCATACAGGCGAGCGTGACGCCAGGCCTCCCCCCTCCCCCCTTCATCTTCGTTCAGACAACTGCGGAGGACTTCAAAGCCACAGAGAAGTTGGCTCCGATGTACCCGTCAGTCGTAGCCCTCCAGTCTTCACCAGTGCCAGCTTTCAAGAATCTCCTGACTCGCGAGAAAAAGAAGAACATTTTAGTCACAGCCCCGAGCGGCGCCGAAGAGAAGAAACTGCTGGCCAAAAAGCACGTTAAGTCTGACTATCCTGAGGTGAATTGATGCCCAGTGTTCGTAAAGAAGCTCGAAGCTGTAGTCAGTGGGGTCTGTGACAGCCTGACGACCGTGGAGGACAAGAAGGCACACAAATTTGAATCAAGAATGCCATCACTGAAATGTCCACAGCATGGAGATGCTCAGATTTACTCAGAACAATATTGTCGAGGAAGTGCTGGTTATAGCCACAGCTTGTTTGGAGCACTGTACGATGAGCATGCAAAAGAGGATACGAGAGGCCCTGAAGCCGCTGACCTCAACCTATATCATTCCTCCTCGTCACCCCCGAGAGAAAGTGCCGGCCTACAAGTGGAAGTTAATGCTCCTTGCGACAGCCCTTCTATCTGCCATTAGTGGTAGATTTTTGTTCCTCATTTCGAGACTTACGCGATCACCAGACGGCCCAACCGTTTTGCTAATCGACTGACGGAATCTTGCTTTTCTCCATGCTTCTAGGCTCCAACGTGTCAAATGTCTCCAACACGCATGTAGCCATCTATGAGGTCTTTGGGCAGATTGAGGTACTACCTTCGGTATCCTTGGCGAACTCACTTGTCAATGCGGCGTGCATCCCGCTCTTTCGCGAGCTCACGCGCATTTTCGACCTGAAGATGTTGTACATTATCGCGGTGGTGCTAGTGATGGTTTCTGCGGCGGTGATTGGCGCTGCCCTGAGCATCGAAGTCGTCATTGTCGGTCGCGCGATGCTGGGCATTGGCGGTGCCCTCTCATACCAGTTGATCCTAACGTACAATGTTGTCTTTGCATTGCCCCTCGAGCTCGCCTTTGCGCAAGCCATGGTCGGCGCCTGCTTTGCAATCGGCCTTCTGACGGGCCGCTTGATCGGGGGTGCCCTTACTGAGACGCCGCACGCCACCTGGCGCTGGGCCTTTTATATTGTCGTTATGGGTGCCGTGCCTCTTGGTATCAATATCAAATACCTACTTCCAAGTCGATAGCGACACAGCCGGACGAGATTGACTGGTTCGGCTGTGTCCTGCACATGGCCACCCTCGTCCTGCTGGGCTTTGCGTGCATCGGCGGCGGGATCACGTGACCATGGGGCTTCGGGTCGTCTATCGCCATCCATGTGGCTTTTGGACTAGTGCTCGTCGGCAATGTTGTCCAGCAGACCTTTGGCCTGGGGACTACCGCGGAGCCCCGCATTCTGCTCCTCACGGTTCTCACCACCAGACCCGTTGTCTCGCTCGTGGCGCTCTACAGTATCTGCGCGGCCATGAGTTATGGCGTCACGATATACTACACGCCGCTACACTTTACCTCTATACGCGGCGAGACCCCCGTCTGAGCCGCCGTCCGCCTGCTGCCATTCATCGGTCCTTTCATCATCATGATGTGTATCGCAGCTGGTCTGCTGCCAAAGGTCCGCTACTACATGGTTGTTTTCGCCTCGGGCTCATTGCTGCTGGTCATCGGTAGTGACCTGTGGCCACTCGTACTCCCAGACACCTCTGAGTCGCCTATTGTAGACTTCGACGCAATCACTGGCCTAGGCTGCCGCCTCATCTGCTCGCTCGACAAGCTCATCGCCTCAGTACTCTTGCCTACAGAGATGCACTTTGACGCCGCTATGCTATACAATCTGTCCCAGCTTAGTGGTGTCATTATAGCTAGGGCCGTCTATCAAAAGGTTGGCCGCCAGCGTATGCAGCACTCCGCCGAGGGCGGTGCCAGCCAGACGCTCACCGACCTCGAGTGCCTTGAGGTGCTGACCGACATCAAGTCGGTTCTGTTCGAGAGGGCTCGCGATGATCCGGCCCTGGGTCCCCGCTATCGTCGAAGGCCTGACGACTGTTGTTGTCCGCCTCTTCTGGATAGTCTTCGCCGCGGGCTTGCTGTCCCTGATTTGTAGCGCACTGATGAAGTTCGAGGCTGTCAACTTCATCCCTGAGGGTGACAAGGTGCGAGCCACAGCTGCTGAAAATTGCGCCAAACGTGATAATCCTGCCGCATAAGAGGCCTCAAGCAGGCGAAGACAATCATTCACCGCATCCTTTGACTTGTTGCTGACCCCATAACCCAATGCGATTTGAAGGCAGGCGGCATAGGGAGTCAAGCAAGATATAGTATGTACGTTAGTGCAAGACTTCATTACTGTTTCATGGACTGAGACATATGTGGCTTTGCACATACGCTAAACCAGAGGTGGTCAGCAGCCCGGACGCAATGGAGGGCCAGCCGAGGAACTATATATGCTCTCAACCGATGTAGGGCGAGCCGGGTGGACTTCAATGCGTTTATTTCGTGAGACGTGGGCATTGTACATAGCCACTGTGTATCAAGCCCGGATACCTCAATTAACAAAGTCTCCCACTGTCTATAGGTAGTACGGATGAACGTCTTTGAGAAACATCCATCCATACATCGCGTCCCACAAAGCCAACGCATCATCACGCCCACAATGATAGTTCCCAAGCAGCGGTAAAGCAACGCGGCTATCCAAATTACTCTTTGCATCACCGTCTACGTGAAGATCACGGAAGTGTCCATCTTGTGGCCATTTCATCTCGCCTGCTTCATCTTCGATATCAGGCCAACTCGATGTGCGCGCAATCCCTCTGATTGTATTAAGGCTGTGTAATATACTGCCGAAAAGCCACTGGTCGTACGTGCAGTGTGCATCCAGCAAATGAAATAAAGCAGGGGCCTTTAGCCTCCCTGGATATACACTTCCTTCTTGCAAACCATCACAACCAACACAGGTCACAATAGTTCGAAATGTATCGTCTGTCCCGTTCAACCATGTGTAATCTGATTCTGATCCTTGGGAATAGAGGTATTCGGCCATGCGCCATACCTCAGGTGATGTCAAGAGAGCAGGGCGCCCTCCACTTACGGGTCGGCCTAGCCTTACTTTCAATGGAGATCTACACAGACGCCACCACTCGGTCAAAGCGATAAATAGAGCTTCATGCCAGCCTAATAGACTCACATTCACAGCCTGAGTTATCTGTTGTGCTTGTTCTAGCCCTTTCATCAGACTGTGTCCGGCTGTCGAACGATTCAGGCATTCGGCGGAGGCCTTCTCCAATGAGCTCATCCTGATGGTAGGATACCAGCCTCGTTTCTGTACAGCCCAATCAGGGACCTCCTCGGCTAAGGCCCAGTCAGCGGGGCATGTTCCTTCACTTATGATTGTGGGCAGAAACTGAGGCTTGGCAGGGCAGTATGATGCCGGACAGGTTTCTCTTCGAGGTGTAGCCAAGGAGGCCATCGCCATCGTGCTAAACAGGAGCGACTGCGCGTACTTCGACTGTTTTACCATTTTGGAAAAACCAATATAGACAGGATATGTCCTGCTTCGACAAGTCTAGCGTTGATTCTAAAGTATAGACCGTTGTTATGGAAGAGTTTATATTGTTTTGTAATCGTATGACGCTATAAGAGCAGTTATTTATGGACGATAACGTTGGTCAGCGTTTTCTGAGGCTATTAGTCCATGTTATCAAGATAAAATCTCAATAGGTTTATTGGTGAGCTAAAGTGGCACTGTAAGTGCTCAAGGTCGAATGAGGGCGCGCATACATGCAAATAATTCAGTTGGGTCAGCATGGCACCAAGGCGGTGCGCTTCGGCCGCAATATGAGATCACTTCTGTGCATGACTACACCTTTGTCTACGGGACGAACCTCCAGGCCAGTGTAACGAGCGTGTAAGGTTGCATGTATCTGCGTTCAGAGACGCGGATTTTATTCCAGCCTCAACTACCTAAGCGACAATAGAATAACATTTGGTCGACGCATTGGAAAGCAAGAATAATGACAAGACAACCACTTCTACTTTAGACCTCGATATAAGTCACGCCCGGATTGATCTTTTAAGGCAAGCGCGGGAAGCAGCTTATGTTGTGCCGCTCGTGACGTCTCGCACACATAACCAAGGTGCATCCTTTAGAGACATTGCTTCTCCGCTGTCGGTCCTGAGCACGGCAGAAGACAGAGTCAAACACCTTATAGCAAATGCCTTCCAGGAACAAGAACAAGGTGTCCCTCGTTTCAGCTAGATGACATACCGCTATGGCGTCCAAAGAAAAGGGCATCTTTAGGAGTTAGGGAGCTGATTAAGGACCTCATCAGCCCCTGGCGCGAGTTCCTAAACGAGCTACAAGGCGGAATAGCTAGTGCAGGACTGTAGGGACCTATTCCGTGGCGGAACGAAAGGTGAACGGGACTAGAAGGGCATGCATAAAGATAAGGCTAACCTCCGGAAGCGCATAAAGTCGTTACTATGTCCCTGGGACCACAGGGGTGACGAGAGGATTGACCCAGAGCCCTTTCGGCGGAGATCCACTGGCTGCTGACCTGTGCATGACGGGACTTGACCATGGTCAAACAGACTTAAAGTCCCCCTGAAGCGCCCCATTAAGGCTGAAAATTTCGCCATTTCTTTCGTTGTGCTATCATCAAGTTATCGAGCTTCTAGATTGGGCATGCCTGAATCATTGAAGATGGACACGACGGCTCTCGTCTGTGCCATCATTGGCATCCTGATTTTCTCTATCAACGTCCTAATCTTGATTTTGCGGCTTAAAACCCGGAAGAAACTGCGCCCTCAGGGCTCGCCGTACTTTCATGGCTGGGATAACTGGTTCGCGATCATTGCAACAGTGAGTTCCCACTGCCGCAAGGAGGTGGTCGCCGGAGACTGATCCTGTTGATCCTTCCAGCTTTTCACCTTCGCCGTGGTAGTGCTCGCGGTACAAGGTAAGATTATACATCCTTCTGCCTCCGACAGGCAAACCATCGTATGCCCTCTTAACTCGACAATTAGGGTTCGCGGGCGGTATCGGGTACGATCTGAACCCTGAGTCCGAGATCTACACTCTTTGTGAGTACAGCAGCCACTACGAGTTTAGACCTGTCAACACTCTAACAGTAACAGTGATAGATCATTTGCCGGCCCTGCTGCAGGTGGGTGCCCCCAAAGGGCGATGGTCGTACATGCCATGCATATTGACATGATTTCTAGGTCACGTTTGCCAGCACCATCTTATACAGCTGTGCCCTCAGCTGCACGAAGTGCTCCCAGCTGTGCTGGTATATAACGTTCATTTCGACACAGTGGATCAACTATTGCTCTATCCTGGCCATATCCTGCGTTGCTGCTTGGCTTGTAGCATCCGTCACCGTCCTTGTGCTTGTGTTCATCAATCCCATGCGAATCCCGTGGATCGAACAGCGACCCGGCTTGGAAGTTCTCATTTTCACACACATGATTACCGAGGTCTTGATCGCAATACTTCCTCTCTATCCCGTATGGAAGTTAAATATGAAATCTTCCGATAGGATGAAGACGATCGCTTGGTTCTCGATAGGCTTGGTGTAAGTAAATGACCTTTCCTGATTATCTGTCTCCATGAGGAGCTGACGCCGGTTTTTCCTTCAGGCATATAATAACGAGTGCATTGCAATTCAAGTTCTTACGAGAGGTCCAACCGTCAAACCTAACAGGAACTTTGCTGCCTACGATACTCCTTGGAATCATCGAGCTTAACGTAAGCCTTTTATGCGTTAACCTGGCGATGGCGCGACACTACCTCTATCCCGTGCGTAGCGAAAGAAAGCCGGTTGGCCATGAGGGCCACCAAGAACAGCATGAAATGCAGGTCCTTTCGAGCTCTACCAGACGCTCTAGCAATTGCCACAGCGGGGCGCTTGCTCGCGTCGATAATGATGGACCCTATGTTGTTGCCTTACAGTTAGCCTAGAAAAAGCAGTGTACCGGAGATTGTGAGAGCCGATTGTGGCGAGGAAGACTGCCGTTGACGTTCTAGCATACAGGGGTAACCGATCAAGAAATACCCTTGGATGTGGTACAGGGATAAGGTGTACTTTGGAGTTAGGAAGGGTGTCCCCTCTGCATATGTCCACAGGAACCATGCAGATTGGAATTGTGGCGAGACAGCTGTCTATGCAGTAGCTACGAAGGATGGCATTACATCACCCTAGATATGCCCGAAAGGCCCGGGATGGCCGAACTTTGCCAATCTTGCTTCCACTATGGATCTGTCAGCCTCCTAGCACATGACCCGCGAGGTTGTTATGATTTCCTATGATTAGAGGTTTTGAAGACTGTCAAAGAAGCTCTGCCAAATCTTGATCTGGTACACCATGTCCAATAGTGCGGTCCTTTTGACGAGATGAGAATCGAGCATTGAAGCAACCGTCGTGTTTGATGCATCCACAAATGGACATGTGATAATATTCCATAATGTCTAGCATGTTCCGTCTATCCAAATTTCCTCGTCTCGCTAGAGGGTGCTGGTTTTGACCAGGAGTTACGGCCTAAGAACCCGACAACCTTGAACCTCTGCCTTGAACACGTGAGCGACTGGATTGACCAGTCAGTGTGGAGAACAATACGTTCGTGCTTACGGACAATTTTCTCAATTGCGAAATGTCCGAACTGCTCTCTACTCCTTCTGCAGCCTTTTGTAGCAGAAAGGATTGGGATGGTGTGTGCTGCCGATCGATGACTGCTCAATCCATAGAGTCGGTTTATATCTTCGTTTTCATCCTTGCAAAAATTAATAAGCTGGTCGAGGTCCATCACCACCTCCGCTACTGGAACACTCCAGGGCGAGAATACCCTCGAGGCTCTGCTGGGCATTACTCACAATCCAGTGCGTGTGCAAACCGTCTTCATGCCGTTAGTTAATCGCAGGTGAGCATTGCAAAAGCTATAAACCGCCACCAATAATGAGCATTGCGAAGATGTATTATTTGACGAGTCCTCTTGCATACAGCCTTGGGAAATACAGCCATTGCCGTTCAAAGTCTTGACGTCGACTATTGGTCATCTCGTGTCGTGTTGTGTCTTCTACCAAGTTGGCATTTGTCATACTCAACATCACGTCCTCGGCTATATATTCAGCGTAGCCGTTTGCAAGAAAGCTCCCTTCCCAGAGATATCAAGATCGATTATGTTGTCATCTAACACGAAGAATGGGCGCAAAACCAAAGACAACCCATCACGTCCCATGACTTTCCGTACTGGGAGTATCCACTACAGGCGTTGGGTGCCCGGGTCCAGGCTGCGAAACTATACGAGTCGGTTGTATGATTTTTGCCTCACACTAACCGGTCGAGTTCTCCTTGCAAATGTGTCTCGGTGGACAAAGCGGTGGTAACTAATAACATGCCGTGCTTGAATAATCCTTCACGTATACTCTCAGTAGAAACACGTTCCTAATTCTACTCTGCGACAGTCACCAAAATCGCTCGTCCAAGGGACAGGGTCCCCACATAGGCCATTAGGGTCATGACCTTTGGCAATCCCTATCCGCTGAGATGTTGCAGGCTTCGAAAGCCAGATGTTCACTTCGGGACATCAGAATACGCAAGCGCTGCCCCGCAGCGGCTACTTGGAACTTAAACTACATAGAGGATAACGCTAACTTATCTGAAAAGCTAATCTTATCATTATTGTCATAACAGTGATGCAGTGTTTGACCACTCTCGCAGGCCTCGAGTAATCTCACGACCCTGCGATGCATAATGACGGCCGGGCTATTGGGACGTGACATTCAAAGCCGATCAGAATCCCGTGGAGTTGTGTGTGCATTTGGATAGGAATCTTACTTTCCTCGCGAGTGCAAGACGCCGCAGAGGACGCCACTTTCCTCATGACGTATATGGTTATTGATTATGTACGTACAATACTACACTAGGTCAGAAAAGGCGAACTTCTAGACTGTAGCTAAAGGCTACAAGTAAGGCTAGACTACGATCGCGAACTTACATAGAAAAAAATCAAATCTACTCAGCCAGTCATCATTGGCAATAATGAGTATGGTTTGGCCTTCACGGGCTGATACGACGGCGTCGGATCTGAACCAGCCACGACTCACCGGGCGACCGGCAAGCAACTCATAGTCCTTGAATGAAACGTAGCTGGAAATCGCGCTGCGTCTAGAACGCGAAAGATGGGAGCGTGCATATGCATGGCGTCATACACTGAGAAATCAGGCCTTTGAAACTCTCACCGTGTGCCGAAGCTAGGATGATAGCAGGGTATGGCAGCCTCCTAGTATTGTGGCTGCCTAGAGGAAGTTCCGCGATTGGTCCACGGTTTCTACGTACCTTCGCGTAGCGAGCTCAGCACACTGCAGGCATGGGACTAGATCAAATACTAAGTATCAGATGCTTCGGTGAATCCGACGGTGACTCCGAGTTTTTCAGGTGCTGAGGTCGCCTGAATAACACAGGTACGGCATAGCACGTCCAGGCATTACTGAAATGTGCTTCAGTCATCATAATAAAGTCTTGAGTATACGCTGAGGACATGACGTGCAACGATGAATGCTCACTATCGCTCCTTGCCAAATGGAATGGATGTCGCTGCTCTGCCACGGAAATCAAACGTTGTCTTAGATCAGACTTAGGACGATCGGGATGGTGGGACTAATGCATCTCTCCATCCTCGATTATTTTCACAGACGTCGGTCAACCTTTTGGTAATATGCAAGATTATCCTAGCGGCTACTATGATCCAACCTTAGAACTGCCTCCGCTCAAAAAGCAATCACGTACCAAATTAAATTGCGCTCTGAAAGTCAGCTCCGATACACGTAGGAATTAGCAGGGGGATAGCCTCATGCCATCCTTGCTCTGATGTGCCTTGCCCAGGCACGAGGGGTCCCGAAGCCGTAGTCAGGGGCGCTCAGGGGCGCACGATATGCCGATGGATGGAATGAGCCGCGATAAGGCCCGACCGAGCCAGAGAAACAATTTCCCACAGAAATCATTGTAGCTAACAGCTCTACGGCACATCTTCAAACTCTTGACCATCAAGATCTAGTCAATTGTGCGAAATGCCGTAGTCACGCGTACACACTTGCACCGGCCGTGAGCTCAAATATTCACGAACAATGTTCGCAGTGTCCACCTAGCCACAAGTGACAGTATCTTCAGTGTCATTCCCATTATCAGACTCGTCCATGGTCTGGATTGCTACTTCATTGAATCTACTGCAGGCTAAAAACAGGCCCTCATATGGTCGCATCAGGATCAGTCAACAGACTAGGGCATCCCTCAGTCGGATATAGCCGCCGTCAATCGGGCCAATCGGATGCGCATCCTTTGAAGCCGTCCTGCACGTCCTCGGCGGTTCCTGCATAGCCTTGAATATCGAAGAGTCTTGGCTGGGTCTTGGATCTTTGGTTTCTTCTTTCGCTGAAGGATACCAGCTTCTTCGCCTATAAGAAGTGCTTCACCCCATGCCGATTAATCCGAATAGTTCCTCAGTATCATCTAATTACCTTTTACCTTCGCCCTTATTATCTCATCAGGCGCCCCTCTTGCATTCGTCAGATCACCTCAACAGCTTTCCTGGACTTTGACTCTCCTAGCAACTTGGTTTGTACGTGGGTTATCAATCCGAGCCATGTCACGCGGCGTCTACGATACCACTGGAGTTCCAAAGCCGCCCCCAAGGCCGTCGCCAAAGTAAGCAGGCCCCACAATAACCGGTAAGATTCTCAGCCAATCTGTGATACTTCTACAGCTCTCATGGATTTCAAGTTGGAGAGGTAGCTAACATGGGTCCTAGCCTGGTCGAGAGCTCATCGTCTTCGACCGTCATCATTATCGGAACCATCAGGTAACGGGTCGTTCATATCTTCAGAGGAGGGGCGGCATAATGGACGTGGTACAAATCAATTAGTTGCACTAGGAATACAGCCATCAAAATCGATAACGAGCCGCTAGTGAGACTCTTCGGATGTGCTGAACGATAGAGCCTGGACATTCGAGGAATGTCAACCTCTCGCTCCACATCTCTGACACCTCGAAATCTCTATAGGTACTACATTCAGGAATTCCATGAGGCTTAAATCGAGATCAACGGATACGTTCTCATCGTTGCAGTACCACAGGTCACAAACAATAATAATTATACGGGGTCCGCTAGCATTAGTTGTATGAATGTAGAAGGATTACATATCTTCCTTAGTAAAGCCTAAAAGTCTCTCAATGCCCAATCCTAATATAACTCTTACTTAACTAGTTGTTGCAGTAGTGTACACGATCCGAAGTAAAGCTATTGCTGGTATAGGCTTTGAAAGTGCCATTGTTATTCTTTAGACGTTATAATCGCGTGTATGATACCAAGAGTCTACGCCCCATTCTTCGGAATACAGATTGCCTTGCTTGGGCCCGTCGGGAGCACGCCTGCACGGAACATCCCACGTCGGAAGCCGAACTCTATATTGATGTACGTCGTATTGATGTTATGAGTAAGCCCTTTCATCAGGACGACTTACGAGTAATCGACTTCGTTTGAACTATATTGAGATTCAGAAGAAGCAACAGAGACATCATCGTACTCCGCGGCATCCGCAGTTGGTGGGGCGTCATTCAATGCCGCAAATGCTGTGCCTCCCACTAACCAATCGCCTCGTGTTTCGAGTCTGTCAGGCGAAGATGTAACCAATCGAAGCGAGACTGCTTCTTCAAGATGCTTCTCAAGCTTAAGAGAAGTGAGCCTGCGTATCTGACCAGCCACAAGATCTGTAAGGATAGAGGTACTTGCAGCCATGCTATCTGCATTGTGACTTTGCAGCAGCGATGGATTATGCCAGAGTTGATGATTATACTGGATCAGATGATACTCGAACTTCTCCTCATCCCCGTGTAGAATTTCTGAGCATTCCCCGTAAATACCAGCGATTAGTGTACCGAAATCCTGCTCAATCCGAAACAAGTGGCGCTCGACGTCTTCCAAAAGCAGACCTTGCAAAGTTGATGACCAGGGTAGCGCAAATATGGAAGCCGTGTCTTGCAAATAGCCAAAAATGACGTCAGGTGTACTTATCCAAGCAATGTCAAAGAAGAACATCGCTGCTGGATGCGGTGGTGTGCCATGGTAATGTAGCCACAGCAATGCCTGCTTGACAACCCAGATACCCAGACCATGTGCTATGAACGTGACTTTGCGGGATTGAAAGACAGGGAGAAGGCCACCAGCCGAGTGGGAGTAGAAGCATTCCTCTTCTAGATCCCCGATGGTTCGTTGAGCACCATGAAACAGTGGCGAACCACTGTCAAGTGTCAAGCTCAGCAGTGAATTACACAGGAAATGTGCAGCAGAGCACAATGCTTTTTTGCCGTACCCTAAGACTTCGGCCGTGTTGAAGGCCATACGCCGCACAACGACTCGCTCTTGTAGTACTTCTGCAGAGTCGCAAATCCATTCTTCGAGGATGTGCCGCGCTCGGGTATACTCGGAAACATCGTGGAGACTATGGCCTCCTTGGGACGTCCGTTCTCTGCAGTCCTCATGGGGTTCAGTGTTACCTGGAACAGCGAAGCCGTGAACTAGGATTATTCTGTTCGAGCACGATATTAGTACGAGCCAACATATATATACACTGCTCCGCTGCTTACTCGTGCGTGTTAGCTTCGTTGTCCAGCTCCCAAACACCGCCTGCTATGCTATCAAATGCCAGCGAGAATTGTACCTGTATGGAATCAGCTTCTTGGATAATGGGCAGCACTGTGGTCAGGGGAGACTAACTGGCGCCTCTGACTCAGCCGCGTAATCACCTTGTTGTTCATGGAGGCTGCTCATTGTTAACCCTACGGTGATTCATTTTGAGGACTTGGGCAAGTGCAGTGGTCATATATGCTGTAAAGTGTGAGCTACAGTGATTATGAGAACCGGTGTCTTGCTGTCAGCTACGGAGTGCCGGAGAGTACTATACCTAGTAGTGAACAGGAGGAATGACGTTTCATAGGAGTAGTAAACATGGCGCCAGTTTGACCTGCTGCCGTTAAGCTGGTGTCACCGTTTTGGTCATTTCATAAAGCTCCCGGACTATTACATCACGGATCAAAGTAATGCAAAAGGGCGTTTGAGGGGCTTCGAGAGTTTCTAACTGCGGTGGGTGGCAGCAGAATACCTTTCGGTATGCATACATCATCCTACTGGAGCAAACCGCGCAAGTCGTTGCTCATCAGACAATCAGGGCTTGCACGACGAGCCCGGTCACGGCCTCCAATACTTCTGTGGCTTCTGGAGGAAGCTGCCTGGCTGAGATTGCAGGCACCTTCCTGGGGGCCTTGACCTCTTGAGTAAATTTCAGGGCCGGTATTGTTATGAGTGTGTCCATTGCCTTGAAACGATATAGAGTAGCAAAGAGGCGGTGTTCTTGACTTTCGTTCACTTAAGTGCATGGCGAGCTAGGCTTTAGCCATCAACCAGCTCTACAGAGCATAGTGACTACATGTTCAACTGGCAATGACTGTACCGGTCACCAGCCTAAAGCTATCATTGGATGCTCTGAGGGCCTGTAATAGTCTGGTAGGTAGGGTTGTCCACAGTATGCTAAGACATGCCACTCTCTAAAGCCCTCTGCAGCTCCCTCCAAGCAAATAGGACTGATATCGGTGGTAAAAGGGTCCGGCATAGCCCCTCCTTCGATACATCTCCAGCTCCGTGGGCATGGGTCCAAAGAGACACTGATAACCAGTGATGGGTGATGAGACCGACCGTCAACTATGTCCAAACAAGTCGAGTAGAGAGGCGCGGGTAGGGAATCATAAAATAAAACGGGACTCCCACATAGGCAACTACATTCTCCTTCTGACTTGAGTTCGGAGGTGAAGCTCACTTCCTACTGATGCAAGGCACTTCAAGAACGAATAACAATTTTCTGTCCTCGTTGCTTGAACGCGCCTATGTATCGAGCTATTCTCTACATGCTCGCAGACCAGATACGTGACCCTCGTTTGCAGGCAAAGTTTCGTTGATTAAGAGGGGCCCGCTTTCTCAGTCCCCGGCCCACATCCGTTCCAGACACCAGCTCGACGCCGCTCGAATTAGAGAGTCCAGCAATGCATTTCTATAAAATTCAAACAACACCAATGAGTAGAGGAGACCCATGGCCATCTTATATTATGATGTTGAGCGGGATACCGTGAAGCCCTCGTTTGACAGGTCGGTGCACGGAGACGTACTCAAGGACGACCTCTTCCTTTTGGAAAGCCCCACTCTGCCGGGGTCCTCGTCGTGCATTGGGCGCTCAGGATAGCCTGGTTACAGACATAATCTAGCTTGTTCTACCTCTCAAGCATGTCCATCGCGTGCATCTTTTTGGACGGCGGCTTAACATTTGGTCAGCGCGCCTCTGTCCTTTGATTGCCACACTCTCGACGGCACACCGACCAATGTTAGGTTTGGCTTGACGTGCGTGGTGTTGCCCAACGTCTCGTCGAATGATGGGCAACTACTATGCGCGGGTCTTTCTACCACGCTTTGACTCCGAACATTCGGAACGGGTCGCTGAGGTCCCGAGAAGCATTGCTCTAGCGATCTTACCCGTCTAACAGAAAAGTGCATTCCCGGCGTCCTGAACAGTACCTCTGGGCCGAATGCATCTTTGCTGTGGCTCGGAGCCCTGGTGGTCCTTGGCTCAGAGTTCGTCCCCCGCCGCTCTTTCAGTTGTCCGCGGAATGAGAAGTGTCGCCACTATTCCAGGCTTTACAGGGCTTTCAAGCTTAGCCCGCAAGATAGAGCGCGTGAGCACCTGGGTGTTTCTGCATGGTAATACCCGAGCAGAGCAGGATTGCAGGCGCCGTCTACAACACGACCGGGTTCCACGAACTCTCGCTTACCCAGGCCGAAGGTGTGAAACCCAGACATCCCGTAGATATTGGCTGGAACAGAGACCATATGGACCTGGCTTAACGGGAAGACTCCTCACTCGGGTCAGCACATAAGGTCTCAAGACAATGGTAGCGCTATGACATACCCTTACTTGACAACTACTGTATAGAAACGTTTATCCAATGGTGAGAGCAAGAATAGAAATCATCTATAACTTACCTCCAATTCTATAAAAGTGTGAGACTTGTAGCACGTGCTCTACTGCTAAGGAACCGGGGACAGCGGTACAACCCTATGCGGAAGGGGCTCCGACTGTCATGTCTGACAATAACCCCAGGATCGCGCACACGCACTGTTCTGAATAGACGCACCAGTACTCGACTACGCTACACCTGTCGTCTGAATTAGTTTTTCGGTCACTGATACTGTATAACATACACCGGTTAAAAATAGGTTCCAACTCTTTATATCATGTAAGGGAGAGTGCTTGCTGGTAGGCCTCCCGCTCTTGTCATAGCCGGGATGATGTAAAAACAATAGTTATTGATATACCAGTACTATTTAAGAGCCCAGGTACTCCAGGCACTATCATAGCACGATATTATGTCCCTCGGCGCAGGTGAATACTTGATTGTTCACACGCGTTCATAGATAATCGCGTTATTACCCTCTTTACCTCAGTATGAGCCCTCTTTTTAGCGCTTACGACCTCCTCGAAAGGCTTCTTGAGGACGACTGGACTGATGTCCCGAGCCTATGCCGATTTGGAGACGCTCGAGCGAAAATCCAAGAAGAATTCGAACGAATTTCTACTCGGGAATGTTATGATAGACTAGAAGTAATGCTCCGACGATGGATGGAATGGAAGGGCGAAAAGAAGAACAACGTCACGCAAATTATCCACAGCGGGCCTATGGGACTTTTCAGTCTTATTCAGGATGAAGTTGCGGAGCACTACCGAAGCCTCGAAATGGGCTGGAGGTTACGCACTTACTACATCTACGCTAGGTTAATAGATATATGGATGTTCGGCGCAGAATATGCATATTATCTATCACCTCCAATGGATCAATGGAGCTGGTTCAAGGGCAAGGAGCTGTGGAATATTTCAAAAAACCTACTGTTGGAACATTTTCTCCCGATATGCCAGGGACATTTCGAAATCCCGGAGCGAGATATTCCGCAATTCTTGAGGGCCTTGGTCCTCCACCGTATACACGAAGCACAACATGTCCATTCCCTTGATCTGAGGCTCTTCAATAGTAGGCGTCAAGACGCAATACGGGTTACAATGAGCATTCCCCCTCGGGAGCAAGAAAATGCAGTCAGGCGATACTTAAGGGAATGGGCAGAACGTGGTACAATCGACACATATACGAGTCAACTCGACCAGGCAAACTACCAAAACCTGTGCTACTACATTAGGAAACACATCTCTTTGGCAGTAACCGGCAAAGTTCACGGTCCGCTATGGGAAACATATCATATCCTAGCCCAGGTCGCCGAGCGGTTGTCGTATCAGCATCCACTCATCGATCATACCACCCGATTCTTGCTGGAGCAGAGGACACCTACACAATATTCCCCAGAAGAGCTGCTTAAGATGCAATGGAAATGGGACATACTGCAAGAACCGTGGCATCTAGCTTATGTGATTCATACTGGGGGCCCCCGAGTCGTCAATCCGAATCTAGTCATGTTTGGAGAGGACACAGAACTAGTAGTTTCGGAAAAAGGCACCTGCAATCTCCTGATGAAGAAGCAGATGTCCAGAAAGAAAACTGTTCGGCAGGTCCTACAAGCGATTAAGGTTCTGGTCCATCGATCTTATGTCGAAGGTCATTCTTCAGTGCGACTGCAAGGCTTTTCTCGTAAGGGCTCAAGTGTAGAGGTTAAGGTTGCTTCAGTGGTTCCCTAGTGCTCCCCGAAGGCGGGTTACACACATGCTCTTGACACTTAAGCCTAGTTATCTCACTATCTCAGCGAAGAACTGGACCAGAATCAAGGTGTGCATTAATGAGAAGTAAGAATATGGAGCTTACGCTGCCTTTTTATGGCAGATTCGAACTCTGTAAAAACTTGATCTTGCTCTGTATTTAATTGTGGCCTCATGCATAATAGCTCAATGAGGAGTTCCCAACTTTCCAACTAAGGGCCTTCTCTCGAGTCTGACCGGCTCCATGCACTGTCAGAGCAATGATTCCGGGATAAAGACGCCGCCAATAAGTAGCTCCATCACCAGGAATGTAATGAATTCTAGGGAACCCCTCCACCCAAACGTCAGATCGGTCAGAAAAGATCGCCAGTGGCCCAGCCAAGCAGAAATTGAGTACCCAGATAGCATGAAAAACCCGTGGAGTCCCGTGAGTAAGACTCGCCTTTGTGCCATGGAGACTAGGGCTAGGCGAAAGGGGCTGTGGGTGATCAGACGGCTAAGGCCAGTGCCCTGAATGATTCGCACAACGGTGAGCATTCCGATGTGAGCACTACCGGCTGTCAAGAGGCCAACAATGAAAGTCAGTGTGTATGCCCCTCTCAATGCATGTCTTCGGCGGAAACTGTCGACAGCCCGGTTGTCGGCCAGTGCAGTGATTATACCACTCAGGAAGAAGAGCACGTTGATGACACCAAGTACGCTGTCGAAGTATGGGGCATTCGTCCCCACGAAGGAGAGCTTGAAGTAGGTTTGAACCCCGAGGTTGGCCCAGGTTGGCAGCGAGTTAGGCAGTGCTTGGAAATACGCACTGGTGTCGCCTCCTACTGTGGTGGTATGTATGCTGATGCGAGGGTATACTAAAGCCATCTCCGAAGCTGTCGAGTGCCGCAATGAATCGTGCAACTATGGTATTTGGGCACTTTAATCGAACTGGTACTTAAAAAAAGGGTTCGAACTTTGGTCGAGTAAAACGTCTTGTTTAAAATGAATTACAAGCCGTTCTCCAGCCCACCAAAGATATTTGCTGCCTGAGGCCCCGCCCGGAAGCAGCAACATCTTTTCACCATTAGTGATCATGCTGCTCTTCACCTTCTTGGTAATACGCATAATGTGCAACCAATGAACTCCTCTTCTGTGTGGCAAACTTGTGGCATGCTTTTCGGCCAACAAGAGCAAGATCAATCCATGCAGCATAGTACAATGTAGCACAAGGTTTAGGATGAGGTAAGACTAGATTGACATATAGCATACAAACAAACAGTGTGGAAGCTTGACCCCAAACATGCGTCATTGTGGTAGGTTACTACCCTATAACCATATCGTCTCTACCTTATCAACCATAATCAGGAAAGCCAATGCCTCCAGGTCTTGTGCCTACATCTTTACCTCGGTATGTTAATTGGCCGTATACGACGTTTACCTCAAGCCACTCGCTCCGGCTGCCCGTCTTGACGGTGGACAAAAGAGTCGATCTTTACACGCGGCCTGCAATACCGTCCATAGCCACGCGATCGGACATTCAAGCAATAGCTCCACAGAAATGGGTCCAGAAAGTGATGCCCAGGAGATCCTAGGCTCCCCATCGACTCAACCAAGCTCATGGGACGTCTGCCGTTTTACGACGGCAGACCTTGCCGTGAGCTCGATGGGGTGGCCGTATGATAGGGAGAAAATTCTCCTTGGGCCTTACAACTACCTACATTCACATCCAGGCAAGGAAATCCGGAGCCTCATACTGGATGCCTTCAACGAGTGGCTGAAGGTGCCACAGGAGAGCCTCGACATTATAACCAAAGTAGTCAGTACACTGCATACGGCATCACTGCTCTTGGACGATATCGAGGACAACTCGCTGCTTCGCAGAGGGCAACCTGCAGCACACATAATTTTTGGCACACCGCAGACAATCAATGCTGCCAATTACGCCTATTTTCTGGCCCTGCGCGAGCTGAAGCAACTTGATAATCCCAAGGCTCACGATATCTTTGTCGAAGAGGTCATCAATCTCCACCGAGGTCAGGGGATGGACCTCTTCTGGCGCGACAATCTTCACTGCCCCGAGGAAGCGGAATATCTCGAAATGGTCGGCAACAAGACGGGTGGGCTTTTTCGTCTGGCCATCAAGCTCATGCAAGCCGAGTCCACCGCCTCACTGGATTGCGTGCCACTGGCTCATCTCATGGGTCTCGTTTTCCAGATCGCTGATGACTACAAGAACCTTTTCGACATCACATATACGCAGGGCAAGGGCATATGTGAGGATTTGACAGAGGGGAAGTTCTCCTTTCCTATAATCCACAGCATTCGCTCCGACGTTTCAAATCCGCTGCTGTTGAATATCCTTAAGCAGAAAACGGCGGACGTCGAGGTGAAGCGGTGCGCGGTAAAGTATATGCAGGGTACCGGCAGCTTCGACTACACGAAGAAGGTCTCAGACGTCTTGATCGAACGCGCACGGAAGCTGGCCGACCAGTTGGACAATGGCCGCGGTCAACATGCCAAGATACTTGAAACCTTGAACAGGATGATGATTTCGTAATCTGGATTAGGCAGCTTTCGGGGATTCATTGTATCTATGGGGCTAGCTCATAGTGTGCGCACAAAGGTTACGCAATTTCTGTTCCTCCGAGTTACCCATGGACTACTTGATGAATCTGGAGAAACTATGAATACATTGCCCCTTCTACACTGGGAGAGGAACTTAATCAATTCCCGTTAACTACTCCATGTTACCGCAGTTTGGACGTGGATGCTCCATTAATAGGGCTCATTTTGACTCATCTTTTACGGGATGACATCGTGATCAAGGAGCCCCATCAGATACACGTGGAAGATGGTGCCGCGAGCCTCCACCTTTGCCTTCGTCGTGAAGCGGTGAAGCACTGATCCAGTGACACTTGTACTGTCTCATTTGAGGAGCATATCAACGCAGTTTGCGGCGTCTAGCACCAGCGACACCACCTGGCAAGCTTCCCCTTGCCGGCTCCTAATATCTTTCGAGGCTTGCCTCGTACGGCAGTGAAGGGCTCGCGGGACGACGAGCAATTACGTGACTTCTGGAGGAAGCTGGTTGAGGAAATCCTACCATTACTTACGCAGCTTCTGCGAGGGAAACGGTAGGGTGTGGGCAGTACGGGCCTTGCCCATAGGAGGAAATAAGCAAGAATTAGACCTGGATACGTGCCAAATCCAGCCATGCCGCTGTGTGCACACAAGGCAGCAACACCATAACCTGTCGAATAGGTGATTCCAGTGGCATGTCGAGAGGCCTTTCCGGTAGGGGGTCTGCACGGTGTTCCATGGTAGCCTGCCAGTGTGCGGTCGCGTTTCCGATGCGGGGGTCGTGCGCCTCGACTCTGCTCAGCTGGAAAGTTGAACAAGGATCGAAGATGCCGAACATTGAGTAGAATGTCGGCGATGACCGATAAAAAGATCCTCGCAACAGCACGAGATTGGCCCTCATCGTCACGGGGAAGAAGAAGCACCTAACGATGTTCAAATTCATGATTGACCAGATATGGCTCAACCGCGATCTGATCCTGGTTCGCCCCGGCAGGGCACAACTTTGCGGCACTATGTTGCCAACCCATTACAGACCTCTAGCGCGCAGTCGCCTTTATTCCTGTGTTGACGAAACCATGCCACGGGAGGGGGCAAGAGGAAGGCGGAGAAGAGGCGCAAACTCCTTGCCAGCACGTTATGAACAGTAGGAGACACTCGGAAGGATGCTTTCTCATAATCTTTGAGCAATGCTATCTCCCTTACGGTCGCATATACCACGAAACAACGGTAACTTGAAGTCACATCCCAAGAACCCCATATCTCAGTCAATATCCCTCGAATGTGTGGCTGCAAACATAATCCGCATATCAGCAATGTCTACCCTTCATCAACTGTCGGGTTACCTTGGTGGGTCGAGCTATCCATGCAGGTAGGCCCGGGACAAAAAGTACAGAATGGGCGATTGCGCAGAGTGTGGCGTAGAGCGCCCTCAGAAAGGGTGGCCCAGTCCTCATAGGACAAATTGCTATGTGGAAAGAGCACCTTATTTCTGCGGCTCTTCGAAGTCTCGTCCCAGACGGGCTTTGGGCGTGAAGTCATGATCTCAAGATCTCTGACAATCTGGGCACAATACGTCTCAAGGGGTAAGTCATTGACATCTGTACCAAAGGGGTTTTCTATCTCGCCGCCTATGTAGAGAATCGACAAGATAATGCCAGAGGCAGCAGCCGTTGCAGGGATTGTGGCCCAGTCTAACCCGTCCACTAGCTGAAATGGTAGGAGCATGAGGTACAGCCACGTGATCTGATGAATAGCAATAGCGTAGGCGATCGGGAGAGGTGTCCTAAGGACACGCTCGCAGCCTATCAACACGTCATTCAGTGAAGCCACACTATTGTCTATTACCTGCTGTTAGCCTGCAAACTAACATTTGAATCCCGGGTTTACTTACAGGCTATGTTCTGTTGCATCGCAATCGGCAGCTGACCGTTCTCACAGAGCGAGTCGAGATATGCGCTCAGGTAGCACAATATTTCAAGCGGTAGACTTCCCAGCGGGCCCTTCGTCCGCTTCATTGCCTTCCGGGGATTAGAATAGGCAAAAGAGAGTCCAAGGCCCTCGCCTATCCGCTTCAATATCCCTTTGTTCTTGAAATGGTTAAGGTCATCATTTGAGACCTGTTGGGCAAAGGTATCGAGGTGCTCGACAAGATCTTTCAAATCTTTGAAGTTTCCGTAAGGCTCAAATCGAAGCTGATGCTTCAGGGAAACAGCAAAAGTGACGAGCAAATTAATGGCGGTACTTTTTGAGTAGGTATCGTAAGCACATTTATCGGAGCTATCACAGACAATGAACCAACTTACAGTTTGGAGAGTACATCCTCCCTGACAGAATCAGAGCGCTCCTTGCCATGAATCCAGATAGTCCGCGCGAGTTTGTGGCACGTCACAGTCAACTGACTCCAGTACCGGCGCCCTTCAGCATACCGCTCGTAGGCGGTCGAGCTACGGAAAGAAAGCCCAAGACCGACGACGAAACCAATCACAGTAAGGAGGACGTTAGTAGTACCAAGACTGATAGAGGGGCCCTCCTTATGAACCCACGTGATGCCGGTGGCCCATAGAGCGATAAATGTAACTGGCACAATAAGCTTGGGAAGGATACTACCTTGAAGCCGCAAGAAAAGAGGCCATTTAGAGTGTTTCTGAATGTCATGGGGCCGAGCCTGAATTTGAATCGGCGCGGATTAGCGCCATCATGATGACAGCGTGAGCACTCGAGAACTTACAAAGGAGTCGTCAACATCGATGCTCGTCTGGTGAGGACGCATTTCGGAGGCCTCACCGCCGACCGTGTGGGTAGCTGCTTCACTTTTAGTGGCCCTCTTCCTTCCGGGACATAATGGATCAGACATCTAGGATTTGGAAGAAAAAGTCGAGGAAACCTACAGAGTAACAAGCGTCAAAGATAACTTGAATCTGGCATTCAATAGGACCAGAGAGTATGACAGTATCGATGACTACAACGACCTCCAACATTTGTTATGTTAGTCGTCATATTTTGAACTTTCGGTAAGGACATTGTGAAAGCCATTCTTGATCTGCGTTCAGCAGTTAGCACTACTCTCATCCTCACGAAAAAAATTCGCTGGCCTCCGCACCAGTGCGACGTTGTAGTAGGCTGCGATATTGGCTTACGCCATGGTCTTCCAAGAACAAATCTAACAACCAGACACGTGATGTTCGATTGAGGATTCTCATTCATCTTCAGCACTTCCTTCCTCACTAGGCATATACATCAGCGGGCTCGACCTGATCGAAATGGGGAGCGGCGGCCCGTATATGCTTTGCGCACTTCTCACAGTCCATGACCTCGTTCAACCTGCCGAATGGCGTTCACAGCAAGTGCATGGGCTACCGCAGACTTGCTCATATTGTTGATTTTTGACGTAGGCAGCTTCGTAGAACATCAACTTCTCTACGCCGCTGGGCATTGTCCAGTACGACGAAAACATCTTCCGAAGTCGTAGCTTGTTTTATGATATCCTGCCTTTTAATATGGTCCTTCCTAGACTTTCGCGGACAAAGTGTCTTACGCATCGTTTCTGACGCATCTGCATTTTCCCCAATTTTGTTTCTAGTTACCTCCATGACATGGTGAGGTAGTCTCTGCCACTGCTGGCGAGTCAGAAAGCTGGTCGGGCTGCAATAGGGCAGCCCGGTCGTCGTGGATGAGTAGCTTATACAAAGGTGAAGGACAACTGTTCATTTTGCAGTCATTCATAACAGGCAGGGCTCGCAGGAATTTCTGGGGTAGAAATCAGATACATTCTCTGCGGTGGCTGGAACAATGGAGAAGAGGAAAACGGGAGGGTCAGGCTCCTGCTATCCATATCATATAGGCACCGTTCTCGTGCTGTCATGGCTGGCACCCGTGACGACAACTCTTCGCCCAACCCCTGTGGTCGTTAGGTTGTTCTGCTTCCGATGATCAGAAAGCACCTCACTTCGCACCAGCAGAGGTGCTCTAGGCTATTGTCATGAACTCCATTGCACCCTCAAATTTGTAGTACCCATGATAGACGAAACCACAGAGGTTAGTTCACGAAGATTCTAGAGCACGAACTACTCAGTAATCATCCAGGTTCGATGATCATTGTATTGAACACGCTACTGGTGTTCGTAACCCCTAGTCATACTTATAAGTCGGCCCGAGGATGTGCAATGACTGAAAAGCACCCACAGTATATAAAAGATATGTATAGCATACAGGAGTCTATCGAGGTGATTACATTGACAAATTCCTACTTCAATCTGGACCTTCCGATACTACTGTAGTGCATCCACCTTCCTGTTTTTAGCTGTTTCAAATTCATATAGCGATGCGGCACGCTATTACGTTAGGAATCGCCAAATACTTACGAAAAGGAATTGCGTCCCTTTCGGACCTTAAGTAGGTGAGACAGTTCGACTTTGCCCACCGTTCGTCGTCGGCCCTTTGAGCATACTCATTATTCCACATGGCTCGGACGAAACAGAATGCGAGGAAGTCCACTGGCGGTAAAGCACCTCGGAAGTCGCTCGCCGGAAAGGCTGCACGAATAACCACCCAAACAAAAGTCGACCGAAACTATAGATACAAGCCGGGGACTGTGGCTCTACGTGAGATCCGACGGTACCAGAAAAGCACAGAACTCTTAATACGGAAGGCCCCTTTCCAAAGAATAGTAAGTGTAGCGAAAGGTCCTAGATTCCAGTCTAACAGATTTCACAGGTGCGTGAAATTGCTCAAGACTTCAAGAGCGATCTGCGGTTTCAGTCTTCGGCGATTGGCGCTCTACAAGAGGCTGTCGAGAGTTATCTGATTTCACTATTTGAAGACACGAATCTATGCGCCATTCACGCAAAAAGAGTAACTATTCAGTCGGTTAGTGCTTCCGCTATCTCGTGAAAGTGTCAAGCTAACAGACCAGTAGAAGGATATTCAGCTAGCTCGACGGATTAGGGGTAAATAGAGCTTTTTCGGTATGATCAGTGTTTCATAGTTCGATGTTTTCTCCAGTTTATCGCTCTCGCATGATAATATGGCCGGGAATGTGTCTATTCAAGTAAGACTCGTTGCAACCAACGAGACGCTCGCTGGTTCCTTTCCTGGTGTCAAGCACTCGCTCTAATCCTTGGTAGTTGTTACCGTCAGCTCTTTAGTGATCAAATAATCCTTCTTTGTGATGAACCCTAGAGTTCGATGCGGCTCCATGCCAAAAATGGAGTCGCATCCCCTACAGTAGCTCAGTCTATAAGTCTAGACCCCCCATTGCGACCAGTGCGCATCGCGACCAGGGGTCGCGTCGCGACGCGGTTGAGCACCCCACCATACATTTTCCCATATAAACCTGCTCAACCGCGTCGCACCGCGACCCGACCACCTGCATTGTGGCCGTCAAAAAGGAAGCTATCGTCATGGTCGCAAAAGACTACCAATTGCGCGCCCTGCGCGCACTGGATGAAGTTGAGGCTGGCGTACCTGTCGCGACGGCTGCTAGACGACACGATGTCGACAGATCCTACCTACGTCGTCGCCTTGACGCGTGCCCAACCTTCAAGCAAAGGTACCAAGTCCGACAAACCCTCTCCGTGACCCAGGAGGATTATCTGGTCTCTTGGGCCCTCGACCAAGCAGCAATGGGCTATGCAGCTCCATTGAAGCAATTCAAGCACTTCGCGATGCGCCTGCTGGCTCTCGACAACCCCTCCGCACACCTCGGCAAGCACTGGTACCGACGCTTCATCCGCCGCAACCCGACCTTGAAGACCTCGAGATCACGACTTATTGAATACAAACGATACGACGGTGCCTCCAAGGCCAATATCGACATCTTCTTCGACCGCCTGACGTCATTGAAGGGCAAACGAGTACGGCCCGAGAACATATGGAACGTTGACGAGTGTGGCGTCGCGGAGGGCCTAGGTCACAATGGCTTCGTGGTCAGTGATGCCTTGCGCGACTTTACCTTGAAAAAGGACGGCGCCAGGAGCACCTGGATCACGATAATTGAGGCCATTTCTGCTGGCGGTGGCTTCATCCCTCCCCTTGTTATTTTTAAGGGCCAATCCGTGCAGCAGCAGTGGTTTCCCGACGTCGAACTTGACAGGTGGAAGCATTGGTGTTTTGACACATCACCAAACGGGTGGACCAGCAATGATATTGCTCTGAAATGGCTCAAGGAGGTATTTATTCCCAACACCAAGCCTACGGATTCTAGAGAGTGGCGATGCCTTCTTCTCGACGGCCACAAGTCGCACGCAACAGAGGAATTTATGACGGAGTGCTTCATCAATAAAATCTGGCTGATTTACCTCCCGGCTCATACCTCACATGTTCTTCAGCCACTCGATGTGGGCGTGTTCTCGGCGGTGAAGGACCACTATCGTCAAGCGGTCGCGGAGGTTGCATATAACACTATGAACGAGTCCCCAGGCAAGCGGGAGTTCCTTGAAGCATACCAAATTGCGCGCAAAAGAAAGCTCAATAAGGAGAACATCTTAGGAGGCTTCAAAGGCACAGGGGTGTGGCCTCACAATCGGTTGAAGGCGCTGGGTTCCCGCTTCGTGATGCGGGACTATGAGGAGGTACGGGAGGCCCAGCAGAATCCCCAAAATCGGGCCCAAACGACGGTTTTAGAGCCAGATTTTTTGACGCCCTTGTGTGCAATTGACGTCAAAACCCCAAAAACATCTCGCGATGTCTATAAAATGCATAGGGAGTTGGTAAAGTGTGGTGTACCTTTAGGGGCGGCGACCTGCAGGAAGCTGTTCAACAAGGTCGGGAAGGCAATCGACACTTCGAACATCGCGCGCACCACCGTAGAACACCAAAAAGACCGTCTCCAAGCTGCATTAGATGCTTCAAAGCCTGCTAAACGCCGCAGAGTCGATCCGGATCCCAATAAACAGTTTGTTCAGGTCGTAAACGTGGAGCGCGCAAAGAGGCAATTGCAGCTCGAGATGGGGGCGGACTTCAGCACGGATGACGACACCGACAGCAGCGACGACGAGGTAGAGATCATTGAAGACGACAGTGACGAGGAGAGCTGCATTGAGGTGCGGATCAATTGATTTGAAGCCTTTTTAACGAATGCTTGTTCAGTTATTGCAGAGTGACCATGTGGTCGGTGATGCCCTCATGCGCAGGTTGGGGGGTGGTCGCCATGCGCACTGGTCGCAATGGGGGGTCTAGACTTAATGGGGAGGTTGAATCGGAAGCTGGAGATTGTTGAACATCCGCGTGGCATACACGGGAGGGTGGCCGTAGCAAGGGAGAGCGCCGCTAAGCTTAGTGCTCACTCGAGTTTCTCCTGCTGTACCCACGTCACAATATCGACCAAGGCCACAATTAAGGCAGTGGGATTGCTTCAGGTTGGATCTGAGCTAGCACATCCGAACTGTACAGTAGTGACCGCAATCAGTGTCCACAAATAACTTAATTGAGATGATTCCCGCACGGGCCACAATGACCTAGCTGTGGCTTAGGACTGTGCGAAAAAGGTTCAGTACTATGTACTGTCCATAAAAGCTCCACCTCCCCTCCATTTCTGACTTCCCTTGACTTGGCTGATGTCCCAGCGACCCTTTATGTATGAGCAGACATAAACTAGCCTTTCAATGTTCTGCATAATGTTGCCGCGTTATAGTTTGCCGTCATCTTGCGAAGGACATAACGAAGTTTGCCAACGATTCGCGGTGGTCAACTACCGCAGATAAGGCGACGAAGAAACAACCCTCCGTCACTACCACCTGTTGTATGTAATGCTGTAATCCACTTTTGGAGAGTACTTGTTATGGACCAGTCTGCACGGTATGCGCCACAATGCGCCACAGCATGCTGGTCTGTGCGGAAACGTTCTTTAGTGCTAGAAAAGCGGACACATTTAGAGGTCACTACTGTACACTCGGAGCGTTAAAAGAGCACGGAAGCGTTTGAAGCAGCATCGTATTCGCGGGGCTCAGGGAAGCAGCAACACTATCCATGCTGAGGCGACTGCTTTGCTGTCAAACATGCTGCTCAATCCCCTGGACAGTGTTTTGGAATTGTACCCACTTGAATTGCTAATTGACTTGCTCCAGTACTTTTCTAGTTAGAAGCCTTCCCGCGTTGGAAGCCTTTGGCAGACTCTGGTGGATAGGTTTCCATGCGCATTGCTGGACTAGCTATTGCTTTGTAAGGAGATATCGCTGGGTGACTTGCGCAGCTCAGTGGTAGGCATCGAAAGAGCAACTTGCTTCCTACTTGCCGCCAACTCTGAGACTTTGGAAGCATCAGGGCCGGCTCCTCAAGGCCATAATGCGACCATAACTTCAGATGAATCTTAGTTAGTGCTTGCGCATCGTGCTGGTTTGATGCCTGCATCTGGGATTCGGGACATGTCTGGCATTGGTCATTCTGATAAGGCCAGCGTAAGTCACGAACCTCAAGACAGCCCTGTGGAACCATAGCCCAATCTTCTTGCTTAAGGAGAGCGCCGTCCGGTTGTATCTCCTGCCTGACCAGACACTTGTCCCCTGATGAAGGCGCAGTTTGTTTACAACGTCGCGAAGCTAAGCTGTCTTGATTGAAATACTCGATGAGTGCTCCTACGCCCTTATAGATTACCGTATGTCACTAATTTAACATCGTGCTGCTATCATTGTTTGTTCGGGCACTGGTCTTCTGCGCCTGGTCGTGGATCGGGTACATATTGGTCTCCCGAGTGCTTGTGTGGGCGTAGTTTGCTCTTATGGTACAGACGCGTCTTACGTTTGGCGAGGAAGTGGAATGGGCGGGGTTCGTGGTTGTAATTGGTCCGCTCCAAGTGCTTGCCGCATTGGAACCCGCATGTGCCTCCATCACAAACCTCCCAGCCATGGTTGCTGCGTTGTCTTAGTAGAGTTTGTAGTTGAGGAGTGCTACCTTACACAGTGGATAGAAGCCCCGCTCGGGCGCCTCCTATGGTATACACCATTACGCCCTGGCCTCGTCAACCTGTGGCAGGGGGACAGCGCAGTGGACGGGGATGCATGCTTGGAACGCCTGCGTCATCGCATCTCCACCTCCTGGACAACCTTTCCGGCAGCCAGGCTAAGCCTCGAATATCACATGGAACGCAAGTGATGTAGAACCGCGCAATGGTACTTTAGGACACACAGTGTGCCGTGAATTAGGACAAATCTATCTTACTATGGTGCCCCACGACCAGTCTTTGCAAAGATCAGACGATACTCAGTCACATCATAGAACTGCTTGACAATTGTTCAGCGCTATGGCTCGTTCACGTACGCTCAATCAGCCCTTCATAACTGTATATTCTTGATTGATGCGCGGTTTTTCACTGATGAAGCGGCAATCTGCTTGAAAGGTGTTCATGCAGCTGCAAATTCTTTGCGTGATTGGGCACATCCGAGTTCGGACCGCCCCAGGCAGTCAGTCAGTTGTCGTGATACCATTGTCGCATCTAATGTGGGCTATAAAGTGTATAACTAATAGTAACTGTAGGTAGAACGAATGTGGATAGAGATTCCGATAAGTTCTTCTCGCGAACGTGAAACGTACATGTACGAATGAGAAGATGAAAAGGGAGTGCTCAATATAAGAAGGGGCAGAAGATCCTGTCCTGTTATTCAGAAGTAGATTTATTTGCGCAGCGAGCTCGGTTGTAGCAAGCTGTCGGGAAGTTAGAGGGTTAGGTAGAGTCTCTTCCTCGTACATTCGAGACAATGGTGGTGAAGGTTATCCAGCGCATCGTGAGGATCAACCTTGGCTTAATAATCTCCGGCGATTTCTCCAGGCGGTATGATCTGGTGCACATGCTGGATTGATGGTTCTGGGTTGCGCTTATTCATCGATCGGCCCCCAAGCTGGGGCATCGTTTCACCTCGCTTGACCACAGGTCGGCCCTCGAGCTGGGGCATCGTTTCACCTCGCTTGACCACAGGTCGCCCCTCAAGCTGCGGTGTCGCTTCACCTCTCTTGACCACAGGTCGGCCCTCAAGCTGCGGTGTCGTTTCACCTCGCTTGATCACAGGTCGCCCCTCGAGCTGGGGCATCGTTTCACCTCGCTTGACCACAGGTCGGCCCTCGAGCTGGGGTACATCTTCTCCATCTCTTTTGATGACCGGAAGGTATTTATCTGCGAAGACTGGCGACACCGCACGTAGCGCCGGGAGCTCTGCTCCATCGGCCCTCGATAGAAATTCCAGTCCAGATCCTACAGGCAAAGCCCCAGAGCCGAGGAGGTGCAGAGGTAGCACGAGGATTAGAGGACTCGAGAGGCGCATATTTCTGAGTACGGACGTCCCGTAGTGTTATAACTTCTGTTAACGGTGCTGTTAAGAGTTCAAACCATTGGTGTTGTCTAAGGTCTGTCTACCATGTAATATTCCAAAGGCTTGCTGTCCTTATATATGTCTTTCTTTAGAGAAACGCGATGAGATGCACAAAGGGGTGGAGTTCGATGTCTGGAAGTATCTCCGATCCCTTCCCGACTGTCCCAGTATCAATAACAATACAAACAACAACATCACAAGCAATATCAACAACAACGTCAACAACAGCATTAACAAATCACATGTCGTAGTCCATGCAAACACTAGCTGCCACCTAATCAGCGAAGTGGCGCAACAACGCCAAAGAAGTTTTAAGGATTCGTTCCACTAGCCAATTAGGTGTTGCAGCTCACGCTCAGAATAGCCGTCTTCCAGGTTACTCTCCGTCCTTGGTATCAGCCACAGAGTAGTCATACCTCATTCCTGCTGGACGCGTCCTGCTCCTAAGCCGAACAACTTCCGAACACTGACGTGGCACAATGGATTCCCAGCAAACACGGCCGTTCCGCATTGTTATTGCTGGGGCCGGCCTCGTGGGCTTGACTGCGGCACACATTTTACACCACGCCCACATCGACTTTGTAATCCTAGAGAAGCGGGGTGATCCTTCCCCAAAAGTTGGCTCCGTCATGACAATCTGGCCGCAGACATCCCGTATATTCCAACAGCTGCGTCTCAGTGAGGTTCTTGATCCTCTCATGGAGTCGTTACGGACCAGCATGGTCATCTCTGGGGACGATTCGCACACGATTGATGTCTCTGACTTCCCATCTGTCCTTGAGAAACAGTATGTGAAGAGCACGCATCTTTCCTTTGGAGCCTCGCTTGCTAGAACACAGGAGATCATTGCAAGAGCTAATGTGCTACTGTTCCCTTTAGTCACGGCTGGGGACTTCGTATTCTACTCCGCACACAGTTGGTGGAAGCACTATACACTATGCTCCCTGAGGAAGCCAAGTCAAAGGTTCTCCTTGGGAAACAGGTTGAGAGTGTATATATGGATAAAGTCGGTGTTCAGGTGACCTGTCAGGACGGCCATAAGGAAGAAGGAGACATCCTCATTGGTGCTGATGGTGTTCGGAGCCGTACGCGCTTATGTATGGAGGCTCTGAGACAACATAAATCCCCCATGATCTGGATGAGAGATATCAAAGCCCGTATCGCTCAACCTACAGGGTTCTCGTCAGCCAAGTTGAGCCGTTGTCTGATGCCCCTTCCCATATGAAATGTGACGGCGTCAACTACGGCGGTGCAACGCAATATCTGCACGGAAAAAAGGTTTCCTGCTTCGCCATCTACGAGAAGCTGGCGAAACCGTCTTCGAAACACCACCGCTACACGGACGATGATAAGCGTGAAATGCTCGAGCGCTGGAGCCACCTGATGGTCATGCCAAACTACTCGGTTCGGGATTTGAAATTGACGGGCGGCAATATTGGGCCTTACGACTGCGAAGAGGGCTTCATTTCCGACTGGTACCACGGTCGTATTGTGCTAGTGGGTGATGCGGTAAGGAAGCTTGACCCCCGCACTGGCTTGGGATACAATGAGGGGGTGATCGACCTTGTGGTGCTAATCAACGGTATTCGAGGGACATCCGAAGTTCTTTCTCCGCGAAAGGTGGGTCCAACCATTGCTTCACTTGGGAAGACCTTTCACGATTATGAGAAGACGAGGACCAAGCATGTGAGCACTGTAATGGGGATATCAAAAACATTCGCTCGGGTTTCGGCATGGCTTTCGTGGAGAGACATGGTTATGGCCAGGTACTTGCAGCCATATTTCAGACTAACTGATCTCTGTGTGGCGTTTATTCTTGATCCTATGATAAGGGCGTCACCCCTCCTGAATGAGACAATAGAAATCGGGCAGATAGGTAATTAAATTGTCAAGAAGCATCTTCTAGTTGTAAGTGATCTCAAAAACTATCAAGACCAAAAGCCTTCAGAACTTTCTGGTATATACTTCATTTCGAGCAACTCCAGTTCTATATAAAACAGGAGCGATAGGCCGATTGCAATCCACTAGTATCTACACGCCCGCTTCTATATGTCATAACGATATGTTAGATAATACCCACGTGTTATCGTATCACACGATACGTACCGGGCACTAATTGAGTACTAACAGGGTTTTGGGAGGGAAAAGAATGAACTTCGAACGCCGCAATGAGACCAACCTAAGGCTGTCCAGTTGCCCGACGATTCAGTTCTAAAGTAATAGAAACACTTCAGAGCTACAGTACTAAACCGGGATATACTGTAGTAGATATCCACACTTGTATATTGAGGCATTTATTACGTCCTCGGTCGAGAGGTCTTACGTGTATAGTAGGTCAGGGTATCGTATAATGTAATCCATCCGACTATATAACACTCATCTAGTCGCAGGTCCTCCTATACTTCACCTGAAACTCCTATGGGTAGGGGCAAAGTCGATAAACGTCTGTGGCTTTTGTTGGCCTCCGTATCTATGGCTCTTTCGATCTTCTACTTTTACTCGACTTTTTTTGTCCTTCTCAATCTTTCTCCTCTGTTCATCGCTACATCCGACCTCTATCGCGGTGGCACATATGCAACCTCCATTATCCTAGCCCTAGCTGGAAAGCATATGGTCATATGCGCAATCTGCGCGTGTGCTCCGGCCTACAGCACGAGTGATTCTTCACACTCAAAGAAGAAGCATGGAGTTGAAGGCATAATGAGAGCCCTGGTTATAGTACATTCCATTCTGTTTGCCTTATTCCTCTGCCCGATCACGTTCGGATTTCTTTGGCATGCTGATAGCACAGTAGGTGGAGCCGGATATGTGGGAATATGTCTTGGTTTTGCTATTTGCATGCTGCTCGAGATAGTTTGCTTCACGTTCTACTATACTACGTGGGTCTGGTCAACCTTCTGGTCACATCTCTGGCTAGCCTTGCGGTCCGCTCTTGGATCAGCTTTCAAGTCAGCGAAGCAGATGTCAAAGACAGCAAGAGACTTTGCCTGGTCCGCTTTTGGACCAGCTTTCCGGTCAGCAGAGCAGATGATGTTAAAGGTATCAAGAATCTTCAGAGCAGGTGACCCGCAGAGATCATACATGACGTAAGTATAGTGTACGACCTGTCCACCCGGAGAACAAGACACAATGCGACTCTGGCGATGCTTGATATCCACACGATACAGATTTCGAAAAAGCGAGACGAAGGCATCGCCTAATAATGCCCATGCATATAATGCATAATCAACGCGAGTCCAACATGGTGAAATACGTACCGAACAGCTGACCACCACTTGGTCTCAGTATAAATCATCCCATTTACCTACAGCTCCGTTTAGATTCCCTAACTCATCCTACGGTAACCCCTTGAAGATAGTGTATCTCTCAATCAAAGCTTGGTTCGAATATTAAGCCCTTCCTGTGGGCACCCGTCCACTTCCAGACGGGGTTCAACCCAATCTCACACTAGTGGTACCTATTTAAAGTGGTGAAGGGCTAAGAATGGTTTCGCGTGTAAACATACTATTCCATTTAGCCCGGCTGTCATCTAGCCGAGGATATGATACAAGCACGCTATGGACACAACATGGAGATCATCTGATTCGTATATACACATCGAATCCAGCTATAAGTCTGACGGTGATCGCGGGCCCGGTGAACACTTGCGCCAAACGTTCAGATAATACTTTCGGTGCTGTAAACTAGTACGTGGGACTTATCAGACTTGGGTTTTAATGTAATTAAAGGAAAGCCTGAAAATGCGTAGAGGAAACTTCAGCAGACCGACTATAGACGAATTCCGGACAACATGTCAGCCAATGAGACGTTGAACAGCATGCGCCGAAGCGTCACAATTGCAAGCGTTTCATCCTGGCCGTGGGGGATATTAATAGAAGCATCGACAAACACCGGGAGTTTCTATAAACTGCCTGAAGAGCTAAAAATAGTGTGTTCTAGCTGGGGCCGCAGCTTCTACTATCTAGGAGGTACTGGAGTATATATAATATTCGAGGTACGCTATTTGTTCCGGACAGGACAGGATAATCACTAGTTATGGCGCCACGGTCCGAGTCTCTACGACAGCGAAATCGCTTAGCACAGAAAAGACATCGTTCTAAAAGACGTGAGGAGCAAAAACGAGATGCACTACGGCTTGAAAGCATGGAGAGCACTTGGCAAAGTATTGCCTATGCATATTATCAGAACGACGTGCCCGAGATCATGGCGCTTATTAGGGATCGTATTGTCTCTCGAGATCCACCAAGACAAATTACACCAACTTGCGACACGCCTAGCGTCGACAAAATATGCTCCTATTCAACTACTGGATCTACAGATCTTCCATCTCACGAGTTACCAGCGCAGACCCTCTTGCCGAGGGCCCCAGACATCTCAAAATATATCTACGATGGCTGGGAGTTGTCCGCTATACCCGCCGACTTGAATACGCTTACCACATATGACGTCTCACTACTTGATGAGGAATCATGGTGGTGGGCAGAGACAAACGACTCTCTTCACGCCGTAAATATCATGCCAGGGTCATTACATGGATTCTGAAGCGCGTTGTCCACTTCTCCACGTATTTTATCGTTTTATCATGGTCCATCAGGACTTAAAGGACCACGGATGGACAAAGTCCGGTATTCTCGCGAATCAAAGCACCGCACGGCCTCTTTGTTTTATGAGTGAAGCCACCCGGCGGTTTTCTCAGAGCTCGATGGATGACATTCCTTCAAATGCTCAGAGACGCAGCAAGTTGGGAAATACTTGCGGACCGAGTAACGTTCTGTGCTCATGACTTGAGATCCGTGCTACGATTAGACGTATGTGTCATAAGGCTTCCAGTCCTGCAGCTGCCCCGCCTATAGGCAGCTCTCCTATAATCTGACGACCCGACAAAGAACCTCCTTTTGTTCGTTGCTCGTTGGGTGTGTTCACACAGTATAGCCATTCCACTCTGTACTATGGTCGCACGAGCGAACACCCCAGGTGCGAAGCATCGACGAAACCGTGGCAAGCTACCGCAAACAATGTCCGATTGCCAATTTTGACACAGCAGGTAACAACACAAACACGATGTTGATAGACTACTCGCTAGTTGTACAGTAGAAGAAGCTATTTGTTGCCATTCGTGCTGTTAATCAGGTCGCATTCAAGTATGTCATTGTTACCAACGTTACTGCAAACAACTAGATCTTATCGTACTACAGCAGATGCCAAAGACTCCTTGGTCATCACCCACCATTTACCTCAGATTGATGTTACAGTAGTGACCACAATCAGTGTTCGCCGCTCCTTCGTTTCTCTCTTCCATCTTCTCAACCATCACTGCTTTCAACTTCTCCTGGAGCGGCAAACACACGCCCCACCTGTCCTTGTGAAACTTGTCTGAGTATCAAAGCTTCCCAGCCGCCAAGTAAGTGTTGCTCAGCCTTCGCAAAAGTGGGCTATCCGCTATTCGACTGACACAATCTAGTGCCTCAGATCGACATGAATTTCGAAGACGTATCTCGAAAGCTCGATGCTATGAAGATCGTCGCTCTTTACAGAGTCCGCGGAGGCACAGCGAAGGGTAGGAGTCGCAAGATTCGTGACTTGTCCCGTGCCTTTTACACGTCCGCCACCCAGGAAGAAGGCATCGAGTCTGCCGTATGGCTGTACGAAGATCATGATGCCGCGCCAAATATCGATTGGACCGAGATTCACGACATTACCGAGCTCGGCACAAAGGCGGGCAGTGGCCGCGCCCAGATCATCACTCTCCCCGATCCATTCGACCCCAGCTACACAACCTACAAGGTCAGCGCGGAGGAGCTCGTTATAACCTTGCATCCCCCATTCGGAAAAAGCCTATGGGGTTTGACCGACAAGAAAGGCTTGGAGTCATTGCAGTGGATTTTGGATGGTCACGCGCGGCGCGTATGCGTGGTGAACTGGTGTGCGGGAAAAGTTGATGCGACTTGCCTCCCGCACCTGCCCGAGAAGATCAAGGAATTGAAGTTGTGTGGAATGCCGAGGTTCCTCGCCGATCCCGTGCCGTGGAACCCTTGCAACCATCATCACTGGATTCACGAATTTGTGGAGAAACTGCAAGCACTGCAGAAACTGACTCTTTCTGGGTGTGGCTACCGTTCTGATGATCTGCCACCTCTCAGGAACTGGATAGATTCATTGGAGATCAACGTCGAAAAGGAAGCGAAGTAGGTAGATATATACTTACTGACAAGTTGTAGACCGCGCGAGAGCAGGCACGGGCAAAAGGAATGAGGGGTAGAATAACGAATAGACAGCTGAGGGTTGGAATGGGGCATCAATGGACCTTGTATTGTACTGCTCGTCTCTATACTATGGCATGTTACAGTACATCACACAAGACGTGGTATTACTGGTCATGTTCCATTTCTAGATTACTGTATCGATCGATTTATCCCCAGAATAAAAGCCATGGCCTTTTTGGTAGAGGCACAAGATGAGACCGACGATAGTAGTCATGACAGAATCGCCCATTGAAACTCATGCCTCACATATCAATTAACAGATGGTACCGAGAAAGGGACCAGGGGATCCGGCCGGTCGATCGCAAGTTATCCGCCAGTATATCCGCTGGCTGAGTTGTTCAGGCATGGCAGGTTGCCGCAGTGAGTGGCTCGGCTCAAACATCTGGTTTCAAATCGAGTTCAGTCTGCCTTTCTTCCGGCAGTAACTTATTGCAAGGACATACCACATTCACCACAGCGTGCTGGGCTGTGCGGGAAGGGGAGCTGACTCCTGAAAGGCGGATACATTGAGTGAATAATGCTGGACTGTGCTAATACGCTCGCCCCGGCAGGGACAGGGTTGCACTAAGTTGCGGAAATGTTACAGTGATTTACCACAAGCCATTTCTAGCGAGTGTTTGGTACAGTACGGGAAGCCAGCACTGTGCACGCCACAATGCGCCACACTACTTGGTCCGTGCGGGACTCGCAACTCATGTCAATAACGTGGACACTGATTGTGGTCATCACTGTATTATATGGCTCGAGGTGCTGTATCAGCCATGTCGCATGCCATGCTTCCTACTTGAATACTACCTGGTCTACCCAGACGAACCGTAATAGTTACTAGCCGTGATAACAAGGTGCACCAACACCGCATACATCCCTAAAGAGCTCTATGAGAGCCTTCCGTGCTTAAGAAAGCAAGATAAATCCAATAATCTAACGGTACTAAGTGTACGATCGTTTATTGAGCGGTATGCAACAGCCAGCGGAATGAAGCTTCACTGTAGCGTTATCGTTTAGTATACTTAGCTGACCACCAAATCGCACTAGTTATATAAGCACCAAGACTTTCCATGTCTATCAATTCTATGATGGTTCTGAAGTAAGGTGTTGTGAAATCTAGTCTATACTATCAGATTTCGAAAAGTAGCAAGAGTATCTACTTCTAGTGATTGGGAATAGTTTGGTGGATCAGTGGATAGACTCGTGTCGATATTCATATCTAGTAACTCTCCTAATAATGCCTCCGTCGCTTTTTCAATGGCATACGCCGCTGCTTGCCAACATGATTTGTGGCCCCACTCTCCTATCAGTGACTCAAATTGTGCCTGGCAGGTTGGAGCACAGACACAAACAAAGGTTCCAAAGTAGACGTGAGTCATCTCGTGCAATAGAGTCCTGAGGTAGCGTTTAAACCTGGATTCAAATTCTGTAAAATTCGAAGACCGCCTAGATGGAGCCATATTAGTCACTCTGATTAAGGCGGCATAGTTATCTGGGATATATTTTCTGTACTCCATGGTTGTTTCCGATGATGTAGTGTCTGCAAGCGTGTTTTCTGGCATCTCACGCGGGTGCCGAAATACTATCTTGCAAAGTCCATTGAGGCAGCCACCGAAGAATATTTCACTGAAGATGTTGTAGCATTGTAGCATTATATCTTCACTCTCTAGTGCTGGTCGAAGTTTTAGTACCGTCTCAACGAGCTTATGATATTCACTAATGCTATTGCCTTGGGATGGTGTAAGATCGGGCCCCCTATTACGTGCAAAATCCTGTATTAGGGCAGAAAGATATTCTGGAGAGTGTCCAGACAGCGTAAGGCTTCTTAGTTGTATAGATACGTTGCCTTTTTCAAAAATTTTAGAGTGGCTGTGATCCTGTTGGATCGTGCCCATCTTGATGTCGAGAGGGGGAAGCTTGCGACCATGTCGAAGTAGCGTCCTTCGTGGGATTGAATTGCTCATGGTTAAAAAGAATAGACCGCAGGGTCACATTATATATGGCCATTTCCGTGTAAGATCCGTTAATCGTAACTTAGTTTTATTGGAAATTGGCGGCTTTCTAGCAGTGATGTATCAAAGTGACATTATATTACTCAACGCAAGATTGAGAGTGATGCGCTTGCACAATCGGTGCTGCACGTCCCACGTTAAATCCTGGCGCTTACATAGTATGATTTGACAAGTTTCACAATATCTAACAGTCTATATTAGTTCGAATGGTACACGGGTTTGGGGGATTCGCGGCCAGTCCTCTGACTTCTCCCAGAGCTCCAATCGGGAGCTGTTGAGTGGGCCACACTGGATGCAGGCACTAAGCTGCTTCTTGGATGTTGGGATGGTCGTGTTTTTATCTTACACTTTACTGCTATGTAGAGACATCATTATACTTCACACCTTATCTCATACAATACTATTGTGGACCAAGCCCAAGCTATGAGAACATCTCTATACGAATGATTTTCCGAGTGGGAAACTATACACCAGCCGTGGATGCGGCGATAACATTTCCGGCGTGAGCCGAGAAATCCATTCTGAGGAGAGGCACGTGCGGGAATGCCACCTGAGGTCTTTCAATCATAACCTCTGACTCAGCCCAAATTGACAGGAAATTCACGTGGAATGAAACCTACCCCAGAATACCCGGACGTTCACGACAGCGTACCGTAGGTTGTTTCACCAAAAAGCTTCAAGACATCTTGAGAATTCGTTCTGAGTTCCTCCCAGTTATCCTCCTGTTTATGCAACAAGTGAACGATGGGAAATCCAAGATGCGGCGCGAGCTGGCTGTTATTGCTGCCCACCCACCTCCGGGCAGCTCTGTTTGTGGGTCCACGCACCTTGCATCGTCAACACAAGGCGGAATATGCACAGAGCGAGTTGCGTTGGGCGAAAATGGACACGGATTTCGAATCTGATTGTGGCTCCTGCAAAACCAGAACTGTTCATGGTGGAGACTGGATTCGTGTTTCACAAACAGGTCACTTGTAGCAAACAAAGGATTCTATAAGTTTGTTAAACATATCTTTAATGATAAGGATACAGCACCGCCAGTAAGACAAGGCGTAAGCCCTGCATACTGAGTCGCCACATGCGGTAGCAGCTACTTAGTTTGCGCTTGTCAGCACCGCTTGTACACAAGACGCTATGGCAATGCTTCTTCATACCTCCCGCACCTCTGGTGCAAGAGATCCTTTTCCTCGAGTTTCATACCCTCTATCTCTATACCGCGTCTGAGGATCGCTCTTTGAAGATGGTGCGCAGACAGATCCAGCGAAATCGGCCCGCGCAGCGGAAAATCATGAAGAAGGACCTACACTGCGCAGCCCAGTCCAATGGATCTCCAGTATTGAGAGTTGACTATGAGCGAAAAGCTGTTGTCCATCCAGAAGAGACTCTGGCTCAAAACGAAAAGACACGATCGGAGGACACCTGCACTTATTGCAACGCCTTGATGTTTCAGGTAATGGATCTCCATAATTACAGCAAGTTTTACTCCTAACAGTCCACAGGACAATAGAATTAGGTCTATCTGCGATAGGTGCGCCGGTCTTCAACACCAATGGGTACAGGCCATGACATCGGGCTCCAGGGAGGCTGCCAGTTCCAACGCAAAGGACTGGCATGGAAGAACAGGGAGTGTGGATATAGATCACACCCAGGACCCTACAAAACATCAATTAGACAATTCCAAACAGAGGACTCGATGGAGCTTTCAACCCCAATACCAGTACACGGAGAGTATCACAGACAATTCGACCAAGGACCCTTTACAGGCTGCCACCGAGGAGTCCGAGTTAGTCTGCTTATGGCCCCTGTGTAATCACATTGCAAAGGGCAACGATTGTCTCGACGAGCATTATAAAAGTAGCCATGTCGCAAATGAGGTCGGAGCGACCGTAGCGATCGAGAAGGCATTACTGACGTCTATTCCAAGCACTGCGTCAAGCTTTGACATGCGACCATCGCCATCTGCGGAAGGGGCGGGCAAAGGAGCGTCTTCAAATCACATCATGTGTGTTGAGTTCCTTCTTGAAAGGCCTAGTGCATAAACCGCCTCACAGCGGTTGCGCTACGTAGATAATCATGTCATCGAAGCGGAAGGAAAATGAGGCTATGCTTCCGGGAACTATGACCGTCTTATAGCTGCTATGCGGTTACCCTATGAAACCCTCGCTCTATCAAGAACCACCGCACATAACGCGGCGGTCTAGTATAGAGGTCTAAGACTTTTCATCCCATCAATATCATTCGACGATGAAATGGTGGGAAACTAGTAAATTCATAGTGGGAATATAGATCCAATTTATCAGTAAGTATCCCCTACTATTAAGTATAATTTTCATTAGTAAGGTTCACTATGGACGAGATCGGCCTAATCCGCCAAAGCATCGGTGATTCTGTGAGTGGGGACTCCTGACGCTTAGAACATGCTGAAAGCTTATGTTTCCCAAGGCTTAATCCCCCCTCTTTCACAATTATTGCATCGTACCGGTACTGGGATATAGTTACCGAGCTCAGTCAATACTACGTTCTACGCTACCCATACCTTCCAGCATTATGGCAACAATCTTCGCAAGGGGTGCGCCTCGGTATTGAACACAAAGTCGTCCAAGCTGATGATATTCGGATCGCTGAACACCAAATAAAAGTATTTCAGCGTTTCCCCCAGCCAAAAGGACTCCATCGAGTCTGTTTGCAGTGGCTTGCCACGGAGGCTTGAAACACCACGTACTGCAGAGTTACCAAACTCGGTGCGCGTGATTCGATCAATCGCTGTGAACATGTTCCATGCTACATCGTGCAGATCCTTGCGGCCCGTTGCACGGTACAGAATAAATATGCTCTCGATCGCTTCCGGTCGAAGCAGATACGCATCGTCCGGGATCGCCGTGAATCCTCTTGGCAGGTTTTTCTCCGTAACGAGCTGAACTAATTGAGAGTAGCTAAGACTTTCCACGTCCCTCACATTATTGTCTCGGAGGACCTGTGTCATCCATAGCAACTCGTCCCAGGTGCAGTTCTGTGGCGATGAGCAGGGGTACACTTTGAAGGTTTCCGGCATAACGCCGTGAGGCATTGACTTATAGGCCCAGATGCAGCCATCTACGAGCTTCTCTGCAGCCGCGAAGTCCTGCTTTCGACTGAACAATCTGCCTCCAAGTGCCATCAGGCCTCCGAAGAAACAAACAAGATGTTGGCCGGCGGGCTCCAGCTCGACAGTGCGACCGCCGTGACTAGTGTGGGCTACACCAGCGATGAGAATGTCCTCCCCCGTGGGGACCATAGGTCGAAAGAGATTATGCCGTAGTGCTGCCTGAGCCGCGCGTTCGTACATGGTCTGATAGAGATCCATCTGGCCGCCGAGCAGAGCTGACATCTTTGGCAAGTACTCATACGCCGAGTCAGCCATGGCGCCGAGTGTAAAGGTCGATCCCAGGCTGAAGAGGAGCTTCTCTGCGTCAACAACGAGTGGCCATAAGCCAGGTAACTCTGTCCACATTTGCTGCTCCTCCATACGTTGAGCAATCGTGTGAACCGCGTCGAACCACTTTGGGTCTCCCGTGAGAATGGACAGGCGCGTAAATTCCATTGATAAGCTGCCAATCTCGGCAACAAGTGTTGATGAGCCCGCCACTTGCTTCTTCTTGTCATTGAGCATGGCAGCATGCAAATCCCACCTTGTGATAGGCATCCTGTTGGGTGTATCGAAGGCCTTGTACAGCATCTCTCCAACCTCGACAGCCTTTCTAAGTAGTCGGTAGTCTCCGCTGACATCAAAAGCACCGAGGAAACCGCCAAGATAACGGATAGTAGTTTCGAAGACATTGATTTCACCAGCGTCGGTCCGTGTGAAATTGATGGTTGTTGCTGCGGCGACGGCGTCCTCAAACTCTTCTCGCATGTCCATGATCCACAGAGTGTCGAGCGAGTCTACCAGTGTGGCAGCCCAGCCGCCGAAAGCGCTTCGTTTGCCTCGGGTAACCGGTGCGAGCTCGTCGGCGAGCCAAGCGTACTCGCAGTAGGATGTCCATGCCCGTGTGAATGTGTCCTTCACAGCTTGCCTACGTTCCTTCCTGAGAGCTTTCTCAAAAGAAGACTCGGGGAACGATATGGCTTGAACAGCGGGAAAGGAAACAGGTCCACTTGTCGGCAAGGCCTGCACTGACGACGGAGGGTAGAGTATTGGCAAAGACTTCCAGAAGTATGAATCGCTTTCCGGGTCACGCCAGTCCGAGTTGTGATGGACTGAAACCGGTGACGAGAAATGCGATGGAGGCTTCGACGCTAGAATAAAGAGTATGAAAGCGGCGCAGATGAGGATCGCAGCCCCGCTGCTGGCATTTGGACGATGGAGAAAGATCATCGTGGGTATGGGGGTAAAGGAACAATAGCGATTCAAAGGTAGTGTTGGCCTCGGGCAATGGTGAAGAGATTTTTCCTTCTGGCGCAGCTGCGGCAAGACCCCTTATCGTGTTGTCGAAGTACACCGTGGTTGTGCACGATTTGAGTACAAACAATGTGGAGTTTCCAGTTTGCCTACGGCATGCTTCCGAACACCGAATCACCATCGAGCAGAGTTGCATGATGGATCCGCCAGTACGTCGCCATGGGCCTTCCGACATCACCTCCGTTAATTGCCCAGCTGTTAAAACAAACACCCTTTACAGGTGGTGGCCAGTCTGTCATCTTCTGGGCGAGTGCACCAAGCCCCTGTTTGAGGGATTCCATTTGCCACTGACGACGTTGTGCAGCGTCCATCCTAAGACCCCATCAGCCACTCCTTTATTAGCGTGTTGGCCGAGACCCCATAGCACCCTGCTAGAGCGTGGTCGAGGAGGACTCAAGAGAGATGCGAGTTTGCATGACTCTCGCAGCTGGCGGATTGAGCCTGGCTGGCTGGCTTGACGACCTGCTTTCAGCAATGCGTCAGGGCCCTAGCCGGGGTGGAAACGCGGTCGGCACGCATCCCTGGTCCCGGAATGTTTCTGGCGAGACGCTTGCCCCGGGATCTTCCCTGCAGGTACGTTCAGGCTAATGCATGTCGTACGGTCCAGCGCCACCACATGGACCAGCACAACAAAAAAGCCTGGCCTGCCTGGCCTGGATCCTCACTTACGACGGATGGCGAGCTGCATCCACAGACCGACCTCGGGGAGGTGCAGAGTGGCGTGTTGTGTTGCTCAGGCGGAACCGTTCATCCACCCGCCATGCCAGGATAACCGGAACCTGCGTGTCCAGTGCCATCCATCGCGCCCACAACGTTGAGCGCACCAGCCGCAGCATTTCCTGTCCATTGGCCCGAGCTCCAGCGAGTCAGAAGAGGCTCACGTTGGGGCCCTGTGGCTGCGGTCGCCGATGCACATGCCAATTGATTGCAGCGGGGCAGGGCTTACGTCCGGCTAGAGAGGGTGCGGGGAACCCAGCCACTACCATGAACGGCTTGGCCGTGTCACACCTGCGCAAGCCACTTTGCGGCTAACCTCTCGGTGCCAATGTGTGCTCGGAAGCCAAGGCGCTCGGGATTTGGGCCAAACATCGCCATGAAGCACGCAGCTGCCAGAGACGAGGCCTGCTTGAGGATACGTATGCATACTTACACCTGCGCGCTACCGGCTGAATGGTGTCTCCAGCAGTTGAAATTGACAAAGCCGAGAGATTTGTGCCTCCGTCCAGTGGCACCGGCGTCGGACAGCCAGCATCAGACACGAAGCCCCCCGGGGTGTCCCAGTCCCAGACATTCAATCTCTCGGCCTTCAATTACCCGAGCCAATGGTGCCCAGCGGGTCGAAGCTCTCTCTCCGTTCCTGCTCTGTCGCTGCCCTCTCCCTCTCTGCACAAGTGCCTCATCCTTTATCGCCCTTCATGTACTCGTGTTCTGAGATACCACCCTAAACCACCATCACCAATGTTTGGTCTTTGGACGTCCTCACGGCCAACGACACAGACTCCCTGTTAGATGGGAAGGCCTGTTTCCGCCCATGATTCACCGCCCACGAGGATGTTAATCCTCTGAGTAACGGTTCGTACTCAACCGAAGCTACCCAGTACGACAAGACAACGAACCTCTACTGACCTGAACTGAGAATGGCAGCATATTTCGCCCCTACCGCCAACGAGAATTTTTGGGCATTGTTCACTTTCACTGTGCCACAATCGACTCCCGTCTACCAACCGGCAGTTCATGAACTGTCACTCGCTCGCATCAAATCAACCAGTTCACCACCGCATACACCGAGCTACCACACGAATTATACACCTGCATCCCTGCGCCGTCTGGCTCCGCGCTCGGCCGATGACGATATGGGTTAAGCGATACTTACAAATGGTCGAAAGCTCGCAAACCTTGGAGCGAGGGGCAGGATCTCGCATGGGAATAAGTATGACGAGGTTTTGACGTCTTGATGCAGAGTCACATAGGCTGATGCAAACTGCGAAGCAGAGATTCCAAGAGTAGACAACAAGGAATCTCGCCTGAACGGCGGCATCTCGATTTGGCTCGGGAAGATATTACTGGGGGAAGCGCATCGTCTTTCAAATGAGGCACAGCGGCTAGAGACTCCCTCATGGCCAAAGGTCTCGCCGCGACAGGTGGCAGCACTGCAGCAGAGGTTGAATTTGCCGACCGGGAGCATGCCTTGCCAGAGTGTATTAATCCGAGAATTCTTCAGCTCAACCATGAGCTACACCTTCCGGACGCAATCTGCGAAACTCCCTGTTTGCAACCGCAATCTCGTCAAAATGGCCAGGTTTGTCTCGAGCTCTAATAGAATCGCTGAGGACAGCACTCCTTCGCGGGAAGCTGTGCTCAGCGCATCAATCATACTATACGACTTTGCTCAGAATCAGGCTGCGGTTTGCGCTGAAGACCTTCAAGGTCTGACAGCACTGAAGAATAAATTGTAAGACCGACTGGGGAGAGAACAGGCATTGTAACTTGATCGTCGTTTGTCGTTCATCTTCTCCGTGCCGCTCTCGACTTTTCTGTGTTTGAGATTTATAGTTAAGTGACGACAGTCCAGCAATCCACCAAGTATAATTAATCATGTTGAATAACAGCTCATTGAGCTTCCGTGCATGCGGCTATTCCTATTCACCCGAGAGAATAGGCTAAGCAGAGCTGCTAAAATTCATCTTCTACATATTGATACAACACAACTACGGACCTCGTAAGAAGTCCTAATTAACAGACACCCTGACGACCAGAGCCATACTTTATGCATGTACACAGAATAATAAAGGAACTTATTCTAAGACTGCTTAGGACTTGCTTATAGAACCAGCGCTGCAATCAAACTTCTGCAGAGACTTCCTGATACTTATCTTGCTGTGCCTCAGAGAACCCGGGGATTTACAAGTGTTGTAAGAGCCGAACCACCGAACCAGCTATAGCACATCTCTCCGGTCTCACTGGTGTAGGCGAAGGATTGTGTGATTGCCCATCCCGCACGGTACAGTACTTGGCCCTCGTGCTCCAACCCAGGCTCCCTGGTTGCATGACAGGTGCCCTTCCGTTGACTCCAAAAAGTCATCTGTCCACACAATTAGTGTTACTCGTTACTAATGACGGGGGCATGCACACCTAGTTTGACAGTGCTCGGTAAGCTCTTTCCCATCCAATTGCAGGTGCAGCTCATCGATTTGCCGACCAGCCAGCAGTTGGGGCATGAGTTCGAGAAGTGGCCCCCACATCTATCAAATGAATTCGAGACATTCAGATAGCCGTTGTTCATCCAAAGGCATGGCGTGAGATCCATGTATGTATATCCCGTTTCATTTGATGCTCCGCTTATCCGACAGTCAGCACCAATAACCTTGGTTGTGCCAAATATCTTTGATAGTGGGTCTTGGAAACCGGGGTGATGGATACGGAAATCTCAACACAGAATTAGTAACTGTACTTAGCGACCGAGGGTGTTCGTACTTACTGGTACATAGATCTAAGCTCTTTGGGGTGGTTCCGCTGGAACAAATCCCGCCTGAGACAAAGATGATTGATAGACAAAGTAACGAAAACGATCTCATCTCGTCATGACTCGTTGTGGATCCGTAGATATGTGAGGGATGGACCTCATTAAATAACCACAGCCCATGACTGGCAGGGTCATCATTGCGTGATAATGTGTACCTCCAAAATTGGATATCATCGCATTGAACAGGTGTGCAATAGTAAACTCAATAACGCTACCTCCTAGGAACTTAGACGACGCTGTGACTTTTCTAAATATTTTTGGGCTGGGTTCAATTATTAATTAGTGGAGCTCGAACACTCCTTTGGAAACGCTAGCACCGAGAAGAAATATAGAAGGCCGCAGATTCGGGACCTCAAGTATGTCAGAAGCCTTGGCTGCCCAAAGCAGGAGATAGAAAGGGGCATGATGAGGAGTTTCCTATAGCCCTAGAAAAAGGTAGACGATAAGTACTTAGGCACAGTGGGGATGTAGAGGGATACCTAGCAAATTTCACTCTTGAAATGCTCCCTGGTATGAGCTGTCTTGTTTATCCCTATCAATTATTTCAGATCCTTGACATAACCCTCGTGATTCCCATCCACATCTGGTGGATTTATCCCATCCTTGAAGGCCTTGACATATAACCGCCCTGTGCGATACGCCTCATTAATCTGCATAATCTTGGCCTGTAGACTGATTCTCATACGCTCGTTGTGTTTTTGGTCATGGCGCACGCCGCCAGGCATTCTCAGCTGCATGTCTTCATTAACCACCTCGTTCCGCCGCAAATGCCTCTTGAGGGACTCCTGCGTTTCCACAAGCAGACTCGCAGCCGGAGGCCCCTCAGGATCCTCGTCGAGGAGCTCAAAGATACGGGTCTCGCCGGCGGCCCAGTCCGTCAGTTTGGGTGGATTGCGGCTTAAGTGTTCTTCAGTCAGCCCCGTAGTCTGTGTCATGTAGTTGACAAACCCCCGTGACCGAAGACGAGGATTGCCGGCGTCGGCCGGTCGTCATCCTCCACGTATGCGGCCCTCCCAATCATTATGAGCATCTTGATTGCTTCCTGTCCACGCTGGATGAGATGCTCTGGGTGCCAGAGACCGTTTTTGAGATGCCATGGCATGTTGCCTGTGTCGTTCGCCCCTGCCTCATTGCCTTGCGGGTGAGTAGTGTCCGCCTTGCCGGCTACGGCGGCGAGGTTGCCGAACGTCGTGCCCACGAGTAACGCGTCTTCCGGCACGGGCTGCACAAGCTGCTCCAGATTGAAGTCGTCCAGGCCGCCGTGAGGGAGCGTGATGCTAGGCTTCCCTCGCAGCTCCTTGTCCACGAGCCGTCTCAGGTGTTTGAGCGGTCTCGTCCGGTCAGAAAACCACGTTGTCTGCTCGGCGATGATCGGCGAGATGGTGATGCCAGATCTGTTATTTAGCCTCTCGGCCGGGAGCGCGATGATGGCGGTCTGGATCGCCCTCGACAGGCTCGAGATGACGACGGGACTGTCAATGGTGACGTGGGAGGTGTCGGGATTGTCGAACATGTCCTGGTACTCTGCTCGTGTCTTGCTGGAGCAGTAGTCGCGGCCAGACATCTCAGCCTTGGACCAGGCTGCCCTTGTCTCGTCGGTAGTCAGCAAGGGGTCCATCTTGCTGACGGCAGAGTTGTCTGGGACGTTGGACTCGGACTCTCCATGGCGGGTGAAGATGACCCTGTAGGTTCGTGGTGCCATTATCTTGTAGATATCCTTCCCTTACTTCCTCCAGGTGTTGGGTCTTACTTGAGGAGGGATTCAAAATTGAATGAAGGTACTTTTCCCCCTTTCCAGAGTTAAGGTGTTGCTCTTCTTTTTATATGTGGCTCCGCTCTTGTCCAATAGATATCTGCTAACGCCTGGTTTGGCTGCCCGCTTTGATGCTCATCTGCCCGGTTATTGCAGCAAGAAAAACACTGCGCTGACCAGGCAGGCATAGTTTGCCCATTACGCCCGAAATGTGTGCGGTGAAAATCTGATCAGGCTGAGCACCAAAGCCACATGCGAAGTGTCTCTGCATTAGCGTGCATCACCTCACCTTCCCCGGCCCTTGCTACTGCGTGATACTGCTGTATGTCTTATGCCGGCGCTTCCACCAATAATCCCTGCCAAGTCTCTCTTATTACGGCTGCACCGTTATGGCCTAGAGACGGCTCAGGCTGTTCCCGCTCGACGACAATGTGCAGGGACGCATGATTGGCCATTGACTCGGTTGAGACCGTGGTGAGGACCGACAACGGTAACTCTTTATTCCACTTGATTCGGTTGCGATAAGCGGTGAAGCGGAAAGGGGAAAGGGCAGTGGCGCCACATTTGCATGACAAGAAGAGTTTGTCACACCCCGTGCAGTATCTTACAGAACGAGCACCTTTCCTAACCTAGGACACCGTTTCTGGGCATCCATGTTCTCCTTCACCGTCATAGAAGATCTTGGTCCCAGGCAACTTGCCTCTGAGCTTCAGATCGTGCCGCCGCGGCCGCACCACATGCCGGGCGGAAAGCTGGGCGCAGGCTAGGCACGAGCCTCGCGCGTGCGGCCGGGTGGGGCTAGAGCAACGACCATCAACATTTGGCTCAAGCTCTATGGTTCAACGTCAGCCAGAATTCCTACAAATCCGGGCGCCTAAGGGCCAGCACTTACTTTTGAAGTTGTCGGAGGTTATCTCCACTTCACGCACATCAAGTTCCTCGGGCTCGACAAGAATCATGCGGTGGTCCGGAGCCTGTGAGCGAGGCATGGCGACCGATTAATGGTAATGCTTCAATGACCCTGAGTATCGTAAACCAAAGCGTATGTTGGTGTGAGATTTTTGCGGCAAGATGCTACGGCTTCGAAGGAGTACGGCCGGCTTTGACGGCAGCGAGTCTCATCCAGATTGCAGTATTGTATCTTGTTGTCTCTGCGATGCGTGAAATCGCAACGCACTCTGTTACACATTTGTCCAGCAGAAAGAGACGCAAGGTGAGACCAGCAGCATAGGGAGCCATTTTGTGCGGCTGCTGCTATCCTAGCAAAGGCAGCGGCGAGTGATGGCTCGCTCCCGCTTGCCTGGGAACCAGGAAGACCGCGATTGACTGGTGCATCGAGACTTTGCTCTTCTGGCTTACTTCCCTCGTCTTTTCCGCTATTTCCATTGGGGCGCCTAGGAGGAGACAATCGGTCATCAGATCGAAGACGGTGCGAGATTCCGGGCTTTCGATCTTAGAGGATATCCGTGCATGTCGACTCCGGTCCCTTCAGTGCTTGCCTTGTCGATGTTGCCCAGACCAGTCTTTTCGCGAGTGGGGCTGTTGGTTGCGGGCGCTGGACATAAGGCTGTGGGGGGTGGCTGAAGCCTCTTGCAGCCCGAGAGCCCCGGAATGTGACGAATGTGATGTCTAAGGGCATAGTGTATGTGCAGGGTGGCTGTGATCTCGCAATGATCCTTGTTATCGCGAGCCAGCTTGCCTGGCCTTCCGTTGGCGGCCTCAGGGGCCATGCACGACCATGCGCTGAAGTCTCATTGTGTGATGGTGGGGCCGTTAGGCGGGCCTCAAGAGAGCAGGCAGCACCCACCCATGCCGGCCAACTTAGAAGCATCTGCAGACTGAACAGCCTCACAAGGACGACTGCCGTGTGCGAGAGCAACGGTCCCAGAGATAATATAAGCTGATCACAGCCTGTACTAGATATTGAAGTGTCGACCGTTCCCGACGACCTCGGAGCGATGGGCTTTGGCCTGAAAACGCATGCAAGTGCCTTGTCCATCCAGAGATGAAGTCCGCCCCACCTTTCTGTTGTGCACCACCCACCCGCCGCGCGCTTCTCGCGCCCAGGTCTCGCAGTATGTTCGCGGATAACACGTAGGGTAGGAGTCTTGTCAATAACACCAAGTTCCAAACGTGCCGCTTCAGGCTCGTATTTGGTGCCAAGCCAGCGACACGCGAGTAACACACCGCCTATCTGTTCGAGATCTCTAGGCACCCTTCGAGCGCCGAGCACTCCGAACTCGACGAGCGCCGTGAGGGCTGGTGGCGGGAACTGGATGGGATCTTTTCGGAGTCGGGTCTTTGTGAAGAGGAAAGGAGAGGGTAAAAACAGTGCGCGCTTGCGATTTGGGGAGCGGCACAGGCGTGTGATGCGGTCAGCGCTTGCGAAGTGGCATTGTGGATGGCCGCTATTGTTTATATTTGGAAGTCCGGACGATACGCCTTATGTATGTTTGCCGGTTTGGCAGATTGTCCTGTGCCATACCATCAACAACCTCACACTGTGACCAAACGGCATACTAAGCTGTATCAAGCTCTACAGGGCTCATAGGCGCCCGATACATACATATTTACCGGTCTCTGTCAGGAGTGAGCGCTAGACGTTTTTGAACGGCCACAGGATTAGTCTTGTATATCGGTGGTCCAATGTTCCGTAGATCAGCCCAGGCCTTCCCTTCACCAACTCTTTGCTTACTCGATCCGCTTACACAAGTACCTGCTTCTACTAGGAAGTTACCGGATACCGCGCTGCGTCAGAGCCGTATTGTCCGGAAGCGAGACAACGTCGCAGGGCATACCGAGTTCCCCGGCCATGTCCGGAATTTGACTACGAAGCGCCATGGGCACTATACTATGGACTCACCATTCACTATCGGCGAGCTGAATAATATTATACTGGAGAAGTCAGCACTCCGCGAACTCTGGAAGGTCCAGCTCAGTGCGAAACAAAACAGACCCACCAGAAGCAGCCTCTATGCTCAAGGAACACAATATCTCTATCATGCCGTCCATCCCCTTGATAACATGGGCCCCAAGTTATGTCAGCCACTCGATAAGCGAGACTTTAAACCTGGCCGCTTGTACGTGTTCCGGCGCGCCTCATCCCCGGGCTACGTCAAGATCGGATGGACCATGAACCCAATCCAGCAACGCCTCAACGATTGGTGCAGGAAGTGCGGCTACCGCCCTATCCTCGTGCACAGTACAGACGTCTTCAAATACACCCAGCGCGCAAAGACGCTCGCGAAAGAGGAGCTGGCGTGGGAGCGTCACAAGGAGCCCCAGTGCGCGGGCTGTGGCAAAGGGCATACCGAGTGGTTCAGGGTCAGCGAGCAGAGGGCAAAAGAGGTTGTCGACAGCTGGGCGTCGCTCATGACGCATGGGGACTTGTATGATAAGCATGGACGAATTAAGTTTAGCTGGACCCTCGCTGCTTTGACGCTGGATCAGGCGAACAGTGATGTCCGGATCACTGCTGAGAGACTGCTCTCCAGCCATAAGGCATTGGAGATGCAGCTGAGACAGGGTTTCGTGCAAGGGGTGTACTATCTTGGCAGCGAAAAGTCCCCGAAGGCTGAGGAGGACTGTGCGGAGCCTCGCGATGGCGCCAATCAGTATCGCAGGCCCTCCATCTGGAGCCGGCTCTCCCGCATTCTCTATGGGCCTCGATAACTGATAAAGCGGCCAGCACAGCACTTGAACGTCAGGTACAGCGGGCAGGAGACCTGTACATGGCAGTTTCAAACAGTAATCCGAAGCAAATAGCATATATTGTTGTGATCAAGATAGATATTGATGCGCGCGCGTGGGGTCAAATAATAGCAGGTCAAGTGGTGATGCCACCTGCAGCTGCCTTGCAGCGACCTACCCCGACGCGCTATCAGTTTATCATACATGAGTGGCGCAGGCAGCCACATGTGGCTGCCACCCTCCTTCTGGCGCTTCAGGCATCAAGAGCTACAATGGCTGCACCCATGATCTCGAGTTTTTCCCGCCTCGGATATGACTGCGAAACACTTCATATAGTTTGACAAGTTCAGTCAGGCTATGCATCCCCTGCGCTCGTCTCATACCGAGCTCCACTGGTCTTGAACCTCCTACCACCGCCGATACTCTCTACATTTCAATCTTGCGGTGCCACACGTCTGCCAAACATGGACTCGTCTGGAGGTAGGACCCATCCATATGCACGGAAGCGCTAGATTCAAACCCAAAATTCCCTTGGTCCTTATTATACCCAAGGGCATGACTAAGTGGGTGCCGCGAGCGTTCACACTAAAGCTTACGGTTTTACTGCTCCTCATGGACCATTATCCATTTCATTGACAACCAAAATGATCATACTAGGGAGGAATGAGACTCGCGATAACATTTAGATATTATTATAGAATAGGTCCTTAGGATACTATTAACCAGAATGTTGGTTTTCGCGACATGACACAGCCAATTGCTATGAGATCTGGGAAGTTCGTTTTCAATCACTTGGGAGACAACTCCTTCGCGCCGAGCGAACAAGATAGCACATCCTCTTGACCCTCAAGGTTTAACTCGTCGAGGATCATGCTTAAGGACTCCGCCGATCTCGATACATTTCTTGTGAAGGCTGAATGGTATCTGAGGGACCAAGGCGCCACGTGTCCGCTGTGTCAAACGCGACACCAGCCTGTTGGATGGGTGCAAGATGGCTTTGCGTAGGAAGCACGCGGGCAGGCGTGTCGGCTTCCTCCCCGCTATCAATAACACCACCTTTACGCGGCCGATAGGAAGAGCTGCGAGCGCAGCCCAGTCCTCATAGTCATAAACTCCTCGTTCTCATCCCTCCATGGACATATGATGAGGCTTCGGACGCATTGGGTCACCGATATTGAACTTTTTCGTCATAAACTATGTCGTCATGCTGAACGAGTAAGAGACTTTTACAGGGGAGTACGACAAAGCAATAACTCCCCCACCCACTGTTGTCCACTCTCGATATTGGCTATTTGAGGATGAGGCACTGGCCACGTCGCCTCGTTCTGTCTTCAATTTTGTGGTCAGTTTTGGGTTGACAGCGACGAGAAAGCTGGTGATCATGTAGGCGCACCGTGGCCGTGCCAGGGCGAGGACCCAAGTGAACATCAGTCTTGTAATGCTCGTTCGCCATAAGTCTTTGGAAGACGAGGTTGGGGTTTGGGATAGTATAACGTCTCAACTTGTCGCACTCGAGCGAGAGAGACTGCTCCTTATATTTATGCAGCTCGGCCTTGCAGAGTATACTTAGCTGGCCATTTATGCCCCGCTGGGGTGTAATTACGCCGCGATTGACGGGCTGGGAAGAGGTATTTGGCTCCAGGAGAATGGAGAGGATAATGTCGTTTGTGTTATGAGGTGGCACGCCTGGTGATGAGTGCGGTGCAAAGCAGTCCGGGGGAGACGTCTTTGACTTCACGACGCGAGCCAGAAGGCTGTCGATGTATGTGGCAGGCAAGGAGTCCTGAAGAAAGAAAAATCGGCGTTCTGAGGACATCGTCACAGCGGCAACGAGGTGATTTCTCTGGTCAATGAAATTGATATGCCAACTTGACTTTAGACATCGTGGCAGAGATGATGCACGACTTGTTATATTGTTTGGTCAAATTCCAATTAGCAACCGCCTACTTCTCCACCGATTAACCTGGTGTGACGGACTGTCAACGTGAAGACGCTTCGTATTTGTGATTTAGCATGGATCAATTGTTTGTTTGTGTAAGGGAAATATCCTTACAAACAGTGTTACCTTGAACGGTATTGGTTGTATACAGTAGTCACCCATCCGACCTCTGGAAACTCCTCAATATCTCCATTTCGGTTCGTCTACAACATCGAAGATTACTTACAAAGAACGTCTCTGAACACACGTCTTCGAACGTTCATCAGCGTTTCATACTTGCTGTACAACTCGCCCTTAGCCCTGAGCCACGCGCTCGCGAAGATGGATTCTACTTCCGTAGCGCATCTTCTCCAAAGTGTTTGGTCGTCGTGGATGGCCACTGGCGCGCTCGCGGCATTGGGGTGTCTCGGGTATCTCACTGTGAATGCAACCTACGCATTAACGGGACATCCTCTGGCTGGCTTCCCGGGTCCGTCTCTGTGCGCTTTTAGTCGCCTTCCGTTCTGGATCCAGGTCTTTCAAGGTACTGACGTCCAGTGGATCCACCAACTCCATCGCTACTACGGACCAGTGGTACGCTATGGTCCGAACGATTTAAGTTATCTATCTGCGCAGTCGTGGAGGGACATCTACGGCCGTCCCAATGGCAGGCCGACACTTCCTAGGACGGAAGACTTTGCAATCAAGCCATGGAATGGTAAGTGGACATCCTATCGAATAAGAAGCTCGGTCATGTATGCTTGTAGCTAAGCAGCAGTCACAGGAGTGCCGAGCATTCTGACGTGTGACGACGAAAATCATGCGCGAGTTCGACGCATCTTTTCTCCGGCGTTCTCCGAACGTGCGCTCCGTCAGCAGGAACCTCTCTTTCAAAAGTAGTCAGTTCTCTCTTTTCTAGAGCGTGCCAGTATAGTGGGCCTTGGCTAAAGTTTACCCCGCTAGTACCAAACTCCTGCTAGAGACAATGGAGAACGATCTGAAGGCCGGGGAGAAGCTTGAGATGACTCGTTTCCTGACCTTTACTACGTTCGACATTATGGCAGACTTATGCTTTGGGCACCCGCTGGAGCTGCTATCAAGAAACCAGTGGAGTCCCTGGGTCTCTGCCATCTTCGACATGATCAGGATGCTACACGTTTCAATGCTTGTCGACTACTATCCCATTCTCGGTTACGTAGTGCGAAAGTTTGAGCCAAAATGGCTTCGAGACATGAAGTCGACTCATTTCAAGCACTCCGCTGATAGAGTAGACCAAAGACTGAAAGAGGGTACAGAGAAGCCTGATTTCTGGAATCTGATAGTCAGGACTCGAGACTCTGGGGGTGGTCTTAGCCTCGATGAAATGCATTCGAATGCCGAAGTGTTTATGCTTGCAGGCACCGAAACCACAGGTAAGATCACTCCCTTCCCTACCGTCGTCCGAAAGCACGGTGAAATGAGACACTATATCTGATGCGATGGTTCACAAACAACAGCCACACTTCTTGCCGGCCTTCTGTATTATCTCTGCCTCAACCAGAAGAAGCTCCAGTTACTGGTCCAAGAGATCCGCACCGCGTATAGTACCATGGACGATATCACCTTTGACAGTCTAAGTAGACTTGAGTACCTTCGTGCATGCATCAAAGAAGCGTTGCGCATGTACCCACCGGGACCTGCTGGCTCTCCTCGACTTGTTCCAGGAGATGGTCATTATATCGAGGGTCGATGGGTCTCTGGGGGCACCCGCGTGGTCGTCTCCCCGTACGCCGCTTACCGCTCAGAGATTAACTTCGCTGATCCAGACACGTTTGCCCCAGAGCGATGGCTGAATGCGGATCATGCCGAAGCTGACACGACGGGTAAATTCGCTGGTGATAAAGGTGAAGCACTGCAGCCTTTCTCGGTAGGCCCGAGGAACTGCATTGGGCAGAGTATGGCGCATCATGAGGCCAGGCTCATCCTTGCAGCGCTCCTCCTACGGTTCGACTTTGAGCTTTGTGAGGAGAGTAAGGCCTGGGCGGATCAGAAGGCTCACGCGTTGTGGCTGAAAAAGCCACTGTTGTGCCGGGTTACTCAGGCCGTGCAGACGTAGGAAATGGTGCTCTGCCTTCTGATCGACCAGCTGGATCTCGTGAGGCTTAAAGAACTCTTCAGGCATAGATATTCGGGTAAGAGGGTTGCTTGGCAGCTACTTTTAGACTGGGTGTTGCCGAAGATAATACCATTTCGCTTCTCTAACACCACTACTCCGTACCTTTAGGCGCCATTTGCTAGTGCATCCCATTATAGTACATCCTGCTCAATAGGAATGTGCCAGTGTCGTTAGATGCTGGCTGCAGGTTGAGCCACCATAGTTTGTTCGAAAAAACTGGGCAGGCATTCTTTCATGGTGAAATGTGTTTGTCGTAGGCACGATCGTTGGCCATCAGCTCTGGGTAGATTCATGGCTTGATTGCCGTATTCGAGTACCCCTTTCTCGCCGAGAATGAATCTGTGCCTTGTAGTACATCGACAAGTCTACCTCCATCCGTACTTGAGCGGCGGTAATGGAGATCGTAACACCACTAGCCTCACCTCAGAGCAAGACCCTGTATGGCTCCCGCGGCCCCCTGACCAGGGGACACGCATATCTTGAGCTGACGCCTTCAACCAACCAGATTTTAAGTTCCTCCCACTTCGTCATTATGAGCAACTCTTCAGTGTTTCTTGCGCGACCACAAAATGGAGCAGCACTGTCGTTACTGTCCGCCAAAAGGAGAAGACGGAAATAACATCCCTACATGCCACCACTCATTATGCAGGGCCCGTCACTCCTAAGCGTCCCAGTGCCCCGTGCGGGGTCGGTAGCCACGCTACTCGCACTAAGTAGAGAGTTGAGAGGCCCCTCGTGGCCCGGCCGTGGTGCGCTGCCGTTTCGCAGTGCTCTGCCAGGCTGGATTTGCTGCGCGATGGTCTGATGTCTGCATATGATACAGTATGTTTCTTGTTCAAGCTCTTTCCAGAAGCCTCAGCGCACCAGGCTGTCTGGCACCGCTGCATAGTGCACGTAGAGATTGAATGCGGGCAGTGGCACAGGAAACCTTGCCCCTGTGTGCTTAGGCTGCGCGGCGTTTCGGCACCCAGAAAAAAGTGAAATGGAGGACGGCACAACTACGATGTCACCCTTCGTTAGACTCGAATTGCCATGGACGCTACTTTGGCGGGGGAAAACGATACCGGCAGTCCTGATCATAACACCAGAGTAGACGGTAAGGATGCTAGGGCTTTGGCGCCCCGCTCGAAACCTAGTCCCACCAATAGCTGCTGCCGCTACTTGGACGCGCACGTCAGCGCCATCACCGTCCACCGTCGTGAGCTTTGAGCTGTGGTAGCAAAAAGGAAAATTGCTTGCAGCCTAATGATTCCATTTCTATCAAGGTGGTTTCAGGGTCATAATTTTGTAGAAATCTCACGATTGCGCCGTCACCTCAGCAAAACCACTACCCAGGGAAAAGTTCACCTGTGAAAAGCGACCCACAGAAATTCAAACGCGGACCAGCAAACCGGCAAGATATACTGTCACATGCCACGTACCCACGCTATTTGTGCAGCGACCTTTCGAGTTCCGGTGATCACTATTGGAGCTACTAGCATCGAATGCCGACCCCATTTCGTTCGTATATCTGGGCAATGTGGACAAACGAATCTCAATTGGGAGACTCGAGCCATGCTGGATACTTCTCCTCCCGCCCAGGTAGATACACGTCGACACACAACCCGAAACGGTCCAGCCTTCTTAGTCTTCTAACTCCGAAGGACTGCGCGTCACCACCAGCAATGGGATCACCATCGGCCATGGTGCCATACCTCCATCCTGTTCGAAAGGACGCGTTCAATAGTTGGAAGGAATTGGTCCTGCGTCCATAGTCACACGTAGTATCGTGGACGGCTGTGCAATTTAGTCAAGGCAAGAGAAGCTTCCATGAACTTTCACACGCAATAATGTGTTTATATCTGTATGCTATCTTTCTGCTGTCTAATGAATAAACCCTGATCGGCAAGATAACTCATAGTTGGCCGCATGCCAACTTTCTCGGACATTTGCTCGTACAGCAACAAACGAAAATCCTGTGACGACCGGGGAGTATCCAGAACAGGGTGTGGCTACACTGGAATGGGCCTGGCCTGATTGTTTGGCTTTCGAAAGGAGGTCGTCAATGCTGGGTGCTCACTCCTATAAATAGACTAGCGCGATGGCGGCCATCAAGAGTGCCTGATGCACGGGCCCACAACGGCGTGAAATGCTCACTAGCTCCACGGTGTCCGGCTCATTACCTAGTACTGGTGGGTCCGCGCCGCCGGAGGTCTGCAAGGCCGGTTGAGCCCGTGCAGTCGAGTATGCATCTGACGAATCGGGTTCAGTCTGTTGAATGCTATCCAGGACTGATGCAGATGTCATAATGGACGCTTTATCCGTGGTAGTATCTGCCCGTACCATGTCCGAGCTCGTGTTATGACCTTCATTTACGTCTCCAACTATCCCTCCTGTATTATATTCGGGGCTGCTACTTCCGTCGACCTCCTGCGCTATGCTTGGAAACAAATCTTGGCTTGAAGTGGGATCAACAAGAGGATACGAATCTACGCTAGATTCTCCGTGTGCTTCTGCGCGCGAGGAGCTTTCCGGCGTGAAGGTGGGCACCACCGGATACTCTGCATATTGCGTTTGAGTTGGACTGCTCCAGGGCGTCTCGGTTGGTTTAATATTGCTTGGCGGCGCTGGCAAGTAATCTGGCACTTTTGTATAAGAGTGTCCAATTGTTGTTCCGTGATTATATTGTGAGGTGTCGGCTATAGCAGTCTCGATCGGAGGACTGCCCTCTGTTGGCATAATAGTGTAGTTATCTGATTCTACCGCTGTAGCATAACTTGATTCCGCGGCGGAGGGGTAATGTTCTGTGCTACTGTCTTGGCCTGAGGAAATTTCAGTAGATGAAGTAGGGTAATCCGGGGTTGTTCCGGAGCTCTTGCTCGATTGCCCTTTCCCTGTCGTGGTAGATGAACCATGGCTATTCAACGAAGATATGGTGATTAAGCCTGTCGAAGAGGTTGGATAAGGATCTGCAGGACTAGCGGTGGAAGATAGCTCGGATACGAGGTAGGAAGACGAACTCCAGCTGTGCTTAGATACAGTGGAATAACTAGAAGAGTGACCAGTAGGTGAGTAGGCAATAGATGAGTATGCAATAGACGAGTATGCAATAGATGAGTATGCAATAGATGAGTATGCAATAGATGAGTGGGTAGTCGATGAGTAGGCAGTAGATGAGGAGCCCACAGAGGGATAATCAGCGGAATACGGAGGCTGTTCTGAGGTCGTAGACAAGTGTGAAGTGGTCTGCTGAGTCGTCTGAGATTCGGACACCGGATATGATTCCATTGATTCCGTTACTGTCAGTGAATAGGAGTCTGGCCAGCTACGTATAGGAGATGATGACATGCTCTCTAGTAAGCTGCTGGGCACGGTGGTGGTAGAGTCGCATGATGATGATGTCTGGCTAGTATCACTCGAAGTCTCTGGATATTGATATGTCTCAGTAGGCGCTGGCTGGACCGGGTAATATGTTGTCGGATTTGCTGTGGAACTGGATAGTGAGGTATCAATAGTTTTGCAGGATGAGGCCTGCGCCGTGGATGAGGAAGCATAGTATCCAATAAGTGCGAGGGCCATTATCGGCTCAGACGCTGGGAATGGTTCTCGTGAGGGAGATTGAAGGTTTGCGAAAAGGTTACGCAGAAAGATGGCGCACGTTTTAACAGCAGATGTAACTACTTGTAAGCCAGACAACACCAGCGAGACTGGGAATTGACATGATCTGACTGTACAATAACGGATGACTTAATTGTTATGTGTTTGTATAGGGGAAGTCGGCAAATTCATTCCCGTTGGTTATTTGCAATACAACAAAAATTTAACAGGTCGAGCTGTCTATACAAATACAATAATGGCAGGCTGGGTGCGCTATGCTCTGTTGGCAAAACAAACATCAAGCCAGTAAAATTATACAACGCTTCGGAGGGCATCACTATGAAATCTGGTGCGCCTGATACTGTATTCCTTCATCCTTCATCTGTTCTGTTTGGATCACCATGATCCGAGTGATCCAGTCGCTGACGTAAGGAAATTGATTACATAATGACTGTTGCCGCACGTGGCCTTCGCAGCTCCCGATCTTTTTTGTCGTGTTCATCAGCCCGAACAATCCCGTGTGGGTCCGGGTCGTCACAACATTGCACACAAACTTAATCAGTGGGAACAACATGCGCCAACTCAGAAATGGCTTTGATAGAAGTCCTCGCTTATTGTATGGATGAAGACTTGTTCGAAGCCATAGTTAGCTAGTTGAGCGCTCATTACACTAGCCGATTTGCAACTAGTTTACCTCTGCGAAACGTGTCCTTTTCTGGGGTCTCTCTGCTACATAATCTACGTCTGAAACATACTGGATATAGCGACCTTGGTGCATTACCAGAATCTCAGTCGTCGACAAAACTTCTCGGGCTGGGTTCAACGTCTCTTTGAATGGCCCCGAGCCCCTGACTGCTGACTTGGAATCAGGGGTGCCAGGTGGAGGAGCGATCACTTGATACTCCTCATTTGTGGTCCTGCGTGTACCCGTGTCCAGCGCAATAAGTCTGTCCCTCTGCGTGACTTGAACTGACGACACGTTGAACACAGTTTGAGGTGCTCGAAGCATTGCGGTTTGTGACAGTTCGCCACCATGGTCCACAAGGTCTACAGGGGAAGGGCCCATGGTGTCGGTGTCCATGGGCAAAATTTCGACGTTTTTAATCCAGTCCATGATTGGCTTGTCTTCAACGACCGACCTCATGGTTCTTCGCTGTTCTGAATGCGTCATGTTCCTACCTCGGTCGACGATGAATTCCTCGATGCTACCCTTTAGAACAAGAGTCTCCACGGTGACAGGCTTCTGCTGGCTGATACGACGAGCGCGACCAATAGCCTGAGCTTGGACTTGTGAGTTTAACACAGGGCTCACAAAATAAATGCGCGACGCACTGCGCATGTCTAGGCCGAAGGCTGCTTGACTAATGTCCATGAGTAACACCCTATTTGTTGAGTCGTGGGTGAAGCGCTCTATACATTTGGCGCGATCTTGGGGGCTTTGCCCGGAGCGGGTGTATATGAGATGCTTTATTCTGAGCTTGAGATCGAGGATCTGGTCAGCGGGAGGCACTACTATCGGCTTTATGGCAGACTTACTACTTCTAGAGCGCTGTTTAGATGAGACGCGATACTGTCGATATCATAGAAAATAATGATTTGCTCTTTCTCATAATGCTGCATAATCGCATCTATCAAGTATGATAGCTTGGCAGAAGCCGTAGAAATGATTCGGGTCGATGCTAGAACTTTCCTTGCCGAAGGAACAGTATGAAGGTGATCCTCACCCTGGAGTTCAGCGACGTTGTCAGTGATGGAAGTGGTCCCAGTGGACATAGAGTTCGAGATCTTGTTGCTGTCCCACCCTGGCTTGGTGTGCCAAGCTGTCGCAGCCTGCTGCTGAAATTGGCCCAAGAACTGTGCGATGATTCGTAATATCTGAAACTGATTATCGCATGTCGCCGTGCTCTCTGATATCGACGTGGGATCGTTGAAGTTGGCATAACCGGATTGTTGTAGTGAATAGACAAGATCCAAACTAACACAGACAGCTTCACCCTCGATGTAATCGGGAGACGGACCAGACCTGACGCCTTCGAGAGAGTGAGTAATGTAGACCGGCAATATATTGAATTGATTGCTGACGTTCTTTAGGTCGTTCGTGAGAGCCTTGTGCCCAATCTCGATAGCTCGGCAAAGTGAGGCTTCATCCTCCGCACTTATTGGTACTGGCTTGCAGCTGTAGAACTCCTGCGCAATATCAACAGCCTTCTGGATCTCTTCCCTGGAAAAGAAAACACCTCCGAAGAAGCAAGCCTGCCTCAGATTGCGGACAAGCTCAAGAAGGCTCTTTCTCTGCCGTGGATGGAATAAGTAGTCCACACCTGTGCGTTGTGACTGGACGGCGTTCAAGATGATCATCATCGAGAACAAGTTCAATGCAAGTTTGTCCTGATAAGAGCCCTCAATATGGACAATCTTCTCATCCACAGGGGGAAGTAGCGTGCTGATGTCTGCAAGGCGGTGCCGAATCAAAATAGAATTCAGCGTAGCCCTCGTAGTATCTACGTGATGTTGGCACCTCGAATGCTGTGTCGGACTCACAACGTACATTTTCCAATCCGCAATAGAATCGTCGACGCATTTTGTCTTGGCCCATGGCGGGGCTTTCAGATACTTGGCAATGATCCTGCCCAGGTGTACTAGGTCGCTCCTTTGTGACTCGATATCGTTCAGTCTGGTCGAAGTATCGTCCACTTCTGCACCATGGAGATTTCTTGTCGGAGTGCCTGTGACAATCCACATCGCACTTGTATTGAGCCTTTGCAGCACCATGGACATAGTGCTCTCGCCTGGCTTCCCCAGCTTATGGCCTTCGTCGATGATTGTACGCTTCCATTGTATGTGCTCCAGTTCACAGTCTATTCCGTGCACTTGTCCCTTGTCATTCTTTCCTTCTGCCCAGATCCGTTCAAGACGGCTCTGGGAGATGAGGACTATATCAACTGCTAGCAGCTGTTCGACACAAGGCATTCGCGCTCGACTGATCAGGGTCATGACTTCGAGTTCAGGTGTATGCCGTAATATCTCGTCCTTCCACTGAGTCACAAGATTGTCAGGAACTACGATGAGAGTCCCACTGCCCAGGAAAATCGTTCTCGTCTGCGGCTCGCCCCGCATGAGACGAGTGCTTCTTCTTGTGGTGAGCCCGACATCGAGGCCTAATTTATAAGCGGCGCGGTTTGCTGGGCGTTGCAGAGCTTCGACGCATCGAGTGTAATCTTGGCCAAGGCGTTGGTTCATGTATGTAAAATATGGCTGCCACGGCACAGAATGACGATTAACACCAGCCGCGCACATATCCACAAAGTTTCCGACATATCTTCGTCGCGGAACTTCTACCGCGAATGGGTCTGGTGCTGTTGTTGGCTCGCGCTTCGTGCTTGAAATGAGAGCAAGACAGATCAACGTCTTCCCTGTGCCCATCTCCTCTGCGAGGATGCCGCCGCGAGCACCATTGTAATATCGCGGCTTGGCCAAAACCAAGCCCGTGGCCGAGTCGTAGTACCATGGACGCCCTGACTGGTCCTGACAGCAGCGCAACCTTGGGTCCAAAACCTTGGTCGGGACAAGCTCCCTTCGTAGCATCAAGGCCGCCGAACGACGCTGGTATGGATAGAGAGTGGTGCGTATACCAGGAAGATTTCCCTCCAGAATGGAGAGCATAGCATGTCGAGCATTTAAATCGGAGACGGAGTTGGGGTCTGGATCCGGAGAAGGGACACTATTGAAGAGAGCCAATAGACAAGGGTCGTCTGGGAGGGGATCTGGTAAATCCGTGAAGGATAGTGGGTGCGGAAGCCTTTGCTGGTTTGAGGCGTCATTCCACGCCTCTGAAGAATAGTTTAATCGTTGTAATAGCATGGCGACAGCTTTCATCAGCTTTTCATCGTGGCGGTCACTCACCCCATGCCGCTCAACGTCGAATGGGAGTACATAGATGCGGAACCGGACAAATGAGCCTTTGGCGGCTTGGCGTACAAAGAATTCGAGCTGGATCCACTGGTGCTTCAGCAGCGTGGTAATGTTGGGCCGATCGTTCGTCGCCTGAAGCAGGGACGAAATGCTTGTTGGCAGTAGGTCCTCCGAGACTCTACGCCAGGTTTGTGTGTCATTGAATTGAGCTGTGGGGTTCGTCGCGATCGGTTGGTCTAAACAGCCTATTGGCCGGAAATCTTCATCCCGCATCCTAGCTATAGCAGGTCCGACCAAGGATAGGCAATTACGTCGAGGCCTGAGGACCTGTTCCGGGGCAAGTCAACTTCTTCGTGACTGTGCTAGGACCTCGAAATTGGCGCCACAACTCCCTATTCAGGGGGGTGATAGGCTGGGTATAATAAAGTTCTTCGCCGAGCATGGCCATGCTCTGGGTTTGGCCGATACTGTAGCTGGAAGCGTAGATACTCAGCTTATCTAAAGAGTCTATGTTCGGCCTTAATCCTGAGTAAAAATTACGGCAAACAAACAGAGAAATGGTTGCTTCCCGGGCTGTTGTTTGTGTATGCTTTCAATGCCCCGCAAGGACAGGCATCATATCAACAAATTCAACGGAGGTCCCACGTCTCTGCGAATATGTCTTATCGGGTACTGTGCACAAGCTCGACGTCGTGCAGAACTCATCCTATATTGCAGTAATATGCAGTACTGCATGTCTTTTGCTAAGTTGCATGGTTTTCCGCGCCCTCGAAATCTTGCAATATCTAAGCCCCAGAAGTAATCAATTATAATGATTGACGTTGACCATTTCCACGCCGGCATAGTGAAGACCCGAGGAATCATTAATATAGCTGAGAGCCGGCGCCTAGAATAGAAATTCCGACAACGAGATGTGGATCAAATTACGATAGGTCCAACACCCAAATTGGCAAGCACAACATGATTTGGGATTACAACGATATATATATAAGAACCTGGGCTCTAATCCGTAAGTCCGAGTGGCTTCGACTGTGAGAACAAGTTTCGAAGTGAACAAAAGGGTTGAAAGAGTCTTCACAGGCTTATTGAACGCATCGTTCACGGTCGTATTCACCAGCGTGGCCGCTGCTTGAGCCCCAGGTCTACTCTCTCCGCTAACGGAACTTCTTATAACGCATATATGATCATGCTGTCCCTGATGCCTCGCCGCGCACAAGGAAGGCAACAGCAGCCTCATCGAGAGTCTGCGCCGTCGGATCCGGGACCAGGCAGTCAGCTTTACAGGGACCGGCTCCATCTATTTTCTTGTTTCAGCCTCTATATCATGCAATGAAGAGTACTTGGAAAATCCCAAACTCTGCCCTGTACAGGAAGTCTGGTAGGGCTGTCGCTTATACTGTTTGGGATTACATCTATCTGGGGTATGGAACGGCCGTTTTCTTGGGCGTCACAGCTAAAATCCTGCTTAGAACTTGGAGATAATGCCCCAACTACTACTTGTGTTGGAGTAGCCGCCATTGCTAATAGGATTTGAAGCTAACATAGCAGTAACTCTAAGGGTATGGAGTGAGCGATGTAGGGAAAAACAGAAAAGTGTAAGGGCAGTGCAATATTAGAGGATTGAATTACATCATATGCAACGGATTGAAATGATCATCAATGAGTGGACTGTGAAGCAGTCAGGCCGTTCATGAAGCGGCTCACGTTGTTGTATCTAGAAACACGGCGGGAAATAATCAATTTGCATTGTTTCGAAGGGCTTATGAGCGCGCAGTAATTATGGTGTTCGACGGGAGTGAAGTGTCTATTACACATCCACAAACATATTTCTTCCAAGACCCAACTTGCTAGAGTGGTAGCCTTGGCTATTATTCCAGGTTGCTCTGTGAGGGGCGGGGTATCACTTTCGTCTACGACATGAACCATTTCACTACCTTTTCAGACCAAAGCCAAAGAACAAGGGCGTGCTACATGTGCACGAAACGGACAACAAAATTGTGCCAACTGTAATGACATAATAGGCCCTCTATTCTAGTGACGTTAGAGTTGACAAATGTGTTACCTCCGCACCGTGAGCCTTTATCTCTGCACCACAAGGTCACTGCGTGCTCATTTAATCATGCGTGCCCTCCGCCACATCGTTGGAATGGATTCGAACAGCCGTCCTTCACGCGAGCGAACCGACGTCCACAACCAGCATGCATTCATACATATAGCGCTAGCGACAATCCTGGTGCTGGCATACTTAATCCCGTTATCTGTAAGTATTGAGAAGTCAATCGACGAGGCACAAGATCGAGCTTCCGTTGCCTGCCTCAAAGCAGAGGCGGTCGGGAGCACGGTTGTCTCAATGCCACATTACTTATCCCAAGGCATTAATTCTTTGACGGCGGACGGCGTAACAAATTCAGTCCGAGCTATCGCTAGCTCGCTCGACCTTGTCTTAGAGGCGATGGAGAAGCTTTTGCTCTTTGTTTTCCACTCCATGACAGACACCTATATGTGTCTGCTACTCATGGCTATTCATGGCGGGTTGAACATAACCATTAGCGCGATGGAGGAGTTCCGCTCGCTTTATCAAGGCGCCACTACCGGGTCCTTGCAGTCTATCGAACAGAGCATAGCGACTACGAACAAGGGCATAGATAGCGTGAATGCTTTCATAAGTCAGGGCGCAAACACAGTAGGCGGTATTTCAGGCACTATTAGCAACTTGTTCGGCTCCCGCACCAAGCGACAGGACGTACAACAACTACCGCACCTCAACGTGGATGATGCGCTGGAAAGCATCAGGAATACGAAAATAGACATTGGCCCGATACTTAATGACTTGAATGAACTGGAGCGGCGCATTCCTGATTTCGCGACAGTGAAGAATATGACCGACATGGTTCTCACAACGCCCTTCCGAGCAGTAAGGACGGAGCTGAATCAAACGCTTGGAAGCTGGGCGTTCGATCCGAAAGAGCTTTTTGTTCCGGAAAAGGAGTCTTTCGTGTTTTGCCCTAACGACACCACATTTTCAGATGTTTTCAAAAAGCAACGCGATCAGGTTCGCTTAAAAATTACATGGAGTATCGTAATCATAATCTGTCTCGCGGTACTACTAGCAGCGTCGCTATACTACATACACTCAAGGAATCTGGAATTTGTTCAAGTTCTTGTGGAAAGCCCAAGGCTGAAGCAAGCTCAAGCACGAATAGCACCCTTAGCTTCTATTTTGACAAAGTTTCGGATCTCTAGGCGCCATTGTTCCAGTAATGCGTCCGCATTGCTTCTAATTGGATTTTCCGGGCTACTGAGCTGTCTCATTGCAACACTGTTTCTTCGCACGGTCGAAAGCGAGGCGCTTGAGATGAGAGACGCTATCGAGATCCGAGCTGAAGCACTTTCTACTAGTATGCAACGAATATCTACCGCATGGGCAGATACTGCTGACTCCGCCATGGGACGGTTAAATGAGGATCTTACTGGTCAACTACAGGATCAGATACACAGAGCCGCTGACGGAGTCAACTCAACGATAACCACGTTCAACGTCCAACTTCAGCAGGCCCTTACGGCAGCGTTCGGAGACTCGATTTTAAGAGATGCTATACAGCAGGCTTTGAGGTGTTTGATAGGGACGAAGATTGACGCCGTGCAAACTGGTCTCCGGTGGGTCAATGAACAAGTCAACATTGACTTTCCTCCGTTTACACACGACGTGTTTTCTATTGGCGCTAGTATTGCAGAGACGGGATTAGACAAGGCTCTATCTTCCGGCAGTGACATTATCATGGACAACATTGACTCTGCGATTATGTATGTGGCAGATAAGGTCCGGCGTGATATCCGTACTCACGCCATAATCTCCACTGTATTGATCCTAGTCTACCTTGTGCTACTGCTGGTGGATGTAGTTGTCTCACGTAGGACAGGTGCCCTCAAGACGAATAATAAAGAGATGTCAGAGTTCTCGGGAAAGCCACTACCACCACCACCACCACAACAACAACAACAACAACAACAACAACAACCACAACAATTGCAACCACAACAATTGCAACCACAACAATTGCAACCACAACAATTGCAACCACAACAATTGCAACCACAACAATTGCAACCACAACAACCACAACAATTGCAACCACAACAATCACAACAATTGCAACCACCAATAACGCCGAGTTGGATCTAAAGGATGAGGCAGTACAGTAGTGACCGCGAACTGTGTCCGCTTTTCAGACTTTAGTTGATGTTCCCGCACGGACCATAAGACTGTGGCGTATTGTGGCGCACACTGTGCAGCCTGTCCCATATCAAGTACCCTCCAAAAGTGGATTACGGCTGTTCTTCGTCACCCCATCTACTGTAGTGGCCATCACGAATCGTCGGCCAATGTTCACCATGCCCTTCGCAAGATGACGGTACTGTAAAGTATGACGCGACAAATACAATGCAGAGCATTGAAAGCCATTTTGTGCCTGTCTATAGGAAATACTTGTGAAGTGAATATCTATAGTACTGTAATGACTACTGGATGTGTCCGGCTTCGAAGTTAGTGGCTGTTTTCGCACGAATCAGCCAGGTGTGGCGTGCTATGGCGTGTTGCCTCTTAATAGTCCACGTCAGAAATAGACAGTATTCCAAGCAGCAGATGGCCTTCATAATGAGGTCGTTCGGTATGCGTCTCCTTTCAGAATTACCTTCCGGCCCTTTCGTTAAGGGGGTGGATGCGGCCAGATTTCATGTACAATAACTCCGGAAAGACGTCCACTCTCTCTTCAGTTGAGACTTTATGCATAAATAAAGCTGAAACTTGATTATCGTCCTAGATGCGATCCACTCTGTGGTACAGCAGACTCCCCGTGCTTCGTTCTCTAGATTTGCATGCTACTCATAGCCTTTATGAGCTTCTCGATGGATGCATGCCTGCTTATGGTAGTGTCCTTGTTGTGCCCTTAGTCATCGCCATCTGAGACTGGACTCTTGCTGTCCATATTCTCATTACACGATTCGAGTTGTATGTATGCATCCGCTAGCAGATCCACGGAGAGAACGCGCTCGGGGTCGTCCTCGGCATAAATGTGAGCTTCAACAGCAACGACATGCTCGAACATCTCGATCGCCTCCTTAATCCGTCGGTCGTCGAGGTATGCACCCGCAAGCTCGTACTCCGATGCCAGTCGATCATGATCCTTCTCGTCCAGTGTCTCCCTCCATATCGCTACCACATGCTCGAACATCTCGATTGCCTCCTTGATCCGTCGGTCGTTGAGGTATGCACCCGCAAGCATATGCTCCGATGCCAGTCGAGAATGATCCCTCTCGTCCAGTGTCTCCCTCTGCACCGCTACTGTATGCTCCAATATCTCGATCGCCTCCTTGATCCGTCGGTCGTTGAGGTATGCGCTCGCGAGCCAACTTTCTATGTGCTCCTTTGATAGCCTTTCCCCTGTATTGCCATTTTTTCCCCAGCGCCACATTTCTTCAAAGCATCGTATTGCTTCTTTAAACCGTCGGTCGATATGCATACATCTCCCAACATGAAACACAAGCTCATATCGGTGTTCTGTTTCCGAGGCCTGAGTGTCATGAAGAAGCCGCATTGCGTGTGGCATACACTGCCGCCACCGCTTACGGTTCTCATGATCGCTTGGAGGAAATATATCGTTGAAGCGACGAATAGCATCATACGCCACCCGTTCATGTCGATCCTGTTTCTTAATCCATTCCCGCGTGGCCATATGCACAAGACTGTGCATTTCGAATATATCGTCGTCTCCTCGCCGAGCAAGAAACGAGTAGCCGCAGAGGATGCCGATCGCCCATTCGTTCTCCTCTGACTCAGACCCGGGCATGATCCATTGTGGTATCGCCTTCGGCTCGATACATGCCGTAAACGAGAGCAGATCGACCGCAACTGGATCGGACTTCAGAATCTGTTCAAATGAAACAATCCATGTTGTGGCTATAGCGTTACGCGAGTTCCGATATCTTGTACTGTCGCGAAATTCTCGACCTAAGAGCCCGACGGCATCTTTCTCGGCCCCACGTAGTAACCCTAGGTATTTGCGAATTGGTACCTTGGTCTGATTGAGATATGCTGCTGCCTGGGTGATTGCGAGCGGAAGATAGGTCAGTTGGATAAGAAGATCTTCCACCAGTGCTTTGTCCTGGGGTGTCTGTCTCTGCGTGAGAGACTTCTGGAGAAGTAGTGTGGCCTCGTTGGTGTCCATTTCCTCAATGTCGACAATATTAGACTGTGCAAACTCCACGGCCAACTGTCTCGATCGCGTCGTCAATAGGATCAATCCGTTCTCGCCCTCAGGAAGGTACTCCTCGATACTAGCCTTGCCGTCAGATCCGAAGAATAGGTCCGGGTCGTCAGCGTTGTCAATCACTAGTAGCCACTTGCCCATTTCGTCTGAGCTCAGATATTGGCGAACCAGTTCCTTGATATCTTCGTCGTCGGTCTTCTTCTGGACACCTAGCTTTCTGGCTATCTCGACGTACGCCTGTTCTACGCTGCCATAACTCAAGACTGGAACCCAGAAGATAGAATAGTCGGGCCGGCTAGCTTTGATATCGTAGGCAAACCGTAGCGCAATCTGCGTCTTGCCGATGCCGCCTAGACCAACCAGCGCCATTCGTCGGGTTTCCTCTCTTGCGAAGAATGCTTGTTTCAACGCGTCCAGGATGGTGTTCCGACCAGTGAAGCGGGCGTTCTGAGGAAGCTGGATATAGTAACATGGAAGAGCAGATTCTGCCAATAGTTAGTAGTATTCTAATTAGAGAGATACCAGCCTTTTCTAGCACTTACCGTTTGATCTCATAGCCCTTGTAGTGCCATCTGTACTACTTGTACTTTTAGCAGGAGGTATCTCCCTCAGCACGGCTTTCGCATACGCAGCCGCCATCGCCGCTGCGTACGGCTGCCACTCTTTGTTTTTCTGCTGGTCGCCATAGTCGCACACCCCCCGGATGACTCCTACGGGTATTCGGTTCATCGTCCCTGCCGCCTCCATCTCGAGGCCAATAACCCCGTACTTGTCCCTGAGCTCGTTCAGTCTCTGCGCATTCTTTAACAGCTTCTCTCCCGATCCAATCGGCCCGTACCACACGCGTGTACGGGCTGTATTTGGTCGTCGAGCGCGTTCAATAGCTACTCCCGGCTTGTTTTCGGTTGTTGTGGAGTAAAGTCGGTCGCGATCTTGCCCAGGGTCGGCAAAGGTACCGGTTGCGTGCTCCCTATTACGGATCGTCTCGTAGTAAGGTAGGAAAGTGGCCGCGTCGTTCGGTGCTTGGAGTTTGATCCTCCCGATTGCCGACCGCACTATCGGCTTCGTCGTGGTCAAGACGTGTCCGTACCGTAGGGGTTGAAATCCGTCGTCGGTCTCTTTGCCGAGATCGTACGCGATGATCCCGGCTCTCTCGCCCTCAGGGAGACTGACCAGCACATCGCCGAGGCGGATATCGCGGGGTGGGTTACAGGATAGGTCTGGCAGTCCCGCCGCGACGCCAACCAGTAGTCCAAACCAGTGATGGGGAAAGCACTTGAGAATCTGGCTTGCGAGTGCTGCCGCCGACCCTGTGCCATACTCCTGGCCAGCTGGGAAAGTCGCTATGACGACATTGTGGCCGCACATGCTGCCCGCGTGGAACACGTACTCATCGCCATGATCCACTGCAAATCGGCCTTGGTGTTGCTCGTCGAGCATATATAAGGCGGCCTTGGCTTCGATCTCGAGGGGTGCAATCCAGACGACAGCATAGTCCTTGGGGTCGAGGATAGCTGCGGGATCACCCTGTGATGCCGCCATCCCGTCTAGTCGAGAATGAGGTGGCTTTTAGCGCGTAGTTGACAGACAGCACTCCCGTCCAGCGTCCGTGCTGACGATTACCTCTGGAAGGTGCCCGACCACAGGGCTGTGCAGCCTTGGATCCGCTTTGCAATCCTGCCCGAAAGTGGGGTGGGGTCCTCTTTACCCCGCTTCAACACCACTGAAGACAACCATTCAACGATCCTAGTTCCACCCATGAGCCTTTCACCTCCGCAAAAGCGTTCGGCACCATCTACATTGCTGCTGCCTTCGAGGGATCTTCCAACCTCTGGTCCTGGGCCCCAGTAGGAATTGTCCGGAGTCTCTGCGCCGCATGATGATTTGTGTGAGGATTACTTCCTGATAAGCATATGTAGAATAGACATTCACTATCAAAGTATCCTGTACTGTATAAACAGACACAAATTGGCCATTGATGCTATGTGTTATGTTTGCCACCTCATACTTTGCTGTCAGCTTACGAAGGGTATGGCGAAGATTGGCCGATGATTCGCGATGGCCACCACTGCAGATGGGGTGACGAAGAAACAGCCGTAATCCACTTTTGGAGGGTACTTGTTATGGGACAGTCTGCACAGTGTGCGCCATAATGCGCCACAGTCTTATGGTCCGTGCGGGAACATCAACTAAAGTCTGAAAAGCGGACACAGTTCGCGGTCACTACAGTATTCGACAAGATGACTGCCATGAAGCTGTATAATAGTTACTGCGAGGTGTCTGAAGGATCAACTTCTTAAATGCTTTCACCGTTTGGTGCTTTGAAGGGATGACTTCAGCAGAAACTGGTGGATTTAGTCACAAAAATGGAACTTCTATGCCAAGACTAAAGCCAGTGCCTTCTCGGGTTTGGAGCGCCCGAATCTAGATCATGGCTACTTATGGAGTCACGATCATATCGCATCGCAATGGACGATGTCAGCCTCCATTAGTTCCGCATAACTGGCCTTCGTACTGAACTCTGCCGGCTTCAGAAGTAACTGTCAAGTCCTGGAGGTGCCACGTGCAACTACAGGACCGCATTCTGACGACGTGCAACCCCTTCAATCATCTCCTTTTTGTGTCGTGAAAAACCCCCGACAGAAATCTCGAAACTCTGAACTCGTCCGTCGTGCCTGGTGTGAAAAGCCACTCAAGGGCTAAACCATATGTAGGCCTAGCGCTTGATGGTGGAAGTGCCTTAATGTAGCCTCTACTTAACAGCATGGGCAACTTTTCAATGGTTTAAATTCCACTATATTCTTTACGTTAGAGATACACAGGTCCGACCGGAGGAGTTTGGGGGACTGATATAATAGCTGAAGAGCAGCACTCGAGAGGTGATCTATGAATCAATGCCCTTCTTGCTAGGCCTAGGGATGAATCAGCAACTTTAAAGGGACAAGCAGTGAAGGCATACTCAAGAGCAAATAACATATTGAAAACAAACAAGGAGAAGGAACCAGCACAAGCACATGCAGAAGCATCGTTTGGTTGTTTATCCGGTTTGATACATGCCATGGCATTCATCGGGCAAGATACACTCGGACCTAATGGCCTTTTCCACGCATCTGTGCTGTACCAGCTCGGAAGAGCGAACCTGAATTTAAGATTAAGGCCAACGGAACGAGACTTCAACATCCCCGACTTATTCAATCTGTATAGCTTCCATCGCCCGTGCATCATTACGTCAAGCTGTACCTCGAGTCCATTGTTGTCCCAGTGTCCTAATACAGGTGTCAGTGGCTGAATTGCGGAGTGAGATTTCATGATGGCTGTTACACCGAATGATAAGGGGCCAGGCGTGAGATGCGTCTGGAAATTGGCAACAAAAGACAACGATCGCGCCATTACGGATATTCAGAAGGCGGAAGGCAATGTCGAAAATGCGCTCATGACGGCTGATGAACATGTTGACTACCCTTCCGGCATGGCCCTGTTCTTCATTGTTCTCGCCTTAGGCTTGAGCATATTCCTGGTCGCACTCGACATGGTCAGAACCCTACCGTCAAAGTCATACTGCCCAGCCTTCCCGAATGGCATGAATGAACCGCAATCAGTGCCAGTGAGACTAACATATCAAACAGACCATCGTTGCTACAGCCGTTCCTAAGATCACAGACGAGTTTGCACGTCTTTCCGACGTTGCCTGGTATGGCTCAGCATTCTTCATGACCATCGGCGGGTTCCAGTCAGCTTGGGGCAAGGCATACACGTAGTTGAATCTCAAGACCGCCTTCCTTATTGCTATGGTCATCTTCGAGGTCGGCAGTCTGTTGTGCGGCATTGCGCCAAACTCAGGCGCCTTCATCGTCGGCCGTGGCATCGCAGGTGTCGGTGCTGCGGGACTCAGTTCTGGGTGCTACACCCTTATCGCGTTCGCCGCCGAGCCCATGGACCGTCCACTGTTTACTGGAATCTTGGGCGCTTCATACGGTATTGCCTCCGTCGCCGGTCCCCTAATTGGAGGCGCCTTCACCGACCACGCTTCCTGGAGATGGTGCTTCTACGTCAACTTGCCCATCGGCGCCCTCTCGGGCACAATTATCCTCCTGTTCTTCACAACCCCAAGCAAGTCAAGGCCAGTCGAGGTTTCTGTTCACGAGAAAATCCTTCAAATGGATCCCTTCGGCATTGTCCTGATTATGGGAGCCACTGTCGCTTTCATCATTGCTGTCCAGTATGGTGGCCAGAGCCATTCGTGGAGCTCAAACACTGTGGCCGGTCTTCTTGCCGGATTTGCTGTCATTATTGTCGTTTTCATCGCCTGGCAGGCGTTGAACGGTGAGCGCGCCATGGTAGTTCCACGCGTCATAAAGGAAAGGACTGTCTGGGTCAATGCACTCTGCGGCTCTGTCCTAGGCTCTGCCTACCTTATCATTATCTACTATCTCCCTATCTACTTTCAGAGTATCAACAATGACTCTCCAGGCACCTCGGGATTGCGCAACATTCCAATCATTCTCGCTGTGACCTTTGCGACCATCCTTTCGGGAGTGCTCATCTCGAAAACTGGCATTGCAGTACCGCTCATGGCGGGTGGTTGTGCGCTTGGGACGACTAGTGCAGGGCTTATGTGCACTCTCAAGATCGGCGCAGATGAGAGCAAGTTGATTGCTTACCAGGTTCTCGCTGGAGCTGGTTTTGGTCTCGCGATCCAGGTTCCAATGATCCATGCCCAAGGAAATGCTGCAACTGAGGATTTAGCTGTAACTACATCCATTATTATGTGTAATTACCGATCCCCAGTCCCTTGCTACTTACCCTCGTACCTAGAGACTAATAATTATGCTTACTATTAGTTTTCCAGACCCTTGGCAGTGCGTTCCTCCTCTCAGCCGCGCAATCAGCATTTGTCAATGAGCTCCTTAGAAATCTTCAAGAGTATGCCCCGGCAGTTCCCCCGGATATGGTGATGTCTACAGGAGCGACGCAGATTCGAACAGCTTTCGCCGCCGCCCAGGTTCCCGGTATCCTACAGGCTTACATGAAAGGCATCCGAGTCGTTTTTGCCGTCTCAACCGCGGCGGCTGGTTTGGCCTTTGTGGCAAGCTTGGCCAGTTCATGGAAGAGGCTGAGCAGGGAGCCGCGCATGGCTTCATGTGATGCCGCTTGAGTCGGCTGGAACCACACCCATTTGGTATTGCAGATGGCGTTGTTGAGCCGAGGTGATAGTGTGTCTGCAATTCGAGGCAGTCTAGTTTAGGTATTTAAAGGCGCGGCATGTAGGCAGGAAAATATGCAAACCGGTGTCAATACCAGAGAGAAGGCTCGTCTCACCCGAAAAGGGCCCCCCCCCCTCAGTCCTGGAACTACCTCATCATCCTATGTCAGGGCTAGAGAGGGATGTTAGAGTCAATTGTGATGTGATTTCTATCGGGGCGTGAGGAATATTGCCGTCCTTACCGTGCTGGCAGTGATACCACGAGAGCCCCTCGAGCTTGGTCCGGCACCCTGAAGATATTCACCTGCAACGTGGCATAGTGAACTCGAGGCATAACAATGCAGAGCGCTCGCTCGGCATCTTATTCCGCATTCCCCGAGATTAAATTCCCTGGGAACATTGACCATGAGGCATAACAGCCTTACAGGATGGAAATTGAGACTGCGTGCCCTTGCCAAGAACCTGCTCACCGGCGGATGGCGGGTGACCAAGGTTTGCCCCACCTTGGTGCAGTAGTTATAGTCCTTTGCATCAAGTTACGGTAATATATGATGACTAAGGCGTAGGTGAACCGATACTGAGGCCGAATGCCAGGCCAAGAGTAGAAGTATGTAATCTAACTTAGTTTATGACATTGTAAATACAAAGCCAAGTAACCCTCGCAATCAACTCTAATGTGTGTATTCGCTGTAGACTTGATAGATCAAGTTCGCGTGGTTGGGCTACCAACAGGCTATATCACGCTTAAGAAGGCTCTCAGAGGAAATCGTGAAGACCACTCTACCCGTCTGCGATCACTACACATTCGGCGTCAGTAACTAGCTCCAATTTAGTGCACTGTCACGATCCTGCCTCCGGGGTCAACCGTCTGGCAGGGCGCTGGGGTTGCTGTTCTGCAAGATAGGTAAAGCATGTGCAATCACAACTAACACTCTGCTGTCGTTCTCTCTCTGGGTTGTCGTTCGTGTCTCTTGGAAGAGATACCAGTCTCGGCAATTGAGTGACTAGTTCAAGTGTGGGTGAAACTGATACTTAGATTGATCGCTGAAGTACAAAGGTAATGACTGTGTATCTAGGAGATCCTTCGCATCTATATCCTTTGTCCTCCATCGTGGTCATGGTCCTGTCCCCGTTGGTCGTGGCCAGGTCCCAGGTCCGGTCCTGATGGTCATGCAGATGTTGGTGACCATCTTCCTTGGCACGGCGTCGGTCGTGCAGATATGCATGACCTGGTACGTACCTTCCTTATCGTCCTTTATCGTGCTTACATAAGAAACCTGTGACGGCGCTGCCACATGATCCGCCCTTGTCCTTGGCCTGATCCTGTGGCCTAGTTGTTTGGGCTCTTCCGTGCCCGTAACAAACATCCCCTGTTGGTTGGCCGTCACATGCACATAGCTTACATAAACACTTCTTAGCTGATCTGACTAACGCGGTCGTTCGTAATCCAACGTCTCATAATACGTACAGCCTACGCTGGTCTGTAATATAAGTGAAGCTCGGGAAAAGGGCCACAAGAGAGTACAAATCCCACGAATGTTGGTATAATGGTCGATCTTGATGCGAGACCAAAGCAGCCGTCCGGTGGAGAGATTACTATCGATATGACATCTTTAAACAGCAATGGCGAAACAGGTCAGAGTCATTGGCATAAGGATTATCGAGCAGTACTAAAGAACAGCCAAAGCTTCTGGAAGTTCACATTAGTGACATATAACGATAAGCTCTTGCTACTGCTGACAAGTACCGTGCTAATATCGCTGGTCATTGCACTATACCAAGAATTGTCCAAAAAACACTCAGTCGGCGATACGTCGAGAGGGTTGATTCAGAGCGTGACAATCCTCGTGGCCATTTCTATCGTAGTTCTCGTTGGGTCTCTCAACGACTGGCAGAAGGATCAACAGTTTTCGAGGCTCAATCGGAGGATGGCCAGTGAAGTCCTGCACCTGGAGCCAGAAGATGTGGTCCCCACTGACGGGACGACAGGCAAGGCAGGGCTCGTCTCAAAAGAGCCAGCAGAGAAAGCCTCTGCGGACATCAAGGCAGGAAAGTTTACAACAGAACCATCCTCATTCGTTCGTGCGAGCAGTTGCGACACGGCGGAAGAGGGCACTCTTCTCTGCAGAAGGACGGGAGCCCTCATCCCGCTTCATGAGCAAGTCGAACTTACACCCCTCCAGTCGAAGCTGAATCGAATTGCCGAAAGGCTTGCTATGTTCGGTGGCGTAGCTGGCCTGACTCTTCTCGTCATCTTGCTTGTCATTTTCTGCACCAAACTTCCACAAAACACGACCACAGCATCTGCAAAAGCTCGAGAGGTCTTGGACATGTTTATTATTGTCGTTGCATTCATCATCGTTATAGTCCCGGAAGGGCTGCCGTTGGCGCTCACGCTTGCTGTCGCATCCGTTACCACGCGGATTCAGAGAAGTAACAACCTTATTCCTCACCGGAAGGCATGCGAAGTTATAGGAAATGCCACGTCAATTTGCGTCAACATGACTGGTACGCTTACTCAAAACGGCATCGTGGTAGCTGCCGCCGTCGGCACTCGGCGTCACTTACACTGCACCCAAAGCGCAAGTACTGAGAGGTTAGCCCATGCGGAATTTATTGCAGGACTTGCCAAGGATAGTCGAAATTTATTATTCGAGGCTATTTCGCTCAGCTCGACCGCGTTAGAGGGCGACAAAGATGGGGTCTCTACCTTTATCGGATCAAAGACTGAAACGGCACTCCTCAAGTCCGCACGAAGTTTTCTCGCCATGGAATCCCTCAGCAAAGACCACACCAATGTCGAGATTCTGCAAACATCTTTAGAGCCCAATCGGGATTGCATTGGTGTGGTCGTCCAGCTCGAAAACGGGAACGCACGTCTGTACGCGCAGGGCGCGCCAGAGACTCTTCTCGCCAAATGCAAAATGTTCCTTAAGCGCCCGGACACAGATATCAGCAGCGACCCCCTCGCCAGCGACGGTAAGCCCATCATGGCACTGATTGAGGAATATGCCTCACAACCTTTGACATCCATTGGCTTTGCTTACCGCGACTTTGCTGAGTGGCCTCTGCAAGGAGCCCGACACAGTAAGCATAACAACAAGGGTGCTCTATTCGAGGATTTATTTGACAACATGTGCTTTATTGGACTTGTTGGAATTAAGCATGCCTTGCGACCAGGCGTCCCCGAAGCTGTCAGAGAGTACCAACGAGCGGGCGTCTTCGTGCGCATGGTGACTGGAGACAACACCCCGACGGCTCGCGCTATTGCTAACGAGTGTGGTATTCTTCGCGATGAGGGCACCATCATGGAAGGTTCAGAGTTCCGGAAGCTTATTCAAGACCATCAGAACAAAATCCCCCGCCTGCAGGTCCTCGCATGTTCGACACCCGACGACGAGGTGCTCCTGGTTCAGCGCCTCAAAGCCCTTGGTGAGATTGTTGCCGTCATCGGTGATGGAACCAATAATGCGCCTGCGCTGAAACAGGCGGACGTTGCTCTCTCCATTGGTAATACCGACACGGACGTTGCGAAGGGCGCTTCAGCCATTATTGAGGTTGAAAGTTTTCCAAGCACTGTCAAGGCTTTGAGGTGGGGTCGAGCAATCAATGACGCGGTCAAGCGATTCCTCCAGTTCCAACTCACCATCACTATCACTGTCGCCGTCCTCGTGTTTTTCACTGCTGTAGCTAGCGCTCACCAGGAGTCTTTATTCACCGCCGTGCAACTGCTCTGGGTTAACCTGATCATGGACACGCTCGCCGCTCTTGCCCTGGTGACAGGCCCTCCCGAGAATACTATGCCTGATTCTACAGCTAACAGCAGGGGATCTGGAATTATTTCTTCAGCCATGTGGAAGATGATAATCGGCCAAGCTCTCTATCAACTCGCTGTAACATTCGGGCTCGAATACATGGCAACACGGCTTGTGGAAGCTGAAGAACAGAGATATATGCGTGCTCTTGTGTTCAACACTTTCGTCTGGATGCAAATCTTTAATTTGTGGAAGTAAGTGAGATTATTCTTTACTTAACTTACACCGATTGTGCTAACCTGGTCTATAGCAACCGGCGATCGGATAATAAACTCAATATTTTCGAGGGTCTAACAAGGCACTGGTTCTTTATTGTCATCAGCCTTATTTTAGGCGGTGCTCAGGTTCTTATTATCTCCTTCGGTGGCACTCCCTTTTCCATTCCAACCATAACCCCGAAGGGCCGGCCGCCTCAAAGTAGTCTACAGTGGGGCATTGCTGTCGGCTTTGGTCTGGTCTCCATCCCCGTGGGCATCGTCATACGTTGTTTCCCTGACAAACTCATATTAAAATGTGTCCCACGATTCCTAAAGGTCAGGCGTTATACGGTCGATCGTTCCCAGGATTTTGACGACGAAATTTCCAGTAGCTCCGCTGAAAACTCTGCTTCTGTGAAGAATGATCTGGGATTCCTAAAAAAGTTCAAAGGCGGTCGTGTCGTCAACTTGAAGTTCGCCAACCATGCAGAGGATCTGCTAAGTTACGCCATGCCCAGTCCATCTTTCAGGGGCCGAAGTTCTGCAAGAGAACCTCCCTTGCCGGTGCTAACAGGGCCAAGTTCAGCAGCTGTAACCTCTAATAGCTCGACGCGCAATCTTTCATGGTCACAATCAGAAACGGAAGACGTAGTTGTGAGCGGAGTTGGATGTGCTAGAGCTGTAGAAATAACATGTATTCAGGACCCCAGAGCATCGTCACAGCTGCAATTGGTAACAGTTCCAAAGGAAAATCCGGATACAGAGCAGATCGGCACTTTGGTAAAGAACGATCCACACAGTGAGTCCTATGGACATGATAACTCTACGCGGCTTTCGTTACCAGATGGCAGTTCCACGCGTCAATCAAAAAAAAATGAAATGGCTGTCGGCATCAGCAACCAACAAAGGAAACTGTCGTTGGAAACGCTTCAAACAGATATTGCAAGGAAAGAGTCTTCAACGGATCGGAACTCACTGGGACTTCAAGGGGAAGGCAATGAGATTCCAAGTCCACGACCCTTACAGGGGCATACTACTCAGCAGGAGCAGCTAACAGGAAGTAAGGAAACATCGCCGTGTACTACATCTCAACCCCCACAAATAAGTGTGGACACTCCGTCCGGAGAACTCTCAGATCTAATACAAAGAATATCGGATATCGCTAGAAAGACATAAGAATTAAAAGCGTGTAAAGAACTCCCACGAGTCCTAGGAAGTTGATTCGTATCCTAACATATCTCTAACGTGTCGCTAAAACACGCTAGTCGGGTGGCTTAACGGAAGCAGAATTGCTCAGATAACAATTATTATAAATCGAATGGTACACCACTTACTATTTGAAGGATAAGGTCAGGACATCGTTTCTTGTGAGAGCACTTTTATTTGGTTAAAAGAAAAGCTGTACGAATCGAAATGTCTTCGTCGTCTTAATATCTATGTAGTTGTACTATTCCCATATTTTTTCTAGTTGTTTTTCAGCCGTCCAGAGTAGATGTAGAACAAAAGACTAGCAGGATTATTATGTCGAGCAATATCTAGCTCAGCAATATTACTCAGTAGCACTGCACGTTCACAGGTCAAGGCAGCAACCCTATTTTGAGAGAGGATTCAGTGTTGCGTAACTCCCCCTTATGTCATGTCCCGGGCAGGTCGATAGACTCCAGACCAGCGAAGCACTCCGCGACTGAACAGGGCCTAGCATGAGACTCAATGCATCACTACTTACGCACCGCGAACAATTGCCAACAAAATACTAGCTGCCAAACTAGTGAGAGGGCTGTATACTTGGAGGCGGCGATATTGATAGTGACTGTCAGATCGAACACCGGTTGTATTCTGCCGGGGCAAAGTCAGGTTCTCTCTGATCATGGGAAGAACAACCAACCAACGACCAAAGGGAGGTTATCGCCTGGCAGGTTCGATGGTATTACCAGTGAGGCTTACTTAGACGTCGCGCCGAAGTGAGGCCATCTCAGATGTCTGGGAACGGCGATGGGCTTGATGGGGCCAGCAACGAAAGCACAAAGAGGTCGCAAGACCTGGCCAGGAACAAACGGCTGGTCATGCACGCAGGGAGCGCTTTCATAAAGGATCATGATTACTCATCCAGAGTGGACCTGTACATTGCAACACCAGAACTGACATCTCCCGCTGCAACGCACGATGAAGGGCAAAGGGAATATAGATGCGAGGAATCTTCTATACAGAGAGTCTTTGCCTTTGTACTTCAGCGAACGATTCAGTGACAATTTCACTACACACTTGAACTACTCACTCAATTGCTGAGACCAGTATCTCTTCTGGAGACACGATAACCCCAAGAGAACGACGATAGCAGGAATAGTAATATTGCAAACGCTTGAACTATCTTTCAGAACAGCAAGGCCAGCACCCTGGCAGACGGCTGACTCCAGGCGGCAGGATCGTGACACCTCAGTGTTCCGCAGTATCTATTATCTGCAATAAACGCCATAGTAAATAGGCGAAGTAACATGCGGTTTGTAGGACGTAGCATACTGAGACAACCCATGGGTAGTGGAGTGACGAAAGAAATATAAAAATGGAGAGACCAGTGACGGAATGATTCAGCCAATATGAGATATCCTGGCCACGACAAAGTGCCCAAATATAAGTCCGCAAATATTGAGTGTTGAGTAGTACTTGGCAACCAGCCAGAATGATCTGGCCAGTGTGTAGCAGCATGGCGGGTTGCCCACTCTGAATGGTGCACGATTGTGATTGGGCCGTTGAAAGGGCAGCTAATAACAAAATAACGGCGATTCTGTTTCTTTCAAGGAGGTGAAAACGCGTCGTAGAGGGTTGGAGATTATACTGTTGTGGTGGCGAGATGGCCGAGGTGACACAGCTTGGCTTTCTTATAGAGACTCTAAGGGAGAAGCATTGTCTAACGTTTTATACACATGTATGAAGTGAAGCCAAGTCTGTAATCAGCACCACAATACCCACTTATTATGTCGGCTATGCTACTAAGGCGTTCTCCAAGGTTGACTCGCTTATCTTAATTCCATCAACTGAAGGTGCACTTTCTGAAAGGCATCGATGTGTGTAGGAATATGGCTTAGCGACAGCTTGGGAAAGCTGAAGAATACGCGAGTCTGAAAAAGGCGTATGCCGGATCTCCATTCTTAGAGCCTAGCCCTCATGCCTCCGCATAGTACCCTCAGTTAAATATCCACAGACTTGACCACTGATGATCCAACTTTAGGGATGCGATTGTTGCGGAAACTGTATCTGTGTCTTTGCCTTTTTTTGAAGGGCCGATTTGCCAATCCGGGCTCTTCACAATTAGACTCATCCCATTTTCGCTTTCGCTGCTGTCCTACAGCTGTGCTATCTCTTACGTCGCAGCTCACCTGGAGCTGCTCCAGTTGACAGTGCTTCTGAACCAAGACCCTCCGTATTGGCGGTGTAATTCCTTCTAACGACCCTCGCCATAAGCCTCGGCGTAGGTCATGGGCCTCTTGGACTTTTTCTGACAGTGTCTTCAGTTGGGTGCCCGCCCGATCTATCATGTCTCTGATCCTAATAGGAATGCCTCCGGGTATGTTCGCTGCGGCGTAGACAAACTGTCTGATGAATCTGATGGAACTATGAAACCTTTTCACTTCTCCTGCCCGTAGAGGAGTCCAGTAGTCAGGGATTTCGGAAGGAGAGGATAGGAGGTCTGATGCGTCGTCTTCTTCCATCGAAAGGTCCTCGCCATGAATTATTTGTGATAAATTGGACGCGGACATTGGTTTGAACGTGACACTCTTGATGTGAGCCATACTTGGCCGCTTTGTCGCACTCCCTCCGCACAAATGAGATTAAATCAGTACTTGCCGAGTGGGAAATGACAGTAACCCCCCTCAAATAAGAATCTTCTAACGGCGCTATAGAGGGACAACTAAACAAACGTAGACAAACACACACAAACACACACAAACACACACAAACACACACAAACACACACAAACACACACAAACACACACAAACACACACAAACACACTTATACATTAGAAATGGATAAACGGGGGTAGACAATGTGGGCCGGGGCCCACTCTGTGTGTTACCTGCCAAGTACAGAGGTGGGTCTCTCCCACAGCTACAGAGAGGACTCCCGAAGTTGCTTTCCACAGCCTGATTGAATGATCCACATGCAAATCAGGGGTTTTAGGGGGTGCTTTGGGCCTTGAGATCTGGGCTCTAACGTCCGTGGTATCTTTTGCACTAACTTCGAATAGTTGAAGCTACTTTGTGGGGTTCCTACTTTAGCAGTAAAAAATACGATAACTTAGTTGATTGTTTTATCTTGGTGCCTCGCTATTACGAGAAATAACTCGGCCAAAAGTGCGGTGAGATAGGTAATCAATTATACTTACAGCTACTACAGTACCGATGAATGGTTAGAGATGATTTTGCTGCTATCCACGGTCTGAAAATACGGTACATAGCAGCCGCATGATTATGGTATTATCTTGATTTCTTCATTCTGTAGATAGTAACCTCCTCATGTGGATAAATTCCCCTAGAAACTATCAGGCTGAGTATTATTCAGGAGCTTCTAGCCTCTGGGGTGGAACAGTCTGCTAACATTCGTCGTTCGTGAGAAAGAAAAGGCAGAATCTTTCTATATATTTCATACCGATCCATGGTATAAGATCCAGTCAGACAGTACCGCAGACGAAGTAATTAGCCGTAAGTGGGAATACTACAGGATAAGAAAGCCTATAAAGACACAAATATGATGGCCAGCCGAACGGGCCATGGTTCTGGCCGATGACAAGAACAGACCATGCTTGGACATCAGCCAGAGCCCTACCAGGAGGATGGCATCGTGGACCCACTGGGCGACAAGGGGGGCCGCTATCCCCATCAGGACTTGGGGAATCATAGTAATCTTGGAGTACGAGGATGGCAAACGCTATGAGATCTCTATAAAATTCTGGCCGGGGGGAAAGGTGCATAAAGCCTTGAAGAAACCGTTGCCAGAAAGTCAGTGCCTTTCATCCTCATCTGATATTGGGAGTAGCATCGCAGCACTTATTGATCTAGCATATGAAGCGCGGAAGGAACGATTTCTTCTCCGAACAACGTGACAACCCAAGAGAGCGATACAAGCTGTTTGCCTCGACTTTGTACGAGCTCCGCCCATAGACTAGACCAAAAACCCATAAAGCTTGGTCCAGAATCGGGGTGATCCCCAATCCGCTGTTACCAAGAACGTATATGTCCTCGTCCGGCATACGTGTTTACGTCTGGCTTGAACACAGGTCCAATGGCTTCAAAAACATTGTGCGTCCTCGGGGATGCGAACGCCGGCAAGAAGACTCTGACCTGGCACCTGGTCTTCACGGTAAATTACGAGAAAGAAGACTAGCCCTAGTTTCATCCCAGCTGAAACATTCAGTTTTAGTGCGGGGCTTCCCTTCCCGAGATTGCACCAATCGAGAAGAGTCGGATTTGCGATTATCGTGGCATCGCAACCCTTTATCGACAGAAAGGCAGACCCGTCTCATTCTACGGCCCTTCGGCCCAATACACGATCACAGGTGACCATGACTATCCTCCACATCTGGAACAGACTAACCATTCCACTGAAGACATTCCTGGAATTGCCGATATTGCCCTCTGGGCTGTAGATGCGTCTGCTGATGACTACGGAGCACGTTCGAGCCAAAGTCTTGCGTCCCTCTTGTCTTCTGGGAAGCTCCGTGTCGAGGAGCAGCTGATTATAGTTGCTACTAAAATGTAAGTGACTGCCATGGTTAATATCTATCTGCGACTAACGCGACTCAGGGATCTGGCCAACTGGTCGGAGACCGTATTCGCGCAGGTCGCACACTCGTTCACTAAGATCAAGCTGGCGCATTTCAAGTAAGCCTGGTGCGATTATAATGTGGTCAACGCAGCAAGGCCACCGAGACTGACCATGTCCTTCGCGTCTGATAGAATCAGTATTGTGCCAGTCTCTGGCCTGCACGGGGATAACCTTGTTGAGAAGTCAGACAAGGCGGCACACCTTCAGCCTGCGGGCAAGATAGAGGAGGGGGGGCTGGCAGTCTTGGGTGCGCGACCCCTGATGTCGCTGCTGTGAAAAGTGATGGCCGGCTTGATGCACCTAAAGCCCAACAGCCATACTGTACGTCCCGCAGTGTGTGCAGGTGTAATCGCAGTCGCTGCAGAGAGATGGGGTGTCGTGACATAAATAATAGCTTCTTCAAGACTTTCCGCGTACTTGCTGACCATGGCATGTCTTTATGTCGGAGCAACCCATTTTTATTCCGTCGTGTTCCATTGGCTTACTACGGCATCCAGACACCTCTACTCGGAAGCGCTCCGGACGATGTGCTTGGTTGATCGCTACAACTTGATTTGTTCTGTGCTTGTTCTGGCAGTGCGCGGCATCTTATCCAACAATTTGTTAGGGAGACAGTCCGTATGCGCAAAAGAGGGAAAGGGCCAAGATGTACACTGGTCGTTCTGTGCAATGGGGCGGTTGACTTGACCGGAGCCTGAGTAATACTGGATAGGACTGCGAGTCGAGATGGTCTCCATTTCAGTCGCCTGTCACAAGAGGATTATAATGTGATTCAGATTTGTTAATCAATCAAAGACAGAATAGAACAGGTAAAGATTGACTAATACAAATGAAATCTATACTATGGAAAATGGCTGGTGTGTGGTAGAGAATAGAGGAGCAGGACTGTCGGTCCTTGGACTTCCGCTAGCGGAATGTCGGACTACAGATTACCTCGTCGATCTCAGTTGGGCCCCCAGCAACCGTCCACCTCCCGTTGCCCCCGTCCCCAAAGGTCTGCTTGTTCAGGTTGACGCCTCGGTTGAGCAGCACGACTTGCCCGCCGTTTAATGCCTTGCAACGAAGGGCCTGATTCTCCACTCCCGGGCCAACGAAGAGCTCTACATGCGTGAAAGTGCCACCAACTGATTGCCTCTGTTCTTGTCGACCCTCCGAGTCCGAGAAATCAAGCTGGCGTTCAAACTCCTGTGCACTGTTCGACAGAGCTACGCGGATATCATCACGCCGATCGAGCTCTATCTTTCTCAGTGCTGGATCGCACTTGACGCGCAAGTTGGATGCTTTGACAGGCCCGCCAGGCTGAAGTTTCCAAGCTTTGCCAACTCCGAAGTTGAAGTCGATGCTATTATCTCGCGTGACGATGATTCGGTTGTTGTTCTGGCCAGCATCGCGAAGCTCGCATCGGAAGTCAGTCTGAAGGTCCGACGAGCCGATTTGCCCTGCAGCTTCAGTGGCCCGGATGCGGACTTTTCCAATGTAACCCCAGTCAGCATTAGGCTGCAAAGTTACAGGTTGCGTGGTAGAAAAGCCTTGAAGATAGAATATGCTGCCGTCAGTATTGATCAGGTCCACGGTAACTCCGCTGGAGGTCCTCAGTTGTTTATAATGATGTCTTGCAAAGACATTGCTTGGCATTACGGCCATGGCGGCGACGAACGATGTTATAAAATGCATGTTAGTTGTTGGAAAGGATTTTGGGATATGGCTGAGGCGTAGTAAAGATAAATACTAGTTGTACGTGCTGGAGCAAACGTATTCACAGTCGCACAGTTGCAATCGTGATTTTCGATGACGACGAAAGAGGTGTGCTCAGCTCTAGACTTTATAGGTGTTCAAGACAAAGAAACTAGTAGATGCAGAGGTGGAGCTCCTATAATTAGAAACCCGCTGAGCGCGCAAATTGTGACAAAGATCTCGGCATCATGTAACAAATGGAATGTGATGCAGATTCCCAAAATAGAACGCACGACATATCAGGGCTATATGGAATAATGCTACGATCCGGTTATGAGTAGGGACGTTGACGGGTACAACGTAGCCAACTTTTCCAGTGGCCAGAGACAAACAAGATACAGCAGCTATAACAACAATACTAGATCATGGCCAACCGCCGCACTCGTACCGTCTAAGGCCTTTTTCACCCACTCCGGAGAGAACATGTCGAATGCGGCGTGCCTCGAAAAGTATGTGCTAATCGCCGACCTATACACAAAATTAAGCAATATCTGTCTGAGTGGATCTGCTATCACTCGAGGGGTGTTGATGTGTTGTTCTGCTCCTGCAGTGCGTCCCACGCCTGGATATACAGTTTTAAAGCCTGCCAGCGCGGGGACTTCTGTGCTTGGGCAGTCCCACTGCCCTGTGGTTCATCAGTCTGTCAGTGCGACTCGCCTGCCTGCATGTTCCGTAGCATGACACGCACCTGGTAAGGTGGCCTTCCTAGGCTGGTTGATATGCAGTCGTCTTTACGTAGCTGCTGCACTGGTATACCGCTGATACTGCTGAGCTCTTCGTCGAAGTTCCATGCTACCACTGGGCTTCCCAGGTCGAGATAGTTGTACACCTGAGTTACGAGTGAATCTGGTCGCTGAGCTGAATTTTGTTTTCTTTGGTCCAGTGGCGCGATATTGATGCTGCTATTCAATCCATCCTGCATAGCTGCGCAATCGAGTGGTAAGGGCGAGCTGCGTCCATTGATCTGGTTGCCCATGATGCGTGAGCAATCACTATTTGGGACGGGCTTAAGGACGAAATCCTGGTCTGATTGCGCCTTCGGCTGTATCAACTCAGGACTGGTGCAGCGAGGAAAGTCTATTTCCGCTGCCAGCGCTGTCGACAACATATCTTGATCACCCCTTAATATCGGTAAAAGGAAGGTAGACATATTGACGCATGTCCTATGGGTGTGGTAGCCTTGAGTGGTTTCTCATACTTCTCAGCCGCACTACTCTTTTTTATATGCCCCGTTGTGGATATTTCTAACCATAGTCTGTTTGGATTGAAAGCTAAACTGTTAGAAACGATAAGCTACATGCCTATGACAGCTAAAACTAGCTCTGCGTCTAGGAAAGACCCGATAAAACTAGAACGCGCCGGGTATTGCTCAAGGATACTAAAGACAGAAACTCAGGTAGACCTACGTCTAGCTCATATCTTTAGAGGTGCTGAACCATACTGATATTAAGTCTAGTACTATTTTACCTCGAATACTATAGGTTCTCCTCCGTTCCTGGTGCCGGATGTCTGCGACGTGCCCCTCACTTATGACCTGCCTGCTAAGGCTTTCCACTCATAATTACCGACCGAAGGCGTGGTGCAAACGTGCTTATCTTGCGGCCGGAGGAGCTCGAAAGTTCAACTCACATTACTTCGCTGTCCAAGCTAAGCGCATCCTAACTCCATGTGCACTTTTTCAACAGTATCGCTTAGCATGGAAAGGCGCTCACAGTTCGTCGTTGTTATAAATCTATTACTCGACCCACGAAAGACACTACCGAGCAATGCCCGGTAAGAGTATCGGAATCTCCAAGGCTCAGACAAGAGCCTGGCCAGATTGGCTGAAGAGGGAGCTCGCTTCCTCCCCGCGATCGACCAATGGCGCGGATTGGCTAGTGCCCAACGTCGACGGCAAATGTGTTGGTCAGCTGGATCCAGGCTTCCATGCAGATCAGGAGCTGGTCAGCATCTAGATCAGTCGCATTCAGTGACAAATTACAACTTCTATACGACAGACCGGCTGATATTCCATCCATTTCGCCCTCCGACACTTGATACTATCCAGTCTTCAGCAACCACATGTCAGCAACGGGATCATAAACTGCAAGCCATGAGGCTCTCAGACGTACCTATGGACCTGATCTTCTCGCCATCTTGACCAGATGACTGCAACAGCATCCTCTCGATCCTCAAGACGTTGAGTATGGGACATTATTGGCGACACGTGTGGTGCTGCCGTCATTCCATGTATTGCCGAGCCAGAGACTTGACATTGAGACCCTGGAAAAGACTGTTCCAAGAAACGGGCCAGACCACGGGCGCGTTAGTGGTCCCTTGGCTCGATGGCGACGACTGGATCCTGTTTCACGTGGATAAAGACACCGGCACCGCATACATATTCGATCCTGCTCCACGGCAAGAGCCATCACCAGTTGCCACCTTCTTCCGACAAGCATACACAGACGCGGGCTACGGATCGATCACTGCCATATGGCGTGCTCCCGCCAGAGCGCGAACCGATAAGTGGCCCAGCGGTGGTGGGTGGCCGAGAAGGTCCTTATGTTAGCCACTGGCCAAGACATCAATTCTATTGGCTTCGCAATAGCGAAGTGAGGACATCCCGTATAAGCCGACTTTGCGAAGAGCACGGACTTAATAGCGGACTTTCTGCAAATACGCTTTCCGTCGTAGAGCAAAGGCACCTAATTGATTAGCCATATGTGACGATATGTCGCGAGTATGGTTAAATCGTGTAGCTTAAGGACGTCAAGTACTCCATGTAAGTGTTGCAGGACTTTTATGTAAACATCCGGAATAATTCTACGAAGTTATGTAAGAGCAACCGCCACATGGCTTGTGTAAGTAGCTGCAAGTTCATGTGTCATTAGGTTGTGTGCTAATCATTGCGATATTGCTTATAATGCGCTCAACTCCAACCTTCCCTTTCCTCTGATTGTCCGGGTGCAGTGCTGAAGTAGACACCTACGCAATTCATCATGATAGACCCGAACTCGTCAAGCGAGGTTATTAGAAGCATTGCCTCAATTGTCCTCTGTCTTTGGACACTATGGCAATTTCTAAGCGGGGCGGAGGTTGATTATGAACAGGTGTCAGAACCTACAAAATCGACATATTCGTCATGAACTGGACCCATCTACTGTCGCTCCAAAGCGCTTCGCTATGTCTCATACTAGAGTCTGATAGAATAACAGCCTGACCGAAAGTAGAGTCTAGTCAGGCAACCACGTATGAGAGTATTCAGCACTAATGCTCCTTTCTAAGAAACTCGAGAAGACATGACAGACCTGGGGCGCTATCACTATGCTACTTACAGACTCCTGGAGTAATACCTAGCAAGAATACCATAGGTTGAAGAGCTGAGGAGGAGGTTGAAGAGTACCAAGGCTGCAAGCTCTGCATGTTAATCTAGGATGGCATCAACCCTATTATCGACAGGAGTCAAATATTAATGTACAATTTATGTACACCCCAGAAAGATATACCCCTACACTGTAATTATGCATAACGTGTTACACGTTTGCGTTTTTGGGTCTTGTAGAACAACTACTCATCCCAAGGGAGGCAATCACTTGGAAATGGCACGCATATCAAGAATCAAAGCTATAAACGACCTATCATTGATCTCAGCAAAAGTCTGGTCGAAGGAGTACTCTAGTTTCTTGGTACTCCGTGTCAGCGAATGTGACTCGTACAGGCGAGCTGGTGAAATGTCCTGGAAAATAGCCATTATAACGTTTCTTGTATGTCACCGACTCCCCTCCTTCTGGGTAATATTGGACCAACTGCGGCTGTTCATGTTGCAGGCTTTTGTCCGTGCTCTTCCGGTCAACCGAAACCTTCTGCCCATCATCCTGGGGTCTCGAATGGTTCCACCATCCAGGCGGGTTCCACAAGCTCGAAATCTGTCCTGAATTGGCGCTGTTCACGTGTCGGCAGTAAGATTGTGATTGGGTATTTCGGGGATGGCAGAGGAGGGGCGCTTGGAAGTCTGTGGCAATGCACGCCGACCCGTGAAGTAATGATCGCTCTCTCTGGCAGCTTTGCGGGTCATTAGCATAGCTGAGATGGCATGCATTGGTGATGTTGCTGCCGCCATCTTCACGAAGTGCTGGATGATGGGCATCCTTGCCCTTTGGAGTCGACGATGAGCGCATTGGCAACGATGTAGTCGGCGTATTGAGCGACAGGGCAAGACCGGACCGCCGTAGGAGCTGACGCTTCATGTCCCTCTGGCGCGTAGTGGCTTTCGTATCTCTACGCCTGGGCACGTGGGAACCGCCGTCTTTCAGGCTGGATCCTCTTTGTGGTGATTGTCGCTGCTCTTCCCTCTTCAAGCGAGTTATGTGTGGGTGACATAATGGGCCTTTTCTCCGAGCTAATGCTCCGTTGTAGACATCTTCTGGCCGGAGATCGTCGCTTGCTCGTGAGACTGTGTTTACATAGATGACGTCTTTGACTTCTTCAACGGTCGTGTCTGCCATCGGTTCGGAGGGGAACGTGGGGGGCGGGCTGTTTCTCTTCGAGTACCGCGTATTGCACAAGCCAGGTATCGGCGATGACAGTAAGAAGTGTGGCATGCATGGGCTGTTTGCGCATGATTGTAACAAAGAACTATTCTTGTATGTTTTCTTCGCTGCTGGCAAGGACCGCTTATCGTTACGCCTCCCTTCTCTGCTCCTTTATCGTGGGCCATCAGAATCTGCCTACAGTCGAATTCGAAATCGGTGTCCACTTTCGCTCAACGCAACTCTCTCTGCGCACGGTCCGCCTTGTCTCGGCGATACCAAGTGTGGAGCCATAAACAGAGCTGCCTGCAGGTAAGTGGGGCAGCGGTCACGACAGCGAGTTCTGGCTGCAAAGTCGGTTTCCGCATCCTTCACTTATTGCATAAACAGGGTGATATTTCACAAACCTTCTTTCTTGGCGGCTTGGCGGTCAACGCAACCCCCGGACCCTGGGAAAGCGGAGACAAAGATCGTATAATTACATATCTGCTGGAGTGTGACTGAATATGGCAAGCCTGTGGCCCCGCAAAGCTCCGCAACAGAGCGCGCGTCAATTATGCCGCAAGCCACACCAGCATGACAATCAAAACATCACCACGACCAACGTATAGGAGCGAGCGCCAAATGAACGAGAACGAGACCGAGACCGAGATCGACAGCCTACGACGGCAACTGCAGGAGGCGCGACAGGAGGCACGAGAACGCGCAGCTGAAGCCTTCAGCGCGCAAGAGCTTCTACGGCAACGTGCAGACAGCGAACGGCAACGCGCAGAAAACGAACGGCGACGCGCAGACAGCGAACGGCAACGCGCAGAGGATGTCACCGCCCGCGCCAATTATACAACACTCACGGAATACATCACCAACTGCCACCGATATCTCGACCTCAAGATAGAAGTCGAGTCCAACAAGTCCCTCACTTCGAAGGGAACCATCACAAATCCCCAGGATAAGTTGGTCCCGTCGTCTCTCAAGCCGTGGAGCGACTTTCTCGAGCAGCAGAAATCGATTCATGGAAGACTGTACTCGACATTTCCTGAAGACAGGCGGGCCTTCGAAAGCATAATATTCCTCGAAGCACTTGGCGAACGACTCGCCAGAAAGAAAATAGCCAACGAGCGCGATCTTGAATCTACCCAGCACAACATTGTCGAGACCCCCGTCGCCAACATTGTCGAAGTCCTCAAAAACCACAATGCAACGAATCGGACATTCGCCCTGGGTCAAGGGATTTTCTTCGACAATCACCCGAATGCGCTAAGCGATGCCGCTGAGGAGCCAATGCAACGACGTGCAGTGCACGACTCGAACCAGCTTCGCGCCGACCAGGTGTGCGTTTACAGGCACGATGACGTGGATCGGGCGCTGCGAAGTCTGCTTTTGGTGGTTGAGTACAAGCCGCCACACAAGCTGACGTTGCCGCACCTTCGTCTCAGTCTGCGAAAGATGGATATACAGCACGAGGTCG